AAAAAATGATTAAAAATATTTGCGTTTTTTAAAAAATGAAATAGATGTAACAAATAATAATGATCAAAAGTTATTTTTATACTGACCGTAATTTTGGAATACCCCCCACCCCCCCCCCATTTTATGAGTTTATGTGCACATTGTGTGAATGATGGAATGAGACACTTTTAATCATGAGTACCAAACCTATGAACATTTTATTATTACTGAGGATGATATGATTACGGGTGTGTGGGTGTGGGTGTGGGAAATAAAAATAATTAGATCTTTTGATGGACATTTACTCGAAATGGTTATATATTAATAACGCATTTGCTGTTGCTTCAAAGCAGATTGGTTAATAGGGATAACAATTTTTTTTTTTTTTTTTTCTCATTCTTGTGCTAAACTAGGAGTAGCTGTAATTTATTATCCATTGTCACGTGACCATTGGAGCGATATCTACCCGGGGGCGGGGTTCTCAATTTTGCTTCGCTGGTTTGCTTCTTCAAGTGTTTTCTTGTTTGTTAGTTGTTTTATCTCTTTACTTTTTTATCTCTTTACTGCTTTACTTCTTTACTTCCTTACTTCTTTACTTCTTTACCTCTTTACTTCTTTACCTCTTCGTCGCTTCGTCGCTTCGTCGCTTCGTCTCGTCTGATTTCTGCCTTTTTTCCACATTTTTCGTTAACTGATATAGACATCCTGGTGATCATCGTACTAACGAGTGCCCCTTTTTCACACACACGCAAAAGTGAAATGGGGATGTACTTTACCTGGACCTTGTAAGATCTTTCCTACCCATCAAAAATGTTTCACGTAAAAATAACAAAATTTGACATACACAAAAATAATAGGAAATAAAAGCCTAGATAAAATTTCAAATAAAAATTGAAATTTGCTTTTAAAGGTTTTTTTTTTTTTTTTTTTTTTTTTTTTCTTTTATCCAGTTTGTTACATTATTATTTTTTATTTTTTTTTTATTTAATTATTTTTTTTTTTTTTTTTTACATGCACAGACATGTTTGGGGTTTCCCAACTCAGTGGTATTTGTAGCTGTGTCGGCAGTTACATATAAACTCACTTGTTCATCCATTTTCGTGCACCTCTATACCTTCTTTTCATTTCGATTGAAGCTAGTCAATCTATCCCTTTTTTTTTTTTTTTTTTTTTTTTTCCCCTTTTCCCTTTCCTCACGCTCGTCCACAGTGGAGTTTTATTTCTTTCACATGCTCCCAAGGTCAGTTTTTCCTTCAAAGTGCTAATGTTTAGGTGTATACATATACGTATATATGTTACATGCACATACGTATACATACATATGCATACATAATATGTACATACATGCGTACATGCATATGCATACGTGCATGGGCATTTACATTTTTCTTTTTTTTTTGTTTTTCCCCAATTTTCTTTCTCCCTTTGAACTCACCTAATTGCACATTTCCTTCATGGCCCCACTTTTTACTTCCACCACTTAGCAGGTCATGACGTTTTTTCTTTTTTTTTTTTTTCATTTTTATGATTCTTTTTTGTTTCACTCCATCCACATTAATTATGCATCCCATGTTTTGGTTTTTCCAATTTTTATTGGTTCATTTACGTGTTTATCCCACCATTATGCAAAATTCAACCATTCAATAGTATATAAGAACTTTCATTTGAAATCCTATATAAATAACATCTTATCGAAGTTTATATAACACTTACCTGGATCAGTGCACGTATTTCACCACCTGCATAAAATAGATACACACACACAGCTTGTATCATGAGAAAAGGGACACCAGAATGACGAATGGTAAGAGTGATGAAAAGCAAGTGCACAATTCAACAACGAAGGATGAACAACAACATGGTAAGCCTATAGTAGAAGATTGCGATGGAAAGGGATCCTACAATTCCAAGTTTAATTTGAACATAGATATAAGTAACATCCATGGAGAAAATAATACTGCGAATATTTCAGACAGACGAGAATCACATTATGGATGTAGCTGTGCATGTAGTCCTCAAAGAGACATCCATGGGAGAAACGATAGCAAAGAAGGTGGTGAATGTGATCATGATACAGCTGATATTTTGAATGATGAAGAAGAAAGACATTTTTGTAATGTTTGTTTTTCTTTTTTGTATTATAAAAAATATTGCTTTTATGAACTCCTAAGAATATACAGAAACTTCTCATCACTTACTGAGGCAGAAAAGAGCCTCCTTACTGAATCCATTTATTGCAAGTTATATAAAATGTACATTTCTGTTTTAAATAATTACTTTTTCATTTTCAACATTTTATTACCTCAAATATCTACACACATAATTCTGCACCTGTTGGCTCACACAGCTCATCAGGAGGATGTTGCCACATTGGACGATTCATCCGGTGAAGTGAGCGAGTCTAGTGAAGTGAGCGATCCTAGTGAAATGAGTGCAAATGAAGTAAATGACAAAATCGGTGGAGTGTGTGAAGGACGAGGATATGATCAGAATTGCAGATCCACCCAGAGAGCTAGCGCTACAGGGGTGAAAGAAAGAAACCAAGAGATGAAGCAGAAGAAACGAAAAATAAGAAAAATTCCTAGAGAAGAATACACCATCAATGAAATAATAAAGAACTTAACAGAGGAGGAAAAGAAAAATATAGACAAAGAATATAATTATCATAACTTAGATGCAAGAGTATTATGTAAAGACAATCCATTAATTATACTGAAAGAAATAAGATCCAAGTTGATGAACACGAAAGAAGATGATTACATTTCGAAGGAACTACAATTGAAACTAGAGCAGTCAGAGCCAAATGATGATTTCCAAAATATTGATTATTTGAACTGGGACCAAAACAGCTATAAGAACGAAATAGATAAAAACCAATTGAGCCATTCATGCTTGTCTTCTCTTACAGATGGGGATGAGAAGACAAGTGATAGTGAAAGAACTGGAGAACCGATGTGTGATAAAGAACACATTAGTGTGCAAGCGCAAAATGTTGAACATGTGAAACACGATGAACAAACAAAAGAGGAAAAAAAAAAAAAAAAAAAAAAAGTTGCAGATCACTACAACAGACAGTGCTATAATATGTCAGCTGAATCAGATGCTACTATAAACACCCCTAATGAAAAAGGATTGTTGGAAGAGGACTGTGCCTGGTATGATACTCCTAGTGGTGGAAGAGGCTCCAGAGTTTATGAAGAACATAAATGTGAATGCACATGTAAGCAGGGAGAAACATGTGTGTGTTATGATAAGGATGGAATCTGTAAATGTTCAATTCATAGAGAAGATTACATAGAAGACTATCGCAAGGAAATGAGCGAATATGCATTCCCCAATTTGGATGGCATAAAGGGAGAAGCAAGACTGGGAGAATGGAGATCAAGCAAGATGAAAAGCGATGAAAATGGAAAAATAGATGCAACTAACCAAGTCAACACAAATCAGCTGAATGCAAGCTCACGCAGAGGAGAACACATCCCACCAGGAAATAGAATTACCAATGCATATAGCCCCAGCCTAGACGAATACAACTTATTACAGAATATGAGCAAAGTGAGAAGTACCCTGAGGCAATTCGTTCGAGATTGGTCACTAGAAGGAAAGCATGAAAGAGATGGTGCATATGAACCCATATTGAAAAGTTTAGAAAAGTATCTACCCATAACAGATACATATGTACCAAAAATATTATGTCCAGGATCAGGATTGGGTAGACTTCCATACGAGGTTGCGAAAAAAGGATACAGAAGTCAAGGAAATGAATTTTCTTATTTTATGCTTCTGGCATCTAACTTCATTTTGAACTATTATAATGAAAAGGATTCATTAAAAATTCAGCCATATTGCCTTAACACATTAAATAAAAAAGGAAGAGATGATCATTTAAAAATTATCACTTTACCAGATATCAATACATATAACAAAGCTATTTTGAACACTGAATTTTCTATGTGTGCAGGTGAATTAATCGAAGTTTATTATAACGAAAAAGAATCTTTTGATGGGGTTCTGACATGCTTTTTTATGGATACTGCTAAAAATATTTTTACATATATTCGCACCTTTGCGAATATATTGAAACCCAATTCGTTATGGTGTAATATCGGTCCTCTTCTCTACCACTATTCAGAAATGACTAATGAAATGTCCATCGAATTATCTTGGGACGAAATTAAATTAATCATTTCAAAATGGTTTACCTTTGTAGAAATTGAATGGATTGACAACTACTACACGACCAATATGGATTCAATGATGCAAGTGCAATATCATTGCGTTTTTTTCAGTGCACTAAGAAATGATGTGCCCGTGGATGATGGTGCTTGAGGAATGAACCTGAACCATGGTACTGTTGCTATATAAAATACCTTCTTTTTTTTTTTTTCCCATTTTGAATAATTTCTTATCAAGCACCGCAAATATTAAACTCGAACTTACTTATGAATACATTTAAGATTTTTTTCTTTTTTTTTTTTTTTTGTTAACTTATTTTCTCGCCCCTAACACTAATCCTAGCATCTCTTCCCCCCTCTCTAACCTCAAACCCTTTTTATAACTCTACAAAGATTCAGTTTCTTTGCTTATGCGATATAATGCACATATAGAGATACATAAAAAGTGTACAAATACATTTACTTAAAAAATGGGAACAAAGTTCTTTTTTCCATTTCCTCTTTTCCCAATCTCTTTAACTTCTAAAAAGAACAAACGGAAAATTATGAATCCACCTTGCATATGTTCACGTTCTTGCAAAAAAAAAAAAAAAACAAAAAAAAAAAAAAGGGAAATGTGTTAAGAACCTTATTTTCTGCTTTCTCGTAATGATAACGAAATCGTGTGTAAAAAAATATAGACCAGATGAGCACACCGAATGGAAATGTTTTTTTTTTTTTTTTTTGTAAGAAAAGGTGAACCATTATTTATTTTTAAAAAACCAATTATTATAACGATTCATATAGGGAGAAATTCTAATTGTTACTTTTTCACTTTGTTGATTGTGGGAAAAACAGATACGAACATTTGGTGGATTAGCAATATTCTTGTAGAGACTATTTAATTAGCATGATTTTTGTATACACACAGGACTTAGCTCATGCATATGCATGTATATATGTGTACACAGATTACATAAGCCCTATTCAGCACTGTTTCTTCATTTCATTTTTGAAGCTTATTTCAATCAGATTGTGATGCATGAAAAAGTATCCTCATGATTTCTCTTTTTCAGATGAGCTGGGTTATAGTTTTCATCATGTTGAAATAATTCAATTCGAAATGGGGTATTACAGTTTTCCTCACCCACTGGATAATGGTGCAGATAAAAAAAATAATAAAAAAAACAAAGTATATTTGTTTACTTGCAGTGGCATGTCTTAAGAATGAACATGTATGTATGTATATACATATATATATGTTATATATTATATCCGTATCAAGTGGGTATAAAAAAAAAAAAAAAAAAGGCTTTTGTTTTTAGCACTATTGTTAATACATATCTCTCCCCCTTTGACTTAACAAATTGGTAAAAAAAGGAGCACACGTAAAGTTTTTTCTCTTTTATGCAATAGCAGCAAAATGCTTGTTGTAATATTATAAGTATAACGAGTTTGGGGGGGTGGGATATGGTGCCACATACCCACTTTTGTGTTTGATTCGACAAAAGAGTGCAAGTGATTGTGACGCATACAGAAAAGGAATAAAACGTCATATGTCACTTGCTGATTGGGAAAAAAACAAACAAAAGATATTGGCCAAAATGGAGAACTGGTGAAGTGACGAAACTTGAAGCTAAAAAATGATAAATTGTGTAATGCTAATAGTATAACAATTTCAAATAAACTGCAGGTAATTTTCTGGTAAAGTACAAATAAATTAAAAATAAATTAAAAATAAATTAAAAATTAATTGTAAATAAATTGTAAATAAATTGTAAATAAATTGTAAATAAATTTCAGGTAAAGTACAAATAAATTAAAAATAAATTTCATGTAAAGTACAAATAAATTGTAAATAAATTTCAGGTAAATTACAAATAAATTAAAAATAAATTTCATGTAAAGTACAAATAAATTGTAAATAAATTTCAGGTAAATTACAAATAAATTGCAAGTGACAAAGCCAAGAAAAAAATTAAAAGCCACCGAATCCGATCCCTGCACGACGCCTATCATTTTTATATGATGAAAAAAAAAGAGAGCTTTTTACATCCCCCCCTCACAATATCCCCAAAAAAAAAAAAAAAAAAAATAGTGCTGCATACTTGTTTAGCTGTAAATGATTCCTCAAAATTCGGTCCCTAATCTCGTATCCACCAATATGTTTAAACCAGTATTGTAGATCTACTCGTTGGGCATACATAATATGTATAAGATATAACATAACCCACCAAAGTAACCAAAAATATATATGTAGCCCTCCTTCAGTACAAATATGTGTATCCCTACTTTTTAGCACATGCATACTTGTATTATACACATATATAAGCATACATATATAGGTGTATGCAATGAATATATATAAATATACAAATATATTATACATGTAAAGCATATTTTAGCACTTATATAAAAAAATGTACAATGATGAGGGGTGTAAATTGGGGCAAATTGTGACAAGCCAAAAATAGGAAAAAAAAAAAAAAAAAAAAAAACAAATAAAAAAAAAAAAAAAAAATAAAAATTAAAAATTATAAAAAAAAAAAAAAAAAAAAAAAAAAAAAAAAAAAAAAAAAAAAAAAAAACACCCATCTAGCTAAAAAAAAAATAATTAAAATTTGACTCTTTAATGCAAAAAAAAAAAAAAAAAAAAAAAAAAAAAAAAAAAAAAAAAAAACCCCACAAAAAAAAAAAAAAAAAAAAAAAAATTTAACTCTTTAAAAAAAAAAAAAAAAAAAAAAAAAAAAAAAAAAAAAAAAAAAACAATCATCATTTTCTACTAAGGACAACCATATAGTTCCAATAAATGTAAAATTATAGGGTTCTAGTTTTATAAATTCAGCAGAAAGATAGGAGAAAAAAAAAAAAATACTATTCCAATTTAGCAATTTTCAAATAAACCAGATTTTTACACAAGTAATGTGCGGCATATTAGCTATTTTTCATTCGTCCATTGAAAAACATGGGCTACGGAGGAAGGCCTTAGAATTATCCAAAAAGTACCGATGAGCGATTGTGGCACAGAGAGATCGTTTGTTATGCGCTTGTGTATGTGAGGACTTACAATTCTACATTTGCATATTTTTGCATTTTTACACGTTCACATTTTTACGCGTTCACATTTTTACGCGTTCACATTTTTACACCTTCACATTTTTACACCTTCACAGTTTTACACCTTCACAGTTTTACACCTTCACATTTTTACATTTTCATATTTTTACGTTTTCACATTTTTACGTTTTCGCGTTTTTACATTTTAGCGTTTTTACATTTTAGCGTTTTCACACTTTTGCATTTGTAGACTTGTGCATGCGCACCGGTGTTTGGCTCGACAAATAAGCATGCATTATTTACATAAACAGCTAGCCCCAAGGTTGGGGGATGAATGAATTAATTGCTTCCCCACTGTAATGCAAGAAATTGTTCTTGCATGATGGTCACATTCCACTTTTCACAAAAAAATGAATCAAATCGGGTTGGCATCCAAGGGGGTGTATCCATATACGTATATACGGGTTGATGTACGTATATACTTGTAAAAATATATATATATATATATATATATATATATATATACGCCGTGTGGCAGGGAAAAAAGTACCCTTCTCATTTCAACCATCAGACGTAAGTTCTGTTCCTGCTTTTTTCCACATATCTATTTTTTCAAAAATATCATTAAAAGAGGGTATATAAGTGTGATAGTATACCCTTTCCCTTTTTTCCCCCCCGTTGACATAAATATGACATTTTTTCCATTTGCCACACACACTTTGCATCAATTTGACAAAATGTTGAATTGGTAAGGTGTCATATCAGTGTGGAAGGGTTACGATACAAATGGGGATGGGTTAAAATTTAAAAGATCATTGCTTTTTTTTTTTTTTTTTTTTTTTTTGCATCTTTCAAAATTTTCGCTTACTTTTTCCATTTAAATGGTTTTTCTAGGGAGACAGCTGAATTCTTTTGTGTTTTGTCACTCTATTTGTTTTTTCCCATTTCTTCTGTTTTTTTTTTTTTTTTTTTTATGATAATGAGTGCGCGCCACCACCACACCCACCTTTGAACTCACCAAAAAATAGTTCCTCATAGACCACGACAAAATCGAAGAGTGTTTTGCCGGTTCAGGCTTGTATCATCCATTCACGATTAGACACGCCATTTGATGAACTCACATGACACCGATTTTTTTTTTTTTTTCTTCTCAGGCTAAGACACCGTGGGCCAGACTGGAATGGCATAGTCGTCGAACATAACGAAGATGGAACAACAAATGTAATTGCACACGAGAGACTAGCAATCGTTGATGTGCTCTCAGGGCATCAACCCCTTTATGATGAAGAAAGGGAAATATGTTTAACCATAAATGGAGAAATTTACAATCACATGGATTTGAGGAAACTAATTAAGCAGGACGTTTTAAAGAGTCTAACTAGCCAATCTGATTGTGCAGTAATACCAAATTTATACAAAGAGTATAAAGAAAAAGTACCATCTATGTTAAATGGCATATTTGCTGGTGTCATCAGTGACAAGAAAAATAACACATTTTTTGCATTTAGGGATCCCATAGGGGTGTGTCCTTTATACATCGGATATGCATTTGACGGATCCATTTGGTTTGCTTCTGAATTTAAGGCATTAAAGGGTAGTTGCATTCGATATATTAATTTTCCACCAGGACATTACTACATTAATAGAAAGAACAAGGGAGAATTTGTTCGTTACTTTAATCCAAATTGGTGGGATTTAAGTAGTCCTATACCAAATAATAAAGCCGATTTAGAAAAAATTCGCTTGCATCTAGAAAAAGCTGTAATTAAGAGACTCATGGGAGATGTACCATTTGGTGTTCTATTATCTGGTGGCTTGGATTCTTCCATAGTAGCTGCTATTGTTTCTAAGCATTTGAAGAAGATTCACCATGCAGATCCGTTCTCCAACGGAAATGACATGATCGAGGGAAATCATACTAACAATGATAACAGGAATGAAAATTTCTACAAACTTAAAAGTTTTTCTATTGGTCTGAAGAATGCACCAGACTTAAAAGCCGCGAGAGAAGTAGCCAATTTTCTTGGAAGTGAACACACAGAATTTCACTTCACAGTAGAAGAAGGAATAGATTCCTTACATGATGTAATATATTACATAGAGACGTATGACATTACTACAATACGTGCTTCTACCCCAATGTATATTTTATCAAGACTGATAAAAAGTAGTTGTGTAAAAATGGTTCTTAGTGGAGAAGGATCTGATGAAATATTTGGTGGATATTTATATTTTCATAAAGCACCTAATGGGGAAGAATTTCATCGAGAATTGCAAAGAAAAGTTCACGATTTGCATATTTTTGATTGTTTGCGAGCAAATAAATCTACTATGGCATTTGGAATTGAAGCTCGTGTGCCGTTTTTAGACTTAGAATTGTTAGACCTCGTTATGAATATTGATCCCAAGGAAAAAATGTGTTCTAATGGTCGTATTGAAAAAGATATTTTGAGACGCGCATTCGTTGGCTATTTACCTGATCATATTTTATACAGACAAAAGGAACAATTCTCAGATGGTGTTGGATACAGCTGGATCGATGGTCTAAAAGAATATGCAGAAAGTAAAATTTCCGATATACAATTTTCAAGAGCACCTTTTCTATTCCCATATAATACTCCTAAAACTAAGGAAGCTTATTTGTACAGATGTATATTTTCTGAATGCTTCCCAGAACAGTGCGCACAAGAGTCTGTACCAGAGGGATCATCTATCGCTTGCTCATCTAGTAAAGCTGTAGAATGGGATGAATCTTTTAAACAAAATCCAGATCAGTCTGGTAGGTCTGTCTTGGGTATCCACCACAGCTCCAAGCAGTTCTCTGATGTGAAGCCGATTCAACTTGTCAACGATGAAAATAGGGTGTTTTTGGTCCCCACGAACTGAAGCACAAGTGGATAGTAGCAGCAGATTCGGGGTGCACATTATGGAACGCGTTTCTCAAATAGTCACATCTTCCCCTCCTTTCCACTTGAATGCCGCACCAACTAGCCAAATGTGCTTACGTACATGCATAAATGCGTACATATATATATATATGTCTGTGTGTGTGTGTACCCATTTGTGTACGCAGGTCAAACGCACAACGTAACTTTTTATTCATCCATATGTATATTTGCTCACGGAAGAATACGTGGAAAACAGCAGGAATGGGTAACACACGCGCCTCGAAAATTGTAGATGTATCTACCACCACCCTGTTCACCAAATATAGAACACAAGGATTTTTACGTGAATTTAAGCGTGTGTTTGTGTGAATTCCCAGCCCCGAGAAAAGGAGTTCAATTTGCTGCATACTTTTTAATTGGTGTTATTTTATTTTGTTTTTTTTAAATGTCTTAAATATTCCCAACATTTACCCCATGTGCACACCCTAGTTATAAAATTCAATTCCAACCCTTTTTTTTGAGGTTCGTAAAAAATGTAGCGCATCATTCTATTTTCTTTGCTTCGAAAAAAAAAAAAAAAAAAAAATTGTTGTGAAGAACTTGTCCGGCGAATTTTGTATGTATTTATGTGTTTAAGAAGGTTTTTTTTACCGATTCTGAACAATGAAGATTGGGGGTGGAGGAGGGGGTGAAATGGTCGACTCACTCAATTTGTGGGAAATGTGAAATGAGAAGCATTATGTACATATAGTGCTGCAGTAGTTTCCTCCGCTCTATCCATTCCATTATATATTTTACATTAGGTACAAAATTGGCATATGCTAATAATTCGATAATTCGCTTTTTTTCCCTATTTTTTTTTGCTCATTTGTGGGTTATGCAAAAACACAGAATATTATAACCAATATGATACCCTTTTACGTGAGAAATAAACGCGAAGAGTTTATAATTTTTTAATGATCTTATTTTTCTTGAAAATGTTACACTTTTTTTTTTTTTTTTTTACCTTGCCGTTAATATGATATAAAATAAATATAATCTTATTACACATGAAGTGCATACATCTGTATTGTGGCATAATTGCAATTATTCTTTTGCATTACATTTACGGATTTGAATTATGTAGTGCCAACCCCCTACTGTGCGATGATGTTAGTACCGTAACAAATTTTTCAGATGCTCCCTCATTTCGAAGCTACATACATATCATATATGCATTTATGTAACCTTGCTTTCAGGAAAATGCACTTAGAACCTTGCAACCTGTACGTACTAACACTAATAAAAAAAAAAAAAAAAAAAAAAAACACATGTATTGTTTTACTTTGTTTTTCCATTACCCTATTTTGTTTTTCACTATCTTATTTCTTTTTTTTTTTTTTTTTTTCTTTTTTTCTTTCCATATTCACCCCCTTTTTGTGGATAATCTTAACTCTATACGTTGACGAAAAATTATGTGCACAAATTTTTTTAATAAGTTTCTCCAAGTTACAGGAAATTAATTTTCTTCTATTGTGACCCGAATTTTATCTCTTTTTTTTTTTTTTTTTTTTTTTTTTTTATTTTTAATCCAATTTTATTTGCACATTTTGCAAGAAAGAAAAAGAAAAGCACCTTTTCCCAACCATCCCCCACCTTTCATTTCAGCGTATATACGATACCCATGGGTAAAGAAATTATACCTTTCCATAAAAAATACTCGCCTGCTTATATTTCATATAATATATAAAAATATATATTTTATGCTGCCTTATTACCATATATAATAATGTTGTATATATTGTATGCTGTGCCCCCCCCCCACCCTCTGGGAAAGAAATGCCTTTTCCTCAATTTTAGATAAACCATTTTTTTATTCTTCTTCTCTTGCTTCTGTAGTATGCAATACGACTTTTTTTTTTTTTTTTTTTTTTTTTTTTTTTAAATTCCAAAATAGAAACCCAAATTAACGATTTCTTCATTTTGCATAAAGATAAAATTACACAGTTTTTTTAAAAAAAATTTTGTAAAATATATTTTTTTTTAATTTGCAAAGGCTCTCCAAAGAAAGCCATTCTATTCTTTCACCCCAAACGAACTGTAAAATAAACGCAAAGAAAAAGAATATTTTGTGGTCCTTTTAATTTCACCACAGTTCTCATCGTTCCATTTGGAAAAAAGATTAATATATATATATATATATATATATATAAAACTGATAAAAAGTAGGTTGAGGAAAAAAAACGCCCAATATTTAATATACAAAGAGTCTTGCATATATAAATTCACACGAATATACATATTTATGAATGATTTGTGAGTTCACATATTATGCGTTTATACGATATTTGAAAACATTTCTTATCATCTAAGTAGAAAAAAAAATAAAATAAAATAAAATAAAATAAAAAACCTGTACAGCAAATAAGTTATCCCTTTTTACGAGTAAACACGCATATTTAATTTATGAGAGTGTCAATAGAAGAGATTATCATTCATATGTTTTACATGTATATATATAAACCCAGGAGTGATACTTGACTCACCACTGAATATTTTCAGACTATACGTATACGCAATTATGTGTATATTTTGGAGATACAAAGTGGATATTTGCATTTGCCGTTGTTCCTATCACATGGATGAATGGACGTGACGTTGGTAGATGATGGAGTCTCTGCCCAATGTCTATATATCCATGTTCAAAAAGAAGTTTTATCTGTTTTATTTGCTTTCCCCGTTTTATATCCTTTTTTTTGTTTTTTTCCCATATTTCCCTTTTCCATTTTTTTCCCTTTGCGTGCAGCTTGGTTTCTTAAAATGGCTATGAAATACGTTGCAGCGTACCTTATGTGTGTCTTGGGAGGCAATGAAAATCCAACTGAAAAGGAAGTGAAAAAAGTACTAGGTGCTGTGAATGCAGGTGTAGAAGATGATGTTTTAGCACACTTGATGAAATCTCTAAGTGGTAAATCTTGCCATGAATTAATTTCGGGAGGATTGGAAAAATTGCAGAACATTGGAGGTGGTGCTGCAGCAGCAGCCGCAATTCCAGCAGGTGCTACTACCGATGCGAAGGCAGAGGAGAAGAAGGAAGAGAAGAAAGAAGAAGAGGAAGAGGAAGAAGACGACTTAGGATTTTCACTTTTTGGTTAAATATTCACCACCACGTTTACAAGCTTGCTTTGCGAAACGCGTGTTCAGTACGTATATTTTTACATATATATATATTATTTCCTCACACGTTGTATATAATTGCAAGTGGGACAAATATCTTTTTTTATTTCTTTTTTTTTTTTTTTTTTTACCCCCTTCGTGTGCACAGTATATACATATTACCACGCAGTACCTTATTTTTTTTTTTTACATATACCACATGCACAGTATATATAGATGTTGCCAGTGTGTTGTAAATATTGTTCTTTATTTTATTCTCCTTTTTTTTTTTTTTTCTCCTCTTTCGTTTCACCATTTTTTTATTCATACATATAGTTACATATAGTTACATATAGTTACATATAGTTACATATAGTTACATATAATTACATATATATACAGTTGGAGCCTTTTTTTATTTTAAATGGATATTGTGCATGTGTCTGTTGTGTGTATCCATACATACGCACACATGCATGATGCAAAAACGTTGCTATTAAAATGGACAACTTGAAAAAATATCTCTATCATATCATTCTTTTAAAATAGGAGAAAAAAAAGAAAAAACAAATGAAATATGTAAAGAGTCGTCGTCCCCTCATTATGAAGTAATTAAGAGAGAAAAATCCTTTCCTGTAAATCAACAAGAATTGGTTCATGATGCATTAAGAATAAAAGTAGCACTACATTGTGATACGCGGATAGTTATACACACTCCTTATCATTATTACTCCCGTACAAAAGTTTTTTTTTTTTTTTTTTTTTCCTTTTGCATTTTCGCATTGCCGTTCATATTATGTATTATCATAAGCAACAACCAATTTTTATCGCGACCAATTCTCTTGTTCCATCATAAGTTATCCCAAAATGAAATAAAAAATTAAAAAAAAAAAAAAAAAAAAAAAAAAGTGATATAAGGTATAACAAAACACTCCCCCCACCTCCCCTTGAACAATAACAGGGCTCTAAACTACGATTCGGATAATTCGAATGATATGTTTTTTATCATTAAGGATTTTTATAATAAACCCAAGATCTTAAAAATGCATTTGTGTGTTTTTTTTTTTTTTTTTTTTTTTTTTTTATGTTCGTGTGTTACACACACAAGGGACAGGCAAAATTTGACATGCACAATTGTTTACAATTTTGCCTGATCGGGTCATAAATTTTTGGGCAATTTTGAAAAAAATACAAAAAAAAATATGACGAAAATTGCTTGTAAATGCACACAGAAAAAGGGAGGGCAGCTATATATCGAATTATTGAAGTAATTTGAGCGACTTGGCTAAATTCACAATTGCATTGCATTCTTTTATGTACGAATCGTTATCAACAACGCTTATAATTGACTGTCTAGATTTGTTTATGCACTTTCCAAGTAAATTCTTACTTAAGGCAAAAACTAAAGGCACGTTCTTCTCTTTGCATTTGCAGATGATTTTATTCACCTGATCATCAAATGCATTGTTCGTCATTGGTTCAATGTTAGGCGCAAGAATAACTAACTTTGGTTCGTTGTTACATATATGTTTGTAGCTCTCTTTCAGTCCCAAGATATATCTCTTTTTTTTTTTCATTAAGTACAACTTCTCATGCGATTTCGAAATTTTATGTAAGAATTCTTTAACCAATTCGTTTAATTCGGCTGTTATTTTATGATCAACATATTCGTTAATGTAAATTTTTTTTTGCACTCTGCTAACATGTATATAATTTATAATTTTCTCGTTTTTCAGGATACACTCTTTTATTTGTTTAGCACTAGGAGCATACCCCGTGTGGTTATCCAGCACGCGTTTGTTCAACATTGCACTGTTTTTCTCTTCGTCTGCAATGTTTATAATGTGGTTGTCCTTTTTTACGTCTACTGTGCTTGTTTTTTCCTTGTCTACTTCAACTTTCATCTCCAGATTCAAACCATTTACACTACAGTATCGTGTCCTACTACGTGCCCTTCCCATTCCATCATTCTGTGGGACTAACGTCTTGAGGAGTTCCTTCGATTTTTCAGCATTTTGTTTTGTAAGCTCACTGGTGTGTTGACTGTTTAGCAGCTTCTTCTGCTGCCTCTTTTTTCCCCCTATTAATCCTTGCCCCATTGGGGACTTCCCCGACCTCATGAAAATAATTTTTTTTAAACTTGCTACTTCCAGCGTAAACGATTCATCATTTGTTACACGAATTGGCATTCCTTCGAAATGATGTTTATCAGCTGTGTGTCGTTTTGTTTTTCCATGTTCGATTCCCCACTCGATTCGCAAATTTACTCTCTTATTAAGGTAATAGGCACTAGTTTTACTTTTAACCATCCACTTTTTTTTGCACGTAATAAATTCAATGCAAGTATCTTTTTCATAATTTTCCAAAGATTTCGTCTTGTCCACAAGTGTCCTTTTCTCCATTTCCATATTACCATTTTGAATTTCTTTCAGAATATCGTTGTATATACCATGTCTTATTTTCTTCTCGAGAAGTATAAATCTTTTTTGTTTTGATTTTTTTTTCCGTTTAAATTTCTTGGGTAAAAAGTACAAGTTCCCTTTATCTCGTTCTGCTTGTATAATTTTATTCAAATCGTTGACTATTTTTTTTTTTTTCTCAAATTCTTTTCTTTTCTTTTTTTTTTGATAAATCAGTATGTTCATTTTCTTTTTTTTCTCGAATTCTTTTCTTCGTTTTTTATCACTGCTAAAGTTAACTTTCACGACTCTATCTCCTATTTGGACATATTTAGGCTTAATACATTGATCAGTATTGTTCATTCTCATTTGGTTTCGTTTGCTAGCTATCTTTTGTTGTGCATTCATTTCTTCATCCCATTGATTAGTTCCCCTGCATGGGAGCCTCTTTTTCCTATATTTGTCTCTTTCACCTCTTCCTCTAATATCGCCCCTCTCACTTCTTCCACCAATAATGCCTCTCATCATACCTACATATCATTTCTCCTTTATTTTCCTCTTACCTGTAATCCTCTCTTAATACATTCAAATATTTGCATTTCCAATTTTGCTATGAGTAAAAACCAAAAATAATATCTTCTTATCCAATTGTGAACAACACAGTTGAGACGAACCAAATAAAATAAAAACAATAAAAAATAAAAAAAAAATTATGAAACGCAGGAAAAAAAAAAAAAAAAATGTTTCTATATCCATGCTATTTCACCAATTGGGTAATATATGTTGATGGAGAAAAACTGCTACAAATTTTTGAGAATTACAAAAAGGTTTTGTTGACAAAATATCTCTCAGTGTGATAATGAGCTTATACCCATTTTGTATTCCTTTACACCTGCTTTATTTTTTCTCCCACTACAAACAACCACAAACACACACACATATATACATACACAAATATATCTATATATGCAGTGCCTTCCTCTTTCCTATGTGTTAAACCTGTGCATGTAAAAATTCCACAATTGACCATTTTGATTTAATTCATATACATCATTCCTTCACATAATTTTGAGATGACTTCTAGATAAGTCCTGAAAAAGCATGTGATGAATGGTATTGCCTCTTCTGTCCTCAAACCATGCATGCACTGATCCCTTTGTTGTAATATGAAGAGTGTATTAAAAAAATGCACAGAATACCTCCCAGCCTTGCAAAAATATCAGTATTCTCTATTTTTTTTTTTTTATTTTTTTTTTGTTATTTATTTATTTCTACCCCCTCCCAACTGTTTAAGTTTTACATTTGTGCAAATATTTTGAGAAATCTCGCGGTGAATGGTCAGTATGCAGCTCTAAACCCTTTTTCTCATCGTCTAACACTGGACATAGTGCTAAAAATATATATCAAAGTGGTTGTTAAAAAGTGAAAAAATATATATAATTGTATATATATATATATATATATACATCAAAATGGTGGTAAAAAAGTGGGGAAAAAATCTTTCAAAATGAAAACTTCTTTCTTTTTTAAAACAACTGCGTGCAACGCTTATCAATAATATCCCAAAATTTTTTTATTTTCTAAGTGACGTAACTTTTTTTTTTTTTTTTTTTTTTCATATAAAAATTTGGTTTAACTTTTGCAAATCCGTTTTTTGTTAAGCACAAAAATAAATCCTTTTTTTCTCGCCCAGGAAAATAAAAAAAAAGGGACAAAAAAAGAAAACTCTAAATTATGTACATTCTGTAGCAATGAATAGCACACCATTTCCTCCATACGACCCCTCTCATTCAGCTTCTTACCCTTTTATATAATGAATAATAGAAATTGTTTTTCCGTTGTACCTCCACCCCCTCCTTCGCCATTCCAGGGAATCAACAACTTATGTAAAACTATGCATTAAAGGGATTTCCCCACTCAAAAAAAATAAAAAAAAGAAAGGAGAGAGATTGGAATGAAACAAAGACTGGGATAGAGATATAGACTGAAATGAAACAGAAATTGGGATAGAGATAGAGAGAGGAGAGATCAAGAAAGGAGCACAGACAGAGATAACGATTTGAGAGAACGCAATATGCACATACATAAATCGATATACATAGCACAAATATATACATCAAATTTGTGTACCTGTAAATATTTGAACTATAATTGTACATTTCCAGAGTTTACATATTTAATACAAGAGAGAGCCTAAAACTTTGTGCGAGTTTGATATGCATCTATAGGTTTAATTTTAGATGCAATCTAATTCAGCACAGGTTTTAGCTAACGTTTGTTTTAGTTTTTTTTCTCTTGTCCATTTAACCCAAAATTTATTTTATTTTATTTTATTTTTTTTTTTTTTTTTTGTTTGTTTGTTTGTTTGTTTGAACCTTGCATTCCGCAGATACTAGTTCGAGGGTCAAGTTTTTTTTAATCAAAAGTTCATCAGACAAGAACATATCAATTTCGTTAAATTTTAACATATGGGCAACAACTCCAAAGAATGAAAACAAATTTGTCTCGGCGTTTGTGGTAAGTTCTTCATGGGGCAAACAATGTGAGAGGTGACAAATATATTAGTGACTAAAAAGATGCACAAAAAAAAAAATATACCTGAATGGAGGAATAAATAAACAAACAAGCAAATGAATAAAAACATATATAACATGTCTAACGAGAGGAGAGGAAGAACAAGTGTGTTTCCGATAAGGTTGCGTTCACCAATATGCGTCAAGTGAGAATAGTGAAACGGCATCATAGAACAAACTTCTAACTTCCTTTTCGAGTTTACACGCCTCTCTGATTTCCCACAAACACTGCCAATGTGTGTATGTGTATATGTATATGGATGCATATGTATGCATATATGTGTGTATATTTTTCTTTTTCTCTTTCCCCAATTCTAAAACAGGAAAATGATTACGTCGTCTTGGTCTTCTCCGTTAATGGAAGTTCCAAATTTTGTGGATACGCTATAATGAAGTCAATGTAATGTTTCAGCACATGTGGGGAAAAAATGGAAAATTGTCTCATTTAAACATATGTTTGTGTGTGCGTGTGTGTGTGTATATATATAGGGTGACCACGTGAGCATAGTGAATGCATAGTATGTCCACGTGCGCATAGTGAATGCCCCTCCTTTTTCCACCAAATAGGCCTGGAGAATCTAAAAACAGCAATGTGTACTTTTACTATGACGATAAAATATTTCGAGGAAGGAACTTCGATATTCAGTGGGTTAGAGTGTAAGTCGAGCGTAATAACAACATCCAAATTTAAACTACCTCTGCACCCGATCGCGCATTTGTACTTATAAACAGAAAATGTTATACATGAGTTTAAAAAAAAAAAAAAAACACTCTGAGCATCATATCACCCTCTTTCTTTAACACATGCATTTTCATATTACAGCGTTGATGTACCATTTCAAGAAGTATCTCACTTGAAGAATAGTTTGAATGAAAATAAGTCAATCAAAGTTGGGCGAGATGGACAAGTAACCTAAAATATGCACACACATCAATTGATGTATAAATAAAAAAAAAAAAAAAAAAAAAAAAAAATTCACACATATGAGGTAACAAATTGAACATATACATGATCATAATCAGCTAACATAAACCCCTTGTGTTCATTGTTCCCTATTCACATTTTCAGGAAATTGAACACATGATAGGACTTAAATTATGTGAAATTTTCGAAGCCAAATATGCGAAGATGTCCAATTTTGGGTAATATTAAATGATTCATATTGTGTCTCCAAAATGTATTCATATAGACTTGTGCCGAAGATTACTGACCATCAACCCGTCCCCATGTTCTCCGTCTTTCTCATTTTCTTTCCCAATTTTTTTCCCATTTTCTTTCCTTCTTTTTTTAACCCACAAGTTGTGAGAACCCCCTTTTTTTGTGCATCCCGGTTGTATTTTTATCATTTCTCCAACTTTACACTTCGATATGCTTCTTCATTTTCTCTTTCCATGCAATTATCCCCAATTTGATCAGAGAACTGAAGACACAGCAGACAAATCAAGTAGGACAGGCCACACACCAGACGCAACCGAAACAGACGACACAAATGACACAACCATCACAATCGACACAACGGAGGCAACGAGCGCAGGAAAACCTGGACTCGGGTACCTCCGGAGGGAAGGAAAAAATTGATATGGTAAAATTGTTTCCACCAAATAGCACTTTAAACATAAATTACAACACTTTCAAAAAAATGTATGAAGAATCTCAGTATAACTTGGTCAATATATATAACCCAGCACTTCATATATTTCCAGTGGATTTGACTAATATGAATTACGATGAATATATTGATTTGTATGAAAAGTCGCAGCTAGCATGGCAGGAAAAAATACAGCAACTGCAGCAGTTCAGATAAAATTTTGATGGATTAGACATATTTGGTAACACGAGGAAAAGGGGGGGGTGGTAAGTGAACTCCCCCTTTGGTCATCTTCCATTTCATTTTGTAAGTCTCTCCCACTAACATACAAATATTGATCCATTAAACCGTGTGGCTTACATATACACGTGTGTGTGTGCAGGGAGGAGGGGATATCATCATGTGTTCTCATATATCCATCAGCAAATACATCCATATGAATACTCGCACTATTGCAATTATCTTTTCTGGCAAATGTCTTCTTTGAATATTATTTTTTTTTTTTTTTTTTTTTGGTATACTTCGCGTCTTCGGTTTCTTCTTTTTTTCAGTAATTTGTTATATAATCCTCACTTTTCAACCGAGACACCTGGCTTCTCACATTTTAACCGAGACATCTGACATCTCACATTTCAACTGAGACGTCTGGCTTCTCACTTTTGTGTTAAAATCACAAGACCCGCTTCCTCGTGAAATGAACGATATTCACATATGAACAGAATATGCATTCATATCCCTATGAGGAACTTTGAACCAACGAATTGTATCCATTCTCATTGAATTGAATGATTTTTGAATTCATGTAATCAAAAAGGTTGTCTTGCAAAAACTGAACAAAGATGTCGCAAAAGAGACACGAATTTGCATCTAGTACAAAAAGATTCATTGAGGGAATATAGATGCTGAATATAAAGGGGCTCTCTAACAATTCAACATTTCTTATAAAAGGGATTCGTTTATTCTGTAGGTACTTAATGATGTTATCTTTAAATGTGTCGTCATTATTGCCATGACTCTTATTGCTACTGTCATGACTCTTATTGCTACTGTCATGACTCTTATTGCTACTGCCATGGCTCTTATTGCTACTGTCATGACTCTTATTGCTACTGTCATGACTCTTATTGCTACTGCCATGAAGTGATGGCTTGACTTCCCCCTTGCATATTTCTCTCCTCATATCGATAATCCAATTATTGTAAAGAACAGTGACATTTTTACAATGGAAACTAATTAAATCAAATGAAAATAATGCCTGTATTTTAATTATATACATAATTTGAATTAACAGAAGACACCAAAATGGGTTGACAATTTCGTGATTCCCTAAATGTTCATTAATTTGTTTGAAAATATGTGCAGCGTCTTCTGTGGCAATTTTTTTATCAAAAAGAATCAGCAGGAAGAGATAGCTCACATAAAATTCAAAACCCAAGTGGTAATTTTTAATCTTGCATAACTCTCTCTTAATATTTCTAATTATGCATTCTATTTTGTCATACTTATAGTGTTTATAACCCCCTTTAACCATTCTCAAAATATCCAATGCACTGTAGTTTCCCCTCTTTTTACACATGAAATCTATGTAACATTTGTAGTTCTCAAAATTATTACACCAGCTGTCATCCGATTGACCATACCCATCCTTGCTGATCATCATGTTGATATAAAAAAATTCGTATTTTCTGATAGTCTCTCTAATTTCCTTTTCAATTATTTTATCTTCCTCTTCATTTGGTATAAGTAAATCCCTGATTTTTTCAAAATCGTTACAATTTATGCTGTTAGTATAACGAGAATTGCTTTCACTATTTGAGTCAACATTCAAGACGGCCTCAACTGTGGATTCTACAACTGATAAGTACTTTATAATTGCATCTTTTCCATTCCATTTGAGGTAATCGTTTATGGATGGTAAGATGGAGTTTTTAAATATGTCAATTATATGTTCCTTTTGAAAGTAGCAAAAAATGAGGTTTATCAAGCAATCCAGGTTGTGTATCTCACATACTAAATAATGACTATGGAGATAATTCTCAACTTTTCCATTTATGTAGTAATGTCTGCTGTTTGTAACGGTAAATTTATTCTCCTCATCGTAATTACTTTCATTCAAAGTAAGATTTATTTTTTTTTTGCTTTCTTCGTTCATCTTGCTTTTTTTTAATCTTATTATGTTTTCTCTGATGACCGATTTTATATTTTCAATACAAATTTTTAGAATTTTTTTTTTATCCTTTTCAAAACTTTTTTCTGAGAACTGACACCCATCATACATTCCTCTCTTTCCCTCTTTTATACCACTCCTTTTGTCCCTGCCATTTATTTGACTGTATGTGAAATTGTCAAAAATTCGATAAAAAAATATATAATGGTATGAACACAAGGGCCATAAATTCTCCTCAAACAATTTGAAAAACAAATTTATAAAATGAAAACTTTTTATTTCAAAGTAAATCAAGTTGTCTAGAAGTGTGAGGAGAAGCAGATCTCCAAATCCTTTCACTGTAGTAAATTCAAATGGGTACTTCTCTGCGTACTTGTGTAATTCAACCTGGAGAACCTCACGCTTTTTTGAAAATGTGTCACCACATGAGGGATCCGCTAATATGTTCAACCCACCTCCACCATCACCACTCCCCTTAATGTCGCTAAATAAATTATTAACACAATCAAAAATGGGGAGGAGATTATCTGCGCTTCTTACTGCTGTGAAGAATTTATTGACAAAAATGAAAAACAATTTGACTAGATGTTTATTTATCATCAAAATGATATTCAGATCAAAATATTTATCGTAATAAAGTTTCCCTCCTAATTTCCTTTTTTCAATTATTGTCCTGTAGAACATGTATTCATAAATTCGGTTGTAATCGTTTTTCATAAATGTTAAATGATCTACACTCAAATGGAATAAATTTTCTAAATTTTTTATTCTGTCTGTTAAGGTAATTTCTTCACCGTACAATTTTTCTCTACTTTTGAGAGAAAAAAAAAAAGAGAGCATTTTTTTTTGTATCTGGTCGTAGACAATATTGTTACAAAGTTCATTTTGTGCCAAGTTGTAATTTCTATTTAGAGATACAATATTAGTACAAATATTTCCATCACCACGGTTTTCATTTTTTGTCTGAACATTCATACAAGTTTTGTAAAAATTATACTGCCGAAGTGTGTATAAAACCATCACAACGTCACTGAAAGAACCCTTTACTCCAATTTTAATCATAATATTTTTTATAAGTATATCGAAACCGTTAATTAAATAATTATTATTTTTTAACACATAAAACAATTTTGCAAGAATTTTTTTTAAAATTTTTATATTAAAAAAGTTCATATTTAACCTGTACATATTCAGAATATTTTTTTGCACCGTAGAACTTTGGCAAAAAATATCTGTATAATATGTCATTTTATCAGCAATATAAAAATTATTTATCCCCTTTTTCTCTATTTCTATATAATTTTTAAAAAAAACATGAAGAATATTGATAACACACGGATGGTCTTGCAGTTGCAATAACTTTACTTGTCTAAGATAAGTAAAAAACTGTTCTTCATTTAGGATCTCTATTTTGTTTTTTATTTCGTTCATTAGAAAGAACGTAAATTCATCTTTAAACAAACAGCTTATAAAATTATTCCACAAAATGGATGGACTTATTTTATCCTTATTTAGCAATACCTTTTTCATTACTTCGTTAGTGCAAGTTCTGTATATGTCTCTATACAATTTTAGTTCATTATGACTAACTTCTATTTCTCCATTCTTCTCGAATTTCATGTCGATTTTGCCTTCTCCACATTCTTCCTGCACAGTACAAATTCCTTCAAAAACTTCACCAACATTCATATTTCCTAATGATACCTCAGCCCGTATTGGTTTTATTTCATTACTTCTCTCTCTTTGACCCTTACATCTTGTTAATATTTCTTCTTCAGATTTTGTTTCCATTCCGTGTATTCCTTTAACTGTATCAACGTTTCTTTCAAAATTGGATTCATCATCCCCTTGACGTTTCTCTAAAACGAGATGCTTTTTTTCTTGTACCCTGATGCCTACGCTACTTTCAAAAGGGTTAGATAATTTCTGTTTATGTATAGAAGAGGAGCTATTATTATTACTACTGCTACTGATCAGTCCACTATTGCCTACCCTTCCTACATTGTTCAAGCTGCTTATACTATCATTCATAGAGACAATTCCACTCATTCCATTTATTTTGATATCGTCAAAATTGTTAAATATAAAGTAGTCCTTATCATTTTTGTTTATTCGAAAAAGGTTCCCCAAAAAAATGTCAATTTCATTTTGTATCTTCCTCTGTGAATCATTTTTTTCATCATATGAGAGTTTTTTAGAATGGCTATCCGGATTAATACCAACTGTTGTGTTGCTACTGTCGAAGTAATTTGTAACCTCATAGAGGAAATGTCTTTGGTTATTTTGATTGGATGTGTCTTCCCTATGGTGTATGACATTGTGAAAATATAAATGCTTCAAATACATGTTTACATACCGAATAAGTAACATAATATGTTCCAAGTCCATCCTATGCTTTTTCAATTCAATGCATTTATATATCTTACACAAAGAATGCTTCAAATGTACATAAAATAAATGGAAATAAAACAAATACTTTAAATTATTCACAGGATCTTTTTTGCTATAAAAAATGTACTTATCCCATAATAAAACCATGTCTTTATAATTCTTTTTCGTTTTGCGAACGTTATACAATAAATATAGCATTTTAATAACATCACTTATGTCTTCGTTCATATGTGCATCACAATCATAGAAATTTTTTGCATCACATTTGACTAGCTCCTGCTTCATTTTATCTAACAAAATGTTCATTTCCTCATCCAGGCCTGCAAAATGGAAAGGAATTATATCTATCGTTTGAGGTTAGCACTGGAGGCATAAATACACCCATAAATAAGCAGATAAATTTCAACACATTAGAGTTATCTGTATAAAATGGAAGAAATTATTTTTTTCTATTTCACATAATAAAACCATATACACTTGTTTACAGAAAGGATTGGAAAATAGATATTACCTATATAATAGAAAAACACAATTTGTCTGCACAAAAAAGAATGACACGTTAGGAAATTCTTATTAACAATTTTTTTTAGCTTCGAAAAACATCTTTCCTGCTTAAGGTTTTTTAAAAAGTCATTCCATACATCCTTCTCATTGAGTCTCGAAGGGATAGTATGATAAATATTTCTTAACAAACCGAGATACTTATTTTCACTTTTTATTTCATTAGTTTTCTCTTCGTAACTGTTAATGTATGCCCTTATTTTTTTCATCTTGCTTTCTGTTGACTTGACAACTAGCGAATGAACCATTCTCATTAGCTGCAGGAGTGGGGAATTGCACGAATCATGGAAAGGTGCAAGTATGAATTTCATGAACATGCAGATGAGAAACCCTCTGATGAGAACCTGCATATATACAACTCCATCATTGCGTTAAATTTGTTCACCAAACGGTATACTAACATCTACAGCATAATGGAAGCGCGTCAAGCATACGTATATCTCTAAATGGTGCATTTACAAATTCATGAACGATTCACTGTCGTCCAATTGGGTTATGTATATATGTCTACATATATTTATCTAAATATATATATGTTGTAGATATATGCTCATATATTTATCTGTTCATACCTGAATCCTCATTACTCTCTTCATGTTGAATTATTTTCTTCCCAGAAGTGTTCTTTTCTTCACAATGGCCTCTTTAACGATTTGGCAATTCTCTCGCTCTCTATCGTTCTATCCTTTCTGGTTTCCATCTCCGCAAAATAACACATAACTCAACTTTTAAGAAACTAGTTTTTACATTTAGGTGCTTTTAGCTTAAATGAGTTATTGTAATGTTGCCTCTGTTTTGTCTCTAACAAAAATAATAAAAAGTGCATTGTCAGAAAATTAATAATTTCTTTTAAGATTTATTTTATTTTTCCTTTTTTTTTTTTTTCACAAGGGAACCTTTTATATGCAAATGTGCCTAGGTTGTAAGCTAAATCTCATCCAGCAAAAAAGGAAGAAAAAAAAAAAAAAATAAATAAAAAATAGCAGGAAAAGAGAGAGGATAAAAAAAAAAAAAAAAAAAAAAAGAATGCAATTCAAACTTTGCTCCTAATATTTTATGTCCTTTAATCGGTACCCATTTATATGTCAAGCACACATCAATGGTACACTTCCAACATCCGGGTTAACTTCCTTCTGTATTTTTTAACCATCACAAATTAGTTTTAAATATTTATACAGAAAATGAGCTAGCAAAAGGGGAAAAAAATAAAATTCTCATTACTTTTTTTTTCCTTCTACACTTTTGTGAGGTGGGAAAATGTTTTTCACTTAGTTCAAAACTTAACATATTGACTCTATTTTTTTTTTTTTTACTTTTGCCAACACTTCGCGTGACGTACATAAGCTATTTTGTTTAAAAGTGTTTGTAACAATTCTGCAAAAGGTTGGGAATCTATTATTTGATAAAAACCTCCTTTCCATTCCACACATTCCTTTTTCCATACCAAGATAGAAAAAATAAAAAGAATATATATTCATAAACGGTGTGTAAAAGAAAAAATGAAAAAAAAAAAAGTGGAGGGTAAAAAAAAAGTAAAAAAAATGCATACATAAACCAAAGTGACGAGGGGGGAAAAAAAAAAAAAAAAAGTATCCCCCACATAAAGGCATACAATTCCTAATAAGACGAGGAAGTTTTAAAAAAAAAAAAAAAAAAAATGTATTTTTCTTTTTTCATTCTTGTTTTTTGCTTGCTAAGATTAAGTTTAATGTCAAAGGCTTACCTAACCAACAACGTTGTAAAATCAAATTTTGTGTTGTTTGCAGTTAGGAAAAAAAAAAAAACTCCTAGGATGATTCATATTACCGTGAGTGCGGACAATGAAATAGGAACAAAAGGTTCGCATCCTAAAATATAGAAAATGTTTGACTCACTTATACAATGCACATATGGTGAATGTACAGAGACAGCATCCATACTGTTTTCCGGCGTGTTACGCACGCTTTATTTTTCAACCCTTTTAGGAGAAATAAAAAAGGTGAAATTATCACATGCCTTCAACTACATCATACCACAGAAACTTGGATACAGAAGCACCATCGATGAACTAGTTGAGAAGGAAAAAAATGAAAATACGCTCAAGTATATAGATGAAATTAGAACGAGTTTTCTATTGAGTTTCAAAAATAGAATTGATGGGATTAATATTCCCTTTCATTTTACTGAAGGAGAAAATTTTCTTATTACCCAGGATGACATCCTGCATTATGTAATCCCTTCGTGAGTTTCGAGCGTACCAAGTGTAACACGCGCTTACCTGAATACCCGTGTGTGCATATTTCTACATTTTAAGAAAACTCACACATGCGTGATTGTATATATATACATGTATATGTGTACCTATGTATATATGTGCTTATGTATATATGTACTTGTGTATATTTGTACTTGTGTATATATGTACTTGTGTATATTTGTACTTGTGTGCACGTTTATATGCCCCCCCCCCTCTCCATTATGCTAATTAAGTACAAACATTATTATTCTCCTTGGGATTAACACTACTGTTCCCTTATCTCAGCTTTTAACAAGGGGACTAATTAGAGAAAACGATGACATGTACAATAAAATAAAAAATAAAAATATAAAACTCTCAGCTTTTGGAAGCTACCTCATGAAGTACACCTTTATGAACAATATTAATATTAACCTTACTGTACACGTGATTAAGAACAAATGATAAAACGTTCATGCGCTGGTCTCGTGTTCGTTGCAAAGTGGAGAAGTTGGACACACGCATATCATGAAATATATATATTATAAATCCATACTGAAGTAAAAATGTACATATATACATGCCCAATGAAGAAGAGAAGAAGAAACAGCAATACATTTCAAGGTATAGTCACATTTGAGTTCACAGAAGTTACCATTACATGATCATCTCCATTTACGTTTAGGGGGAAAGTGTTTCAATTTCAAATAGCGATATATAGTGTTTTTAATCCACTTCAGTATGTACATTAGACATACATAAGCAAGTTTCGAAAAAAAAAAAAAAAATGTATCATCCAAATGATCTAATTTTTAAAATTACGAAGCATTTATAACGTAACATGAGAATAACTAACTATCTCCCCCCCCCCCCCATGTACATTTTTTAAGGGGAAAAAAAAAAAGCGAGAGAGAGATGAAGATAAAGATGAAGAAATAGGGAGAATCAAATCGTTTTTCCTAGAATTATTACTTTTTCCCAAAAATGTAAACAGCATACTAGAGGAAACCACACTTTTGGAAATTTTTTAAAAATAAATTACATATATACTTCTGCAAAAAAGGAAATATACGCAGCATATAGCTTACGACAGAATAATACATATCCCACTTTTTCTAGTGTTAACATTGTTAAGGAATGGGACACTTTATGTGTAAATCACATGTTTATGAACAGAAAATACAAATTATTTTTTATGTATAATTGAATGAATAAATACAATTCCGCTTTCCCAACTGTAGGACATACCTAATACGTATATTAAAGTTGTCTACAATTCGCATTTCCATGAAATACAGTGTACATTAGAACGTTTTTCCATTTTAATGGATTATCATACACCCATGTTAAACGCCTGAACAGACAATAAATTCCCCAGATATCTCAAAGCATTTGCTTTTTTTTTTTTTTTTTTTTTATGCATTTATATATGCACCAACAATTAGCTAGCTTTTTTTCTAGCCATTTTTTTTTTTCGTTTCGAGCTGTTTTTCCAAAGAGCAAACAACTACTAACTGCTGTAGACCTAAACATTTTTTTTTTTTTTTTTTTTTTTTTTTTTATTAATAACAAAGCAGTCATATAAAAACTACTCACCTTTTTTTTTTTTTTTTTTCTTTTCATGCCAAGACTAGTTATCTTTTTTCGCAAAACTAATAAGACCCTTTTGACGTTTAAAATATGAAGTATTCTTTTCCATTGCAGTGTTTAAGTCAGAATACAAGATTTAAAAGAAAATAAATTATTTCAACTGATTTGAGATTAAATTTACTCGCATTAACATATTTAATTTTTTTTTTTTTTCATTTATATGTATATATATATATATATATTTTTATTTTTGCTATAAATTTTGTTCTTTCCTGTTTTGTTCTGTGCTCACACGTCGTTAAAAAATTAATGGGATGCGATGAACCAGTTTTATTTGCATGCAACAACAAATGGTACATTAAATATAATTCATTCAAGGCTTTTTTTTTTTTTTTTCCAAATTTTTAACAATCGATGATTTTTTTCTTATTTTTTTTTATACAAATGAATATTGTGTTAACTGTGTAGCATTATTATACTTTCTGTAATTTTGTATGACCTCTTTTGTGTATTTCAGCTCCGTTTCCTTTTGCACGTTTTCTCGAAAGCGCATTGTTCACGACGCTTATTTGTGCATTTGTCTGATGACGTTCTATTTGAATAGTTTTTCCCTTTCATCACAATAACATATGTATTGGACTGTGTATGCATAGTTGAACGTAAATAAAGCGTTTTCATAATATTTCTTTTCCTCAAAGTTTTTAAAAAAAAATTTGTAGAAACTTTTAATTTTTTTCAGTTAGTGGTATAAGCAAGAAATTGAAATGAACCGCAACCTCTTGCTCCGTTATCTTTCGTTTGTCTAATTTTTTTACTATCTATTTTTTTGCTATTGTCTTTTTCTTCCTAATTTTTTACCATCTATTTTTTTGCCATTTTCTTTTTCTCCCTAATTTTTTACCATCTATTTTTTTGCCATTTTCTTTTTCTCCCTAATTTTTTACCATCTATTTTTTTGCCATTTTCTTTTTCTCCCTAATTTTTTACCATCTATTTTTTTTTTCCATTTTCTTTTTCTTCCTAATTTTTTAATATCTATTTTTTTGTCATTTTCTTTTTTTTCCCCTTATTTTCCCAACGTTCCGCGGTCACATCTGTGAAGCTTTCTGGGCTTCTCTCATAGTTATCGCCTTTTTGTAAGTTTGTTCCATACGAAGCATAAAAAAAATGAGTAGCCTATGCACAAGTAGAAGTAGTAGCAGTAGCACAGGTAGAAGAAATAACAGAAGCAGAAGTAAACCCACTTTCAACGCTACCATCAAAAAAAAAATGAAAAGATCTACAGAAATTTTAAAAAAGAAAAAAGGGTCAACGAACAAATCGTTCAAGATCAACAACCATTCGACATACTGTGAGGGTAGTAGAATCTCAAATAAGAAGGTGCAGAGGGAAGAAAAGGATTTAAAATGTAAGAGATCAAAATTAGGAGAAAAAGGATTAAATAAAAGTAAAAAAAAAAGTAAAGATAATTGTAATCCGTTAAAAACTGTCCATGGTGATAATTTTAAGTTTTCTAGGAAAGGATTTATTTTAAGTTTCACAGGGAATTTGGAAGACTTTTATAACTTATCAGAAGAGCCTCTAGGGCGAGGTACATATGGATGTGTATACAAAGCCACGGACAAATTATTAAAAATACAAAGAGCTGTTAAGGTTGTTTCCAAGAAAAAGTTAAAAAATATCCCCCGATTTAGACAAGAAATAGATATAATGAAAAATTTAGATCATCCTAATGTTGTAAAGTTGTTAGAAACATTTGAAGACAACAAGCAAATATATTTAGTGATGGAGTTATGCACAGGTGGTGAACTTTTTGAAAAAATTGTAAAAAAAGGATCCTTCTCCGAATTGTACACTTCCTTTATAATGAAACAGACATTTTCCGTACTTAATTATTTGCACATTCGAAATATTTGTCACAGAGATATAAAACCAGAAAACTTTTTATTTTATGACAAATCTCCAGAATCGTTAATTAAAATGATAGATTTTGGTTTAGCTTCCTACTTCAGTGATGTTAATTCGGGTATGAAAACAAAAGCTGGGACTCCGTACTATGTTGCACCTCAGGTGTTAAGTGGGTCCTATGACTACAAGTGCGACTTGTGGTCGGCTGGCGTTTTGTTTTATATTCTTCTCTGCGGATATCCTCCGTTTTATGGAGAAAGCGATCACGAAATACTTAGCATGGTGAGTAGTGTGCATGCAAAAAAAGGAAATGCAAAATGAGTGGAGGCATGTGCAAAATGAGAGTGGGGCACATATACATGTTCATACGTGCATGCTTACATACGTGCATGCTTACATACGTACATGCTTACATACGTGCATGCTTACATACGTACATGCTTACATACGTGCATGCTTACATACACATATTTGTCTGCTTTTATAATGCATTATATGTCGATGCCCCCGCACCCCCAGAATTGCTCAAATGAAGGTGCCTTTCGCTGCCAGTTTTTTTTTTTTTTTTTTTTTTTTATTGTGCTACAGCAACTTTAACCTATCACCTGAACACACCCTACAGGTTAAAAGTGGGAAATTCAATTTCAAGGGAAAGGAGTGGAACCATGTCACGGAAGAAGCGAAGGACCTCATCAAGCAATGTCTGACCATGGATCCCCACAAAAGAATAAGTGCAAGTGAAGCATTAAAGCACCCTTGGTTCAAGAAAAAACGAAACACTTTCAATATGAATTTTAAAATGGACATACATGTGTTAGAAAATTTCAAAAACTATGCCCTTTTGCTAAAGTTTCAGAAGCTAGCCATGACAATTATAGCACAACAGAGCAATGATTGCGATTTGCAGCAACTTAAGGCAGCATTTTTGCATCTTGATGAAGAGGGGAAAGGAAATATAACGAAGCACCAATTAAGAAAAGGCTTAGAAAGTAGTGGCTTAAAGTTACCTCACAATTTTGATTTTCTTCTAGACCAGATTGACAGTGATGGAAGTGGAAACATTGATTACACAGAATTCTTGGCTGCAGCAATTGATAGGCGGCAACTTTCCAAGGTCTGACTTTTTGTACATGGACATCCCTACTCTCTCTCTCTCTCCCCCCCCCCCCCTTTGTTTATTCCTATGCATGGGGAGGAAGTAGGTGAATGGGACAATGCAACATTTACGTGTTAAAGGATTTTTATTTGCATGAGCATTTGTATATTTCCATCTGTTTTCTTACCTCCCTATCTACCTTTTGTGTGCCTCCCGTCTCCCCCCGAAATAAATGCACTCATGTATGATTCATTTTTATCATTCCCATTTTAGAGGTTACTTTACTGTGCCTTTCGAGTCTTTGACGTAGACAACGATGGAGAAATTACTACCGCTGAGTTGGCACACGTAATATATATATATTTTCCCCCCAAAAAACCATAAGAATGAATATGAATGGCTATATATACATGCATACCCATTCCCCATGTGTGTGTGTGTGTGTACATATACATCAAACTATAAATTTTGGTGTCACCAACCTAGAAATTATCCTCACACGCGCACAAACATACACACACTTCCCCCCTTTCTTTTCCTTATTCAGATTCTCTACAATGGAAACAAAAGAGGAAACATAACAGAAAAAGACGTGAACCAAGTTAAAAAAATGATCAAAGAAGTTGACAAAAATCAAGACGGGAAGGTAGCAAAATAAATTAAGACCGAAAAAAAAAAACTAAGAAAAAATTTATATTAACACTTTTGAAGCATGTCCACTCGTCCACCAAATGGGGCAAATTGTCGTATAAAAAAAGAACCTACTTTTAGACATGATATTTTCCTTTCATTCATTTCAGTCCTTTTATTATTACTATTATTGTTATCATTATTGTTATCATTATTGTTATCATTATTGTTATTATTATTGTTATCATTATTGTTATCATTATTGCTATCATTATTGCTATCATTATTGTTATCATTATTGTTATCATTATTGTTATCATTATTGTTATCATTATTGTTATCATTATTGCTATCATTATTGCTATCATTATTGCTATCATTATTGCTATCATTATTGCTATCATTATTGCTATCATTATTGCTATCATTATTGTTATCATTATTCTTATTATTTATTTTCCCTTTTTTTTTCCCCACTCGTAGATCGATTTTTACGAGTTTTCCGAAATGATGAAACTTACTTTCTAGGAAAAACGGAAAGCAAATGTTACAAGATAGATAAACAAAATGTGGATCAAAAAAAGAAAAAAATGTATAGGTGCATCATTTTTTACTTCCTTACGTACATGTGTGTACCTTTAAGTTCTCTTGATCGCACTAAGTTAAACCGCAAAAATTATGTCCTTTTAAATTTTCACATTTTAAGAAGTCTTTAATTTTTTTCAATAATTCGTTTTTTTTTTTTTTTTTATATCTTCCAATATTTTTCCTGTCTTCAACACGACAATCCATTCCATGAGCTAATGTGCTAATGATGGAACTTTTTTTAAGTGTCTCTCGCTTCATGTGAAAATTTTTTCTTTTTTCTTTACCTCTTTTTCCATACATTTTTATATATTTCCTTATTTTTATCGAGCGTATTTTTCCTACAACTACATTAGTTTTATATTTAGAAGTTAATACAACCACACTAGTCTTACATATAGTAGTTAATTTTGTTCGTTTGAACAATCCGATAAAAATTCTTTCTTTTTTTTTTTTTTTTTTTTTGTGTACCAATTTTGTATCCCGTAATAATATTTTTAAATCGCTAAATATGAACTCCTAATTTTATTTCAAGCAAGTAGAAATAAAATAAAAATAAAAAAAAAAAAAAAAAAAAAAACTCTCCTACTTTTCCTCCTCACTGTTTTATCATTTCGATAAGGTTGTTCTATTAATTTGTTGATACCAACGTGAACACAGTTCTATTCGATGTTATCAACTGAACGTTGGAAAACTAACACACATGCGACCAGGAGGTAGAGGCAGAAGGACGAATATATAAAAACTGGCTCGTAGAAATTCATACATGTATAGTACATTCTGCTTATTTTATTTTATTTTTTCTCCCACCTAGTGCCCTAAGGTGAAAAAAAAGATGAAAAGCATATAGCATTAACTAATTCACACAAAAGAGAGAAGATGGAAATACTGTCCAAGAGCATACCTGAGCTTATATAACCTTTCATTAGATTGGCATATGTGTTTTTATCATTCGTTAGGATAATGGAATATCAGTTTGCTTCGTTTCATTTTGTTTCATTCATTCCTTTTAGTTTTAGCCTTATGGCTGGAAGCACGTGATCTTATATGTATGCACAATGGGGTTGGTCTTCCACATCTTTTTTCTCCTTTTAGTGTATGTGGAAGGAGGAGTGTTTTTAGTGCACTTGTTTTTCATCTTTTTATTTTACATGTGGAAACTGGGTAATGTGTTCGGGGGAGAGGGATATGGTGTGGTGACAATTGAGAGTGCATGCCTTATAGATGTTTATGATGTCTAAAGATGAAGAGCAGTTTAATAGTTATGTCTACAGAGAAATGATATATAATTTTATTTACTCAGCAAATCCCAAATGTGAATAACCTTTCTGTTTAAGAAAATAATCTCTCTGTGATAAGTTTATTCAGTTATTATGACTCTCACTGCTTCTTTCTGTGCAATTTTTTTTTTTTTTTTTTTTTTTTTTTTTGAGTGCACAAGTAAAAAGAAAAAAATTTAAAATATGACAACTAAAATGGTGGTAAGTAGGAAGTGAATCATGATGTTGTATTTTTCTGGATGAACCTAACCCCAAGTATGGATTCTTTTTCGGATGGGAAATAATTGTTTAGGGAGTGCCTCAAACAGATGACACATAAAGAGTATAAAGTTGTGACACAGAATTAGTCTTATAGAAAAAGGTATAGGACTTGAGAAAAAAAGATATTAATAAAAATAAAAAAATATATAAACAGACCATCATATGTATAAAATTCAAGTTATAGAACTCTCCCTTTTGTGCCGATTTGAGACTTTAATGAATCAACAAAAGACTTATTGCTAAAAAGAGCATATATTATATTTATAACAAGAAAAAATAACGCAATGTAGTGTGGGTGTTTAGATACCATTACGAGTTGGTGGGCGCATAAATAAATAAAAAAAAAAAAAAAATTATTATACACTAAATATGTATACATTCATAAATATATATATAATGGAGACTTCCTGGATTTTCACTTACACTTTGTGTGATTTAATCTTTTTTTTTTGAATATAACTTTGGGAAATTTGTTTGCATATTTTTTTTTTTTTTTTTTTTTTTTGTATACTTTTTTGCATAATTTTTTGAATAATTTTTTTGCATAATTTTTTGAATAATTTTTTTGCATAATTTTTTGAATAATTTTTTTGCATAATTTTTTGAATAATTTTTTTGCATAATTTCTTGCATCCTTTTTTGCATACTTTTTTGATATTTTTTTCGCATTTTTTGGAAAGTTTTTTCGAGTTAGCATTCAAGCATTTTTGGAATACCTTATGAATACGTTTTAAATATTTTTTCATGCAATTTTGATAAGCTTTATTTCGCCATTTTTATAAAGTTTTTTTAGCCAATTTATAGACCTTTTTTTTTCATTACTCATTGATAACATTTTTTTGCCCGTTATGACCCGTTTTACCCCCATTTATAACCCTTTTTTTCCATTAATATAACCTTCTTTTTTTTTTTTTCTGAACCCTTTTTTAAAACCTCTTTCTTAATATATCTTTTCTTGCATTATAGAAGCTAAGCGACTATTTTATTTATGCTTGAAATGCGAAAAAATGAAAAAAAAAAAAAAAAAAAAAAGCAGTGGAAAAAACTGGTAACAAATTTATTTCATTTTTCACTTGCATAATCTTCTTCCTATTTTTGTTTCTACCACTTTGTTTTTTTAGCAGAAACAGAGGAGAAAAAAAAAAAATATATACGTACTTACGTACATAAATACACAGATATATATATATATATATATATATATATATATATGAACTTGCATGCCCCTTGTTTGAAGAGCACAAATTTGTAAGCGATTTTGTTAACTTTATTTAAAAAAAAAAAAAAAAAGAAAAAGAATAAAAGGGTGTCGCGAATTTTTTTTTTTTTTTTTTTTTTATGGCCTCCTTCTAAAGAATGAAGGCACAAGATAGAGAGATGAACTTATATTGAGAAAAATATAATTCTTAATTTTTTTTTTTTTTTCTTATTTTTTTTTGTTTTGACTGATTTTTTTGTTCTCCTTTTTGTATCTGTGTTGTAAGATCAAGAACTTGTGAGAACTGAGAAACCTCACTTTTCTTTTTCAGACTATGTTTATTGTGCACATAATAAGATAATAAGCCTATGGGGGTGATATCTACACATCACTTTGCTTTAGATCCGTTTTTATTTTTTCTGAGAAGAAGACCATTCAGATGTGCTGAATATAATCTTGTTGGATTCATTATAAAAAGGGACCTATACATATAACAGTGTCCCAACAACTGTCTTAACAGTTGTTGGGACACTGGAACTTGATTACCTTGAGGGACAGAAAAAAAAAAAAAAAAAAAAAATCCTTATCCCACCTTCTCAGCGAATTTGTAATACATACAATATATAATATTAAAAACCTTATGATATTCTGACGAATAGAAAAGGTTTGCTTTTTTCACCCACCCCTCCTCCCTTCCTACACATCTTCCCTTACATTTTGTATTATGCTTTCGGTCTTCCACATGCACGTTCACACATGTACATATACGACTATCTCACTGGAGAAAGAGAAATGGTATGAAGACAGTTGTTGCATCTGCACTGATTGATACATTTTCAAATATTTATAAAATTCAAAGATGATGAACAAGACGAAGAATAAAAGTTATCTAGATATTCTGAGATATTACAACAAAAATGAATATCTACAAGGAAATAATTTGTACATAGGGGAAATTGGAATTGAAGAGAAAAATGAAAATTTATTTTATAGAACAGTGAAAAAAGAAAGATCTAATTATGTTGATGGGGATGACATCGGTCTTAACTGGGATGGATTTAATAATAATGAAAGGAATCATAACTTGGACGATGATAAGATGAGACTAAATACAGAGAATTTTTTTAATGTACTTTTTTTAAAGAACAAAAAAACTGATAATAATAGCTACCGCTGTACTAACCTTTTTTCACAGAGGGAATGTAACAATGTGTACAAGAAGAATATAAAAAAAATGATAAGATGCAAAGGCAGAGAAAGAAGAATAAAACCAATAGATGAAGAAAAATTAATTAAAGAATTAAAAAGAGAACAAAGGAAAAAAAAAAAAAATATAACGAAAGAACATGGATGTATAAAAAATCATTATAAAAAAATGACACGTTATTTCTTCAGTTATAAAAAAAGAAAGACATGTACCATTTGCTTTCTTAATAACAATTCTGAGTATTTAGAAAAGTGTAAAAATTGTTCTCTGTATTTTCACATACATTGTTATAAATTATTTCGTGACAATTTCAACTTGAGTAATTTTTTATGTGACCTTTGTTTGGATTATGACGATGTCGATTCGGCTGACGATGTCGATGCAGATGGTGATGCCAATGCTGCTGATGATGCCAATGCTGCTGATGATGCCAATGCTGCTGATGATGCCAATGCTGCTGATGATGCCAATGCTGCTGATGATGCCAATGCTGCTGATGATGCCAATGCTGCTGATGATGCCAATGCTGCTGATGATGTCGATGCTGACCACTACGTGAGAAAGGGCAGTGTTCCACATTCTTACAAGAAGAACAACGCAAGTGAAAATTATAGGAAATATCATTTTTCTTACAAAAAAAAAAGTTGTGACATTTCGAATGGTAATGATGTAGATTCCCTCAATTCTGTTATAAAAGAAACGCAGAAGAAAAAAGGAAAAAAAAATTGTTTTATGAAAAAACGGCATTTTTTTAAATGTCTGAGTGAACCTGAATTTAGTAATAATAATGTTGATACCCCCTTAACCAAATGGGGAAGAAAAATAAATGGAGGAATTAAAAGAAAAATAGAAAATAAAAAGAAAAAAGCACATGATGAGAATGGTAACAATACCATCCTTCATCGAGCTAGCGATTATCATTCTGATTGTAGATACAATCAAAACCTTAGTCATGGTATAGGACCTTATAATAAAAAATCAAAAAAACAGATAAAGAAAAATGAGTTAGAATTTGTTACAAACAATAAGATATTACTTCGAATGATGAATAAATTGGGTAAGCCATTTCATAATTATAGAAAAGTAGAAACCATGTGTCAACATAGTCAATACACGCAGAGCACACATCGGTGTCATCCGTGTTCACAGAAACAGATGCAGAAATGCCAGCTCAACCATTACACTCACGTAATCCAATATATGCATATTATTCAGCACAAGCTAAGGTTACATAAACGGGAAGCACGAAAAATCAAATGCAGAATCTGCAATCAATCTAACACAAATGTATTAATGATTAAGAGAGAATCAGATTTGTGGTTCCATTTATGCTGCTTATACTACAATGATATTACAAAAGACCATTCATTACTGCATGTTTATTTTGAATATTTTTTCGTTAACTTTTATAACGAAGATTATTTTGCTAATTTGTATGCAAATTTGAAATCGATAAATGAAGTAATAATACAGAAAATTAAAGATGAGTTATTAAGTAATTACAACACCATTGTACATAACCATTCCTTTAACTTTTTGATGAACCCATTCTATTACAATTTGACGATTAAACAGATAAAAAATTTAATATTTTACAATTTTATTTTGCACACCAATGTTTTGTATGATTCTTATGCATGCACTAGCGGTCCAACAACTGGGAATGGTGCACCTGTCAGTGTAGGAGCTGGGAGTGAATATATTGACAATGGAAGCATCCCGTGTCAACCACTAGTTGACAGTAATGAGCTAGATGGAAGAAACAACGGAAGAATGAACAACTTCACAAATTTAAGTTGTATCAATATAGAGGAAATGAAACATAATTGGAAGTATACAGATCGGCTTGGACACCTTGGAGGTTTTTATCCCATTTATTTTAACAAAAACAGGAAAAAGGAGATTGAAGAAAATAATGAGAACCGACACAATGATAATGTGAATAGCGATGCTAGTAGTTATATATTAAGAAACAGTGAGTCTAGCTATAGTGATATGAGTTCTGAGAGAGAGAATACAAAAGATGATACTCAAGAAATGGAAGATGGAGGAGGAGTAGGAGGGGGTGGAGAATATGAAGAAGATCAAGAAAATGAACAATATATAGACGAATTATTGAGTATACAAAGCCCAAATGAATTAAATAATAACATGTATTGTATAGATACAAATAATTGTACCATTGTGACAGAAGATAATTATTACATTACAGATGTTATGCATATAATAAGTAATCACACAAAAAACGAAATAAATTTGAGTGCAACAAAACAGAATGAATTGAATGCATTTTTTAAAGAAATTGAACAATTAATATATAAAAGAGATTTTATTCATTTAAAGATACTTAAAGAAATTAAACAAAAAATTATAGAATCAGTTGAAAACAATCATACCAAAATTTGTATTTTCTGTAAAAAATTATCTGGAATTAAAACAAAATGTATGTTTCCATCATGTCATTCATATTTCCACATATCTTGTTATTATGATTTTTTTTTGCAAAAACAACGTATCATGATGAGGCAAACGAATGGATACAAGAGTCATGTAGTAACACATCTTAGAAAGCAAATGTGGAACAAATCAAATTCCACGAATTTGTTATGCAAATTGAACAAAATTGTTAAGAAGAGAGAAAAAAGAAAACGACGATTGGAAGATAATTGTCAAGGCAGCAATCAAGGGAATAATAACACCTCCTGTACAGGTAAAAACACCGATGATTTTGTTTCTATTGAAAATGGAAATCATAAGATTAAACGTGAAACGCACATTACAGAAAAGACATGCATAACCTCAGATTCAATGATTAAAAATGTTCTTCAATTAAATTCTGATGAGAATGTGCTCGATACAGAAATGGTCATATATACACAAGAATTCTCAATTCCATACATTCGAAATATAAGGAGAAAATTGATGGATAATGTTGAGCACGCAGGGATGATGGTGATGAATAAGAACTCCGTAGAAGAGGAATTTGATTTAAAAGTGGAATCTGAACTAGAGCATGAATCTGAGTTGGAGCATAAATCTGAGTTGGAGCATAAATCTGAGTTGGAGCATAAATCTGAGTTGGAGCATAAATCTGAGTTGGAGCATAAATCTGAGTCAGAACATAAATCTGAGTCAGAACATAAATCCGAATTGGAGGAGAGGAAAAAAGTAAATGATAGTTCAAAAGGCAAGAAACAAATTAGTGAATCAAAAGTAAACCCAATGAAATTATTATCAAACATGGAATTTCTTGAAAAAATTAATTCACATGTTAAAAAGGAATTAATTGAATTCTCAGCTGTATCGTCAATGAAAAACAATATGGAAATGAAATTAGATGAACATCTATCAAATAACAAAAATTTTATTGGCTTTAGAGATGTTGACAACAGAGGAGTAATGAATGAAATCAAAAATTTCAACAAAGTGAGAGCGAATATTGGGAATATCAAATGTGAATGGAGAGATGAGAAAAGTGCACATTTTAATGGTTCTGCTCCATGTACACAAAACAGCTGTGTCTATACTAGCCATGTTATTAATCCTATGGGTTCTGATCAGGTAGGCTGTTTATCAAATAATCAGGAGAGATGTTTGAGCACAGATCATAGGAAAATGAATATCATCTCCTTTGACAAAAATAAAAATGGCACACACGAAGAAGAAAAGTTTATCCCCGTGGTCACATCAAATAGTCATCAAAAGCTATTGATAAATTATCAAAAAGAAAATCCAATGAAACATTTTTTCTGCCAGAATATCGAAACAGGAGAACGAAACATTAGTAATGCTGTTGAAAAAATTAATTTGCTTGAAGATTTAAGAGTTGGAAGTATGAGTACAAGGAAGAACTCGGTTGTACATAACAATTCTGGAAATTTTGTTACAAGGGATTATTTGCCAATGATTTGTTTTCCACGCCAAGGTACAAGCGAGGGTGATGAGACAAAAGAAATACGTGAAAAACAAGAGCTCATGGAGTTTAAAAATCCAAGTGATAAATCTGAGTTGAAGTTGAGCGAGGAAATTAGTGAGCACCGAGAACATGAAATCATGCAGAAGATGACAGAGAAAAAAATGTCCAAAATGTGTTTAGAAGTGATTCCAAAGGTGACTCCAGACGTGATACCAAAATTGCATGCAAGAGGGAACAGGACTAGAAGGGCCGACGATGGACACAGCTTTTCCTCATTGTCATCCCTCCTACGTTCATCCATAACATCCGATTGTTTGGAGTCCTCGTTTGGGTCGATCAGATCATCCGACAGATCTGTGTCAGCACAATCCAAAGCATGCTCTGAATCTGAATCTGAATATTCATCGATAATTAAATCACTGTCCTCTTCATCTTCCAGTTCATACGCTTCCCCATCGTGCGACTCATATGAATATAAAGATCAGTTACCAAAGCATGTAACAGTAGGCAAATGGGATAGTGATTACTCTTCTTCCTTTTCTTCTTCCATCGCTTCATCATTAATTTCCAATCTGAATGGCAAGACCAAATCATTTTCATCATCACATTCAGTAGTATCAAATAGATCATGTATAATTAGTAACTCATTAAGTAGCAGTAATTCACAAGAAGAATTTTCCTCTTCACATGGTGAAGTCATTTCAAATTTAAAGCTGGGAGACCATATAGAGAATACAAAGAATAGACATAATAATGTTATTAATCATACTAGAAGGAGAAAAAAAAAACTGAAAAAAATGAAAAAAAAAAAAAAATATTTTGAACAACAGTGTGAAGTACCCACTGATACAGAGTGTTACACAAAAAATTCAAATCGAAAAAACAGATTAGGTCTTTTTACAACCAATATACAAAACAATGAAAGTATCCATGTAGAATTGAAACACGTAAAGCTGGCTTTATGTAACATGCATAATAATGAAAATGATATAACCACAGTATTGAATCTAAAATTAAATGCCATTAATAATAGAAAGCACAGAAATTTGGGTTGCATTTTTTATCACTACTACAATTCGTTTCTCTCCTCTGTCTTCTTGGCAGATAGGTTTGCCAGTACACCAGAGAACGACAAGTTCGATCTGGGAGACGACACCAATAAAGAATGTAAAGATGAAAAGAGCGAAAAAAATTATAATGCCAATCAGAATGGTGTAGAAGTGGCAGGAGTAGAAATGGCAGGAGCAGAAGTTGCAGGAGTAGAAGTGGCAGGAGTAGAAGTTGCAGGAGCAGAAGTGGCAGGAGCAGAAGTGGCAGGAGCCGAAGTGGCAGTAGTAGAGATAAAAACACAGGATTATGACCGTGGGAAGGAAGAAGAAGAGAATCAAGATCTAAACGAAAAGTCAGTGCAAGAGGAAAGAAAATCGCCCCATGCTGAATCAGAGTGCAGAATGGATAAACAAAGCCATAACATGAATAAAAGAAAAATTGAATGCGTTTCAGGAATAATAGATTCAGGTGAGAAAACAGAACGTAATGATAGTCACCATTATGAAGGGGAGGACAAAAATGGTGAGTTTGCTCTTACAGAAGAGAGAAGTAAAAAAAAAAGAATTAAATTAAGCATACAGGGAGAGGAGGAGATGGAGAAGGATGGCACAAGCCATGATGCGGATGAAGGGGGAGCAGAGGATCGTGGAGTTCAGATGAAACCATTGAAATCTCGTGAAGGGAAGACAATTGTGGATAATGACGATAATTGTAGTTTGGACAAGGAGAAAAGAAATGACGAAGAAAAACCCTTGAGCAATATCGAAATGGTGACAGATTATGAAAATTCTCCATCGCAACATAGAGCCAATGAGTACGACACGTTAAGAGATTTATTGCATGAGGAGAATGAGTGTTCAGAAAATATCGAGGGGGTGGCAGATTTGGCTTTTAGTAGTAGTTCTTCATCTGGTGGAGCAAAGAATAAAGGAATAGAAACAGGATCAGATGAAGTAATTATCAGGGAGATCGATCATATAGATGAAGGAATGACTGAAACAAAGGAGACAGATAATTGTGTCATAAAGGGTGGTGAGATGTTAGAGGAGAAGGAAGAAGGAACCACGGAAATTTCAAATTATGCTGGAATAGCCACTCCTGAGAAAATCGCACAGGAATCTAATGCACAAACCCTGAGAAATTTCACGAACTACATTGAGAGAGTGATCAACAGTGTAGAATCCAACGTAATTCTGAAGAACAACGTGTGCGAAGGAGTATACTACTTGAGACAACAGAACGGAGTGAATATATATCAAAAGGTTAGTGGTAGATTTAAGAAGCAATTAAAAATACAAAATATGAAGAAAAAAAAAAAAAAAAAAAAAAAAAAAAAATTAAGTGATATAACTATTTTGAGAAATGTGAATATTGATATTCAAAAGGGGAATAAACAAAATAATAGCAACAATATAGATTTAAAAAAAAAAGTTGACATAAATAAATATGCTTATCTCTTCTATCGACTTCCTTTACTGATTTATGGCAGTAAATATGTAAATGACATTGACAATTTAAAGTTCATATATCAGATAAAAAATGTGTTTCATCAATATTCTGAATTTACCAATTCAGGAAATATTATAGCGCTTGTGAATCTGCTAAAAAGCTATTCAACACATTCTATGTTCCATAAAAGTGTAACTAATTCTAGGAAAAGTACACTTGAGAAAGAGGACAAGTGTGTTAGTAGAAGGAGAACCTCAACAAGTGCTGCTCATGCTACCACCAGTGCAAGAACGGAAAAGGAATCACAACTGGATGGAAGGGATTGTTTGGGAAGGGTGCTTGCCACGAGAGGAGCAGGAGTAGAGGTAGGGGCAGTATCGAGATCGTGGAGGGGAATATATGAAGGTGATACCCATGATTCGCGTAGCCCAATTAGTGAGAGAATAAAACTAGAAGATAGTGCTATGGAAAATATGAATATACAGGTGAAGAACACAATGATGATTATGGATTCAGCGTGCGCGCATGAGTTAAAAAAAAATGAAACGAATAATCATAACACTTTTGGAAATGCAAAGGAAAATTTGGAAAATGATGATACTGATCTAGTTAAAGGAAATACATATGCCAGCTCTGTAAGCGTATATTCTAGCCATGTTGGTAATGATAGACATTATTATATGCATGAAAAGGTGTCAGTAGATGCACATGGCAAAAGATCAAGTACGAGAAAAAGGCAAAAGATGAAATTATCTATGGAAAGAGATAATACAAAGCTAAGTAACAGTGATCATCAGATGATAGAAACGCTCGATCATTTGAAGCAGAACGAATCGAACAAAAATGGCAGTATGAGTGGCGACAAAAATGGTAACGCGAGAAATAATGAATCAATCAAGGAATCCCAATCGTATGTAAATAAAAGTTTCAACCTAGTTTTTTGTGTATTCGACAATGGAAGTAATATTTATCTACTTATATACGAATCTGATAGTGATAATAGAAAGAAATACGCAAAGAATAAACTGTTAAGGAAAAAAAACGAATTTAACAATATCGATTATTTTTTCAGAGATTTGTATGAAAAACTACATCAGAGTAGTTCAAGGGATGGAGCATTTGAAATTATGAAGTCTCTTTTTTGTAATAATAGTAGTACTCTTTCTCATTCGACTATCAGTACTGGAGGATTCTTGGGTGTAGATGCAAAAGGGGAAAACGATTCCTTTTCTGTTTCTAATGGAAAAACTTTACCTATAAACGCAATTGACTACACACGGCCAACCAATGATTCTTTGAAGCCAATTGATTCCATAGAATCCATGAATGGAATGAACAATTGTATCGGAAGCAGTAGTAAGATCAATGGAACTAGGACTAACATAAAAAATGGCACAATTAACAATGTTAACTATTATCTACACAACGGAGGAAACGTAGATGCAGAGGAACAGAATTATTTGAAATTAAATGAAATGATGCTAAATAAAAATCTGCTGAAAAACATATTGAAAAATTTTAATTTATTTAATATAACCAAAAATATGAACCTGAAATTAGCTAAAGTTATAGAGCTTACATACTACGACTACCTGTTCTTAAAGAGGCACAAATTTTTTTATTCAAAAAGAGGAGTGAAGATATATGACGTCTGTAACAATTTCTATGACATTGATAGTGGAGAAAAGAAGGATAATAATAGTAGTAATGTCAAGGGAGACAGAGGGAACAGTTACAGTAACAATGATCAACGCAATTACAATATTGATAATGTAAAATATAGTTTCCAAATGACAAATAAATTAAAAGAAATGTTCACGAAATTATACTCTGGGAACAGCAATAATAACTTATTTAATTTTAGGGGATTTGTAGTTAAAGAAAACTGTTACACGGCCGGAGGATGTACAGATATCAACATGAATGTATATCAAAGGGATGATAAAACTACCTTGGGATCATTTATTGCCATGTTTAATAATTTCAGCACAATGAATGGAAAAAAAAATACCGGGATATTTGGAGATTGGCAGCAAGGCTGTAGCCCATTTTTGTGGTCTAAGGAAAGTATTGGATTACCAGAGATCTATAATCGAATTAACAGTATGGAAGGTGATTACATAGAGAATGGGAGCTTCTTAAACCAAAACCTGAAAGAACCTGTTTTCAATAAAAAGGTAGCAAGAAGAAACGACCGGAGGGACAGACGAGACAGACGAGACAGAAGAGACAGACGAGACAGAAGAGACAGAAGAGACAGACGAGACAGACGAGATAACAAAAAAAATATAAATAAGAAAGAAAATAAAAGCATATCACATGATACTAGCGCCAATTCGTGTAATAACACCAACCCGTGTAATAGCCCCAACCCGTGTAATAGCAGCCCGGGAAAAATGTTTTCAAATGTGACGTGTCCCAACACTGAACCATGTGATTATAACAGCAACTCTGATTTGGGAACAAACATTAGTACAGAACAAACCATCAACTGTGTCATAAGGACGTACCTAGAGAACTCATATGATGATGATAATGTAGCTGAATTTGTAAAAGAAATTATAAAAAAGTACAATACATTCGGGGGTAATATTAAAAATGGATCGAAGGGTAAACAGCAAACCAATGAAATGTGTGTGCACCCAACCAATAGCTTCAGCTCCTACGATATTTATAAATTGTTTTTACTAGATAATGAGCTGTTGAGTAATAGTTACGATGGCTTAATAGATGGTAGCGTATGTGATGGTTCAAGTGGCAATAGTGCATGGAAAAGTACAAGTATTTGTAGCGGAACTAATATGCAACAGGGCTCAATATTCAGAAATAAAGAGGAAAAAAAACTATACCTAAATAACGTCCTTTTGGATAAAAGTGCACTAGTAAACTTTAGAAATTGCATTGTTAAGAAGATGCAAATGGAATTTTTTTACAAAAGTTGTAAGAATATTGCAAATAATATAGAGAGAGAGAATAATTTTGTAGACATAGAAAATATTCTATCATTTAACCAGAACAAGAATAATTTTATTAAAACAATCAAATGGCGTAATGTAGAAGATATAGAAACGAAGATTGATTTAAGTAAAAATAATAGCAGCTACATCAATTATGGAGTCAAAATTAAGGAAAAAGAGAACAAAACTAATTTATCATTCTTAGCATTATCCAAAAGTGATTCCAAAGTTAGTACTAATCATTTGAACATTTTTGGTTCACATCACGCTACTAATGAGTTAGTAACCCCCAATCCAAATGTCTACAAAAATGATTCGTCAAATTTGCTATTAATACCATCAGAACGGAATGATTATTCAACCAATGCATGTACAAAAAGTGATGAAAAGGATGATAAGAGTAGAAGCAATTTAACCACATCTAACGAAGGTAGATGTATTCTAAACGGAAATAATATTCTCCAATTGGTGAAGGATCAAAAATATGACGATTTAGCTAAATATGCCAAGAGTACTAACAATAACAGGAACTTTAACAGTTCAAAGAAACAGTTAATCAATGAAGAAAAAAAAAATTATTCTTATTTTTCAAATTATGACAAAAATGAAAATGGGAATTTTGATACTCTCATTTATAATAATTATGAAAAAATGAAAGATCTGTATAACAAGCTAAATGAAGAAATAGTAAAAAATAAATTGAAACTAATGAGTAATATTATTGAAGAAAATCATTCATATAACATTTCTGATATGCCATTGTATATAAATCTAGTTTTTTACAAATATGCTTGTGTAAATAATTGGAATTATTTAATTCATAACTTAAAGCAAGGTTTTCTAAAAGAAGAAGCCTCCTTTTTAAGTTTAAACGATGGGGCTAACAAAAAAAAGGATATTGAAAGGGGAGATGCAAGATATGACAATAATCATGGGTCATTATTACTATCAACAGCATCACCACCATCAGCAACATTGAGTGATGAACGGGGCTGCTCTGGCCGTAATATCGGAGACTATGATAAGATTGATAAACATAAACCAGCTAGTGATAAAAAAATAGAAGAAGGAGTAGAAGGAAGAAGAACTCAGTTGATTAATTTAGAGGGGAAAAAAGAGTATGGCACCGATGGGTGTAGCAAAATTTGTGACAAAAGAGTGAAAGATGCTACACCGTTAGCAGCAGGTGTGTCTACAGCTTCTGCTCCATCTACCTTGGAGAAAATTCTAAAGACAAGCGAATCTAGTTTTAATCAAAAGAAAAATGGGAAGAATGAAAAAAATAGCAAAAATGAAGAGAAGGAAAAACCCAAGGATTTCACATGTAGCGTTTGTTTCAATAACGAGATGAGTAACATAAATATTTTTTACAAATGTGGTGAATGCTCTATTCACATGCATAAGTACTGTTACGGAATCTATCAGAAAGGAAGGAGTGATGAATTTTTGTGTGAAAAATGTGTTTATAGCAAAAATATTAATAAAACAAGAAATCAATGTGAAGATACCAATAAGAGTAATAGCCATTCAAAAAAGAAAAAGAAAAGTAGCAACGGAGGAGCTTCAAGTTCTAATAGTAACAACATTTTGCACAACAATGTTAACGATCTACACGATAACACAAAAAATAATATGCTTGATGCGTATAAAGGATTTGAATCTTGCTGTTACATATGTAAGAAAGATGGAGGTGCCTTGAAAAAAACAACGTCAAATCATTTTGTTCATCTTTTTTGTGTTTTATTTTTTATATCCAAAGTTTTCTGTTTAAATATTTACAATTTGAATATGTGGAACATTACCAATTTGAATACGTTTGAAAATATTTGTTGCATATGCAATAAAAAAGGAGCTGTCATACGTTGTAGTTATTGCCAAGAAAATGTTCAAGGGGAAGATTCACTGATCAGTAGTGGTACGTATAACATTTTTAACACTCATAAAAAAACTGCCAAAACGTTTAAGAAGTGTAATAAATTTTTTCATCCATTATGTGCCTATTTGGAAGGGTATCATATGAAAGTTGAAATTTATGAAGATCTATTTGTGACGACATATTTTTATGACAACTGCTTTTCTTATTTTGATGTTATAACACACTGTAATGATCATATACCCATGGGGAGTTACCAACATAGGGATGTTATTAAACAGAAGAGGAACAAATTGTACATGAGCAACAACAACTACAATGGCAATAATAATAGCAATACGAATGACGATTTTTCGTTTCACAAATCGAATGACCAAAATACAAAAATGAAGGGGGAAAATAATAGTCAAAGTAAGATTGCTAACAAGGTTCCAAGTTTAGAGATCCAACAGAACTGTAGTAATACTCTTCCATCGTTCCAGAGCTTTGTGAACAATGGTTTAACAAAAGAGGAAGAAGCATACAACGAAAAATGTACGATGGATAGCATAGAACAAGCCAATAATAATATTATACCAAGAAATAAATTATGACCTGTTCAGGTGAAAATTAAAAAAAAAAAATTTTATAGGTTGCACGAAATAAAAAATTTGCATTTTACGTTTTTTAGCTAGATAAGCATAATATGAAGAAAAATAAATTAGGGATAGAAAGTTTGTATGTGTGTGCACATAAATTGGATAAATATTTATAAACATGTACCATTTTCTGGCTTTTACAACGTTAAAAAAGAGGAAAACGGTGAAAGCGATTTTAACATCATACACCTTTCTTTTTTTTTCATGATCACACATACTTTCCCCATACTTGTTCATTTTTTTTTCCTCTCCCACTTAGGGTTGAACATAATTTACATTCTTTTCTACATATGTGTATGTATATATATGTGTATATATATTTTGTTTATCCTTTTAATGCGTGTTTACCAAAAAGAACAAATTTATCACGCCCTTGGGGAATGAATCGTTTGAATGTGTCCAATCGCATAAAAAGGTTTTCCTTTTTCAACTTTTTTTTTTTTTTTACCCGCACAAGTACATATTTATACGTTCACCTCTTATGGAATATATATAAATGTAGAGAAGAGTGAAATTGTGAACGAATTTTTTACAATGGGTTGTTATGATAAATATGTACATTTTCGTATGCACACGTGTTTGCCTGTGTACGTGCTATTTTTTTTTTTTTTTTTTTTTTTGAGCTTTATTTTATAATGCCTACATGTATTTGCTGTACTGTCTTTACTTAAAAAAACAAGAACTAGTAAGTATTGCACTTCTTTTAAAAGTAATTTTATTTTTTGCCTCTGTGGGAATATGTAGAAAAACAGTAAAGGAATGGGGAGTTATTGGATAAAAACGTAATTTACATTAATTGAATATATTATTTGGTGTATTGATGTACATTATAATAGTTGTTTCGACAGGAAGCAAGGGCCTCACAGTGTGTATATATATTGTATATATATCACGATATTTTCTACATTTATGTATACATATATATATATGCTCATATATGGTTCGAGTTATTCCACAAATTTAGCAGGTCTTGGGGGCATTTACAAAGGTCTTGCGTCTTTGCTTTATTGAAACATTTTTATATGCGATAGATCAATTTTGCAAAGGTGTACTTTTAAGTTAAAATCTTTTTTATGCATATTTTCTGTTTTTGATATTTCTTTTATTTAAAGAGTGATGTGACAGTTACCCAAATTTCTTTCTTTTTTTTTTTTTTTTTTTTTTGTAATATATCATGCTCCGCTTTATTTTTAGAATGTTTTTCTGTTATTAATCCATTTGACACTTTTTCCCACATTTCATTTCCAACTTGAGGAAAAATATTCATAACTTCTATGCACCCCCCCAAACACTATATGATTTAAAATGCTTCAAACATGGGCTCTTTTCATTTTCGTTCCTCATAAGACTTTTAAAGAGTTTAAGACATTAATATATATATATATATATATGCATAATCATCATATATCTATGTATGTGATAATTACATATGTAACATATTTTCGTAATCCAAAAGTAAATCTTTGACCCACTACACCCTTTGAAAAATTTAAAAAGCAAGCGCAATTTTAATTAATCTATTTGGATAAGCACTTTTTGGAAAATCCATTTTTTTCCCCTATCAACATCGTAGCATTATTTTTAATTTATATATAATTTCACAAGTGTAAATATATATATATATATATATATATATATATATATATATATGACACGTCTAAATATATATGTATTAATAAATAATTTATAAAGGCTGAAATGGCAACAAAATATAGTTTATAACTTTTATACTTTATAATATTTTTTTTTCCTCTTCTTTGGGTAAGTAGTGTTATTTAAATAAACATATAGCAACATATATAGAGAATTTTTTGTTTGAACTATATTTATTTGTTGGAAAAACTGTAAATATTGAAATGTTGTTGCTTAAACGTTATGTAGTTTTTATGTAATAACAGTGCATGCAAGGGTGCGGGTAATATATACATGCATATATACGTATATATATATATACATATTATGTGAAACACATCTTTTACATACATATATAAAGCGCTGCAAATAAAAATACATGCATTCATATATACCTACTATTACATTTTTATTACGTGAGAAAAGAAGAGAATACATAATTTTAACTTTTTTTTTTTTTATATTGGGTTAATCCATGTATTTTTTTTTTTTTTTTGTGTTTTATTCTGTGCTTTTCAATTTTTTTTTTTTTTTTTTTTTTTTTTTTTATCTCCGCAATAATAGGAATAATGTAATTTTTTTCCCTCCTAAAATTCCTTATTAGTTTTTTTTTTTTTTTTTTTTTTTTTTTTTTTATTTTTTTTTTTTTTTTTTTTTTTTTTTTTTTTTTTTTTTTTTTTTTTCCTCAATTATTGGAATTATTTTATTTTTTTTCCTTCTAAAATTTCTTTTTTTTTTTTTTTTTTTTTTTTTTTTTTTTACTAATGTTTTTTTTTCCACCTTTCTTTTTAATTCAGCTTTTATTCTTTTTTCCCTTAATTTTTTTTTTTCTGCATACTACGTATTTCTTTCCGTTCATTGCATGTTTTCCGTTCTGTTCACTTTATGTTTTCTTTAAGCTTACGTCACTAATTCCGATTTCCATTAACTGCTTATTTCCCCTTTCTCGAATATATATTTTTTTCTTGTGTCCGCGTAAATATTTTTCGCTTTCGCAAACTTTTTTTTTTCAATTCCATATGCAACACAACGCATAATTATACATATTACATGGGTTTATATTACGTATTTATATGTATTTTTTATATATATACTTGTATATATAAAAAAAAAAAAAAAAAAAAAGAGTTGCGATTGAAAACCAGGTCGTTGCGGGATAAGAAGAAAAATAAAGAGGGCAGTTGAATATATATATAAAAGTAAATTCACTACGAGCTGAGAGTCAAAATTGAGAAAACAAAAATATAACAAAAACATAACAAAAATATACAAAGATACAAGAAAAAATATAATCAGAAAAATTACCAAAAAAAGAGCAAAAAAAAAAAATAGCCAAAAAAAATAGCAAAAAAAAAAATAGCCAAAAAAAATAGCAAAAAAAAAAAAAATATATATATACCAAAAATACCAGGAAAAAGAACAAAAAATATATAACAAAAAGGTGAAAAAACGAAATAGATTTGAGATAATCATACAACCTCATTTTATTATAATTTTTTGCATTTTTTTGGAGAAATGCAATTAGTACCTCACCTCATGATAAACAATGCTTCGTGTATAAAAACTACATAACCTTTTAGAATCGACGGGGACGCATGAAAAAATACGCAAAAAACATATACATTGCGCGTCGTAAACAAATACTGCTTTTAAAGACTTGAGAAGAATATATAATTTTTTTAGCATTTATCAAAAAGAAAGGAAAGAAAAAAAAAAAAAAAAAAAATTCGTATGCGTGCATGTACTCACACACAATGAAAGGTAACTATTCGTATGAGAGACAGTATCCGAATAACTGGAACGCTAATGCACAGGAATTGAACAAAAGAAAAATTAATGTTAAAAATGGAAAAAATAATGATATGAACAATTACAACACAACAGTGGACAAATCATCAGGAACATTTCCAAACAATGTAAATGATAAAAAAAAAGGTTACATGAATGAAGAAGGAGATCCGAAATTTAAGCCCCCATCAAAGAATATTGCGTCGTATAGCTATACAGATCAAAATTATTACCATATGGGAAATGCTAACAATGTAACGTATGCAAAACCAAATCATTATAATCAATCGTATGTGAAATATACGAGTGCGAAAATGGCAGGTAGTAACGGGAATTCTGGGAATGGCTATGGAAACTACAGCTATTCGAACTATGGCAATTATAACAGCAACGGAAATTTTGGAAATTACGGAAGTTATGGAAGTCATGGAAATTATGGAAATCATGGAAATCATGGAAATCATGGAAATTATGGAAATCATGGAAATTATGGAAATCATGGAAATTATGGGAATCATGTAAGCAATGCAAATCAGTACTATGGGAGCCATGGAAATCACGCCTATGGAAATTATGACAATCACAATTATAGTGGCTATGACAATTATAACAATTACAATCACAATGGATATGGTGGTGGTAATAACTATGATGGCCATGTCAACTTTAGCAACCAATATAGCAGTTATGAAAATCACAACAATTACGGGTATGGAGGTCATCACTACGGAGGCTACAACCAAGGGAACTATAACCATGGAAATTATAACCAAAATAATTACAACCACAACACCCACAACAATTACAGCAACCACAACAACCATGGCAGCTACAACAACCACAACAATCACGGCAGTTACAACCACGGGACCTCGTACGATATGCACAATTTTTGGATGTACGGGTACGGGCACGGCGCGAATAATTATTACTATCATAACCACGGTGTAAATAACAACTATAACTCTTTAGAGAACACGAATCAGATACATTATGACTACAGTGGAACCAAATACCATCATCATTATTCACCCTATAAGGGTAGCGAACCGCACGCGAAGTATAATGAATTAATTAACGATTTGTACTACAAAGCATCATATTATTTAAAGAAAAATAGAAAATATATGCAGAAAATTATTAAAAATAATTGTGTTATTAATATATACTTAGTGAGACATATGGAAGCTGAACATAATAGAGAAGTCATGGAAAATAAAAACACGTCACGAGATTTAATTTATAAGGACATAAAATACTTAGATTGTAAGGCAAGCGAACAAGGAATAAAAATGTGTGAATATTTGAAGAGTGATATAAATAATAAGTTATATCAAAAGATTATACAATTGTATAATAATTCTATTGATAAAAATAAGCAAACTTCCATGTATAATAATGGAAATAAGAGAGAAAGTATTAAAAGCAACAGTTGTACTGGAAACAATAACAACGACAAGAATGAAACTTACAATATAAGTAGAAAGGGTATATTTGAAAGAAATAGCGATTTTGTAATTATTTCTTCTCCCCTTAAAAGATGCCTTGAAACCATGAAGTACTATTTTAATTTCAAAAAGAATATTCTTATATATGAACCAGTTCGAGAAATGGCAGGGAATTATTTCAGTGACGAAAGATCAAAAACTTCTGATATAAAGAAATTTTGTGATAAAAATTTCGATGATTATGAAATTGTTTGCTTCGGAGAAAACGATATTTTGTATGGAAACAAATTTAGGGAATCATCTGATCAGGTCTACTGTAGATGCATGCAATTTTTGAAAATGGCACACGCGCTTGCTGTGAATTATTTTGCCTCTCTTGAGAGGGATGAAAATGAAGCCACAGATGAAGGTAACCAAAAGTATGAGGATCATGTGGAAAGTATGAACAACGAGGGCGATGGAAAGCATTACCCTCTGGACGATACAGAGAAGATAGAAAAGAACATGAAATTAGAAGAGCATAATAATAAAATGGATGGAAAAGACAAAACAAAGGATAGTGACAAGGCGGATGAAGAATCACACATTAAAAGAGAGGTCAATGCGTTCATGAATACCCATGAGAAGGAAGCTCAGCAAAGTAGCCCTTTGGTCGAGAAGAAGGAATCAGGTACGGGTGACGGTTCATTCCAGGGAAAGGAGCAGAAGCAAGAGCTAGAGCAAAAGCAAAAGCAAGAAGCACAGGCAGCGGATGAAAAGAATAACCAAGTGAACCCAAACGAATCGATGGGGAAGGGAAAAAAACGTGTGTTCAATATCGTCCTAGTATCACATAGCTCGTTCATAATGCATTTTTTAGCGCTCTTAGATTACCTGAATTTAGATGAAAGAAACTTCAAGAACTGTGATATAAAGAAAGTAACAATACCATTGTCAAACACGTTTTTATTTTTTAACAATGTAGTTAACATTCAATTGGCGAAGCCATTATGCACAAATAATTTACCATTGTCATTCCGAAACAATAATAAAGTATTAAAAAAAGCATTTAAGGACAGGAATATATACACGCTAAGCAGTTACAATGATTTTGATGAATTGACGTGTCAACACTCATGCACATTTGTTATATATCAGTATCAGGAATTGATAAAGAATGAGAAAAATAAGAAATATTTAGAAAAAATTCAAAGTTTTATTGATCTTTCCAATAAGGAATATGAAGAAGCAGATAATGCATTTTCGAATGGTATGTATAAGAATTTTGTTAAAAAGGAGAAAAAACATATGGGAAGAAATATGTTCGTTACAGATGCGAGTAAAAATCTTCTATACGTGGAAGAAAAGAATGCATGGGAAGTTAATAATAAAGGTTTTTTCATAGGTCAAATTGTAGTTATCATTGTTCTTCCAGATGTAGAAGCAACTACAAGTACAAATAACCCAAGAAATAGTAAAGATTTCAAATATAAATTTAGTGAAAATTCACATTTTTTAGAAAATGTAATACATGTGGTAAATAATTATGACCATATACAAGATTTAATTAAATCCAAAAGTTTTTGGAGAGTATTAAAAGAAAATATTCACAATTTGGATCTAAATGCATTTCAGGAATATCTTATTAGTAAATATAACAAAACTGTTAAAGGGGACGAAATAGATAATGTATGTTACCTTGATTTAGTGAATTGTTTGGAAAGCAAAACTTTTATGGAAATGTATCAAGACAGATGCAATGGGTATTTGAAAAGATTAAAGGAGAGGTATGACACAAATTCGTACATAGATATGGAACAAGAATGTAAGCACATTAATGAAAATTTGATTTCAGAGATATTTACTCTTGAATATGCTACCATTGCTGAAAGTACTGTCGGAAGAGGAGCTAGTACTAGTAGTAACATTAATGATGTAAATTCTAAAGGTGACAATACTTTGCTAGAAGAGCATATGTTAGTTAAAAGAAAATTCATATACATCCCTAAAAAAACACTTTTATCATCTTCCAACAAAGGGATATGTGAAAAGACACCAATTGGAAACACGAATCAAAGAGGTGAAGGAGGAGGAGGAGTAGTAGTAGATTCTCATAACTTAAGTAAAAATTTCATTCAGGAAAATATTAACATGTTGAAATCTTTTCCACAGGTCATTCAAAATTTGAATGTGGAAATGTTCTATCGTGATCACTTTTTTTATTTCCATTGTTTGCATAGATTTATTAAAAGTAAAAATAAAGTGGAAGGTCTTATTATATCTAAGTTATTAACATTCCTTGATTTGTTAAAAGCATTTGATGTTAGTGTTTCAAATAAAATATTCCAAAAACTAGCCAAATTGGATTCCTTAATTAAGAATAATACTGATTTGGATGATGAAAACAGGATTATAAGTACATACTCATGTGACAAAAAATGTGCACTTGTAAACAATACTTGTTACTATGATGAGTCTTCAAGGAAATACAAGCCCATTCAGATATTGAGAGGTGAGTGAAAAAATGTTATGCATATTTTTATTTTATTATCTACAATAATTTTTTGCATGCTTTTTTTTTTTATTTTCTCTCTTTCCATGTCAGCATGATGAACTATACACATGTGTGCATGCATAAATATATATGTTACCTGCACACCTATAATTGATTTGTGCAAGCGAAATTTCCATAATATCGACCCCATCGCTTGCACCATGTCGATTATATTCAACTTAACGAATTTATATTTTTCTCTACTCATTTACAGGAAGAAAAAAGGAGGTAGTCGATGACCTGAATTACATTCGATATAATCTACTTACTGTATCCGGAGGTGCTGAAAATGTATTCATTTTGAATGTTCTCAAGTAATTTCCTTTTCTTTTGTTCTCAATTTGCAAGTTTCGCTTGCTTCTCTTTCTAGCATATATATATATGTACACTCTGGGGTATATATGTCTAACTCCTAGCAAAAGAAATTTCCTGCAAGAGTTAGCATAAATTATTAAGGAAAAATATATATATATATATCTTAACCACTTATTTTATCGCGCTCTCTCAAGGTGAAGTAAAAAAAAAAAAAGAAGAAAAAAATGTATGCATATATTAAAACAAGTATGCATAAGTTGTAAGGACAAAAGAGGAGGAGAAAATAAATAAATGAATAAATAAAATAATTGGGGTAGAGATAATATATATATCATGTTTTAGTTATATGTGTAGTATTTAACACTGTATACAAAAACAATTTATTATTCAATCCCACCCACCCACACCTTGTACACAAATTTTCTCTTCAGATGGAAAATATGCTATTTTGTTTCACATGATTATAAAAGGGACGTTATACTTGTTCTATAAGTTTCTCCACATACCTCTTAAATTCTACTCGCATGCATATGAGATAATTATGCATATAAATTTTTTTCTTAATATGTTTTTTTTTACCCCACTTATTTTGTTATTTTATATATGTCCATTTTTCATCCGTTTATGTATTTATTTTAGCCATTCATGAATTTACCGAAATATCCTAGTTATGTATTTATTTACAATTTTCTTTCTTTCTTTTTTTTTTTTTTTTTTATTATTTTGCTTTTTTACTAATTTAAACAATTAAACAAATTACTTGGCGTTATTGCCTTACTATCTTATCCCATTTGAAGTATTATAATGAATATACATAAAAGAATGCAAAAGATTGCGCAAGAAAAGAACGAGAAAAAAATGAAAAATGAAAATGAGCTGCTAGGAGAGAATTTGTGTAGCCCATTTTTTTTTTTTTTTTTTTTTTTCGATTAAAATAGGGAGGTGTAGTATATATGTTACGTTATTTCATTTGACAAAGTTTCCCAATGTAAGATTGCAGTTCTTCAGTCTTTAATTGTTCATGTGATGGTATATTGGTATTGTGTATGTAAAGCAATGTGTGCAATATATATATGAGGACACGTGTGTACAGTGATACATGCACAATTATATATGAGTTATCCTCCTGTGTGTGTACATAAGACGGAAATGCTGTTCTTGGTAACCGAATATTTTATACTTTCTTTTTGTTACACTATTTTGCATACCAGGGGTAGTACACAGTGTACAAGCTTTTTTGGTTTATGCAACTAGGATCAAGTGTGATTAACATTTTCTTTTTTATTTTTCGGTCTAGCTTTTGGTGAAACGGGACTTGATATCACCCTTTTAAAAGTTTGAGTAAAATGACATGAATTTTCGTGGCATTGTTTGTTCCACATTATTCATTAATTAATTCATTCATTAATTTATTCATTCATTAATTTATTCATTCATTAATTTATTCATTCATTAATTTATTCATTTATTCATTCATTAATTTATTCATTTATTTATTTTACTTATCATTTTTGTTTTTTTTTGATGAAAAAAAGGGCAACGCTTTTACCAAATGTCTGTTCGGAAAATTCGGGGAGTTGTCAAACTAGTAATTTTTTATTGTGCCAATTTGCTACTTCCCCTTTTTTTTTTTTTTTCTTTTTTTTTTTTTTTCATTTCTCTCCCTTGAGCTTTTTAACCTATTTAAAGATTGTGTATCTGCTGATAGGGCGATTCGTCAAGTTAGCACGTACATACGTATTCATGTGTACGTGTATGAACGTACCTATTCATATGTATGTGTATGAACGGACCTATTCATATGTACGTGTATGAACGTACCTATTCATGTGTATATGTGTGTGGACATGCTTTTTTGAGAAATGCCAGCTGACTTCCCAACACATGTACACTTATACTGATATAACATCTCGAGTAGATTAAAAAGGAAACCCAAAAGAACAAGGAGACATTATGAACATAGCAAGGAGAATATTATTTTCCATTTTTGCAATAAGCACAACAATAGCAAGATGTAGTCATATAAAAGATAAATTATTTAAGAGCCTAAAAAAAAATACAAAATTTATAGTATTAAACGAACCCATTTTGGATCTAGGGTTCAGCGAAGGGTTACTACACACGGTGCTATTTGATTTAGAGATAGGTGATAACTTGTACACCTTAGATGAACATTTATTAAATCTGAACAATTTAAATCATGTAAACATTTTCCAACTCCTACTAGATATATATAAACAATTGGAAGATAAAAATAATCAAGGGGTAGAAAATATTCGATATATATTTCTGGGAACAGCTTTTACTAGAGTACACCCTCTAAACCTTGAACTCCTGTTAAGAAAATTTAATAAGTATATTTATAACGGGTCTAATTATAAAAATGGATCTATAGACATTGAAGGAATTCTGTTCGAGTATAATGTTGAGTTAAAGAAAAAGAAAGACGCAATGGAAGAAATGCAAGTGATGTATTCAAGAAAAGAGGAAGAAGAACATACAAATGATAAAAGCAAGGGAATTACGGCTAAAGAACATATTCAACGTATGATTCAGGAGGAAATGAATTTTTTTTCAAGTGATGAAAATGAAATTAGCGACAAATTTGTTCACCCAGGTGATACGTACAAAGGACTATTCATTGGATATAGATTTAATGATGAAAAGTCATCATTATCTGGAAATAATCATAACATGAATAAAGATTTTTTCTTTTTTTCTTTGAATAGCGGTATAATTATGGATATTTTTTTGTTAAGGAATTTATGCAACCACATCATGATGAACTCATCGATAAATAATTTTAAACTAATAAGAGATAACATATTCGAATTGTCGAAATATGTTTTTGATTATCTAGATGTGAAGTTAACTCACTTTGAAAATACCTGTCTCAATGATGAGAACCATGTGCATCTGTTAGATAATGATGGGAGAACCAAGTATGACGCTTACAAATACCATCTAGTTCTACATCTGTTTCGTGATTACTACAATATGGGGAATGAAGGTAATAATAGCAAGGAGAGTAAAGGTTCATCATCTGATGAAAAAGCTGAACCCATGGTTGATCCTGGAGATCGACCAAGCGATGAAGAATTTGCACATCTAATATTATCCTACTTCAACCTTTTCTATCCAATATCAACTTGTGCAAGTTATTCTGTTAGATCTAGTAGTGAAGCTTTTGTGCATTATGACAAATATCACCAGATCAGTATCGAAAATGATGTGAAGTTGGAAAAGTACATAAAAGAGACAGAAGAAATAAATTTCCATTCTATAGATGAATACAAAATGAAACTTAATCGAATTAATAAAAAGTATGATACTCTCCTGGATGAAAATGAAAATAATTGGACACATAAAAATCTCATCATTGGAGTAGTAACGAGTGAAAAAACAGAAAATAGAATAGGTTATATAAAAAATACATACGATAATAAGAAAAATAACGAGCTAATTTTTAACTCATATTTAGCGAATAAAAAGGAAGGAAAATTAAAAAATAAGAATGCAGAAATAGAGGATAATGCAAGTAGTGCCAAGGGACATAACAAAAATGGGGAAAACATTTTAAACCATAATTTCTTAAAAAGTGCTTTCGAAAATGAAGAAATAAATGTTCAAGTCATTTATTTTTCTGACAAAGAAAGTAAAAATTACGATATGCTTCATTTTGAAGATAATAATGATATAGATTCACAAAATGGTGATAGATTCTGCAAAAAAGTGAGAAATATAATCTATCATCTGTATGAAGAATATGTTCAGAAAAATTCACCCGTAAAATTTTTTTTTATTTCACCTGACAATACATTTGTCAATGTCAAAAATTTAATTGATGTAATGAATTTAACTACAAATCAATGCACTCATTCGAGGGGATATATGTATATGAAATATGTAAAATATTTTGATCATTTAGATGAAAATGAATCAGAATTTGTAAAAAATTTCAACAACAGATATCTGTACCTTTACAAATATATAAAAACCACTCTCGCTAAAACTATTAATGCATTGAAGTCATACAATTATGTACCTGTCTATTGCAAAGACGCAGGTGCAGGCAAAGTATCGACAGGAGTACTAAATAATAAACATGTTCCTTTTTATATCGGGAAGAGATACACACACAATTCTCTTACAAAGGATGAACAAAATGTCTATCATTACTTAGCAGGTGCAGCTGGAATACTACTCAACGATGAAGCTGTGAAAAAATTATACTTCTGCAAGAACAAGTGTGTTCCCTGCCCAATGGGAAGCATCAACAATGTTGACAAAATGAGCAATGCTGACAAAATGACCAATGTCGAAAGGAGGGACACAGAAAACTTGTTTAATGAAGACGCTTTAGGTCTTTGGACTAAGCAACTAAACATCCTACCCATAAATTTTGAAGGATTCTTCCCAAAAGAACCGAGGGACTATAACCCACATTACCTGAACACAATAGTGCCAATTACCTTTCATAAGCTAAATATAGACAAAACTGTGGATGAAACGAAGAAACTTTTTTTTCAACATCTTGTTAATTATAAAAAAGGGAGTAACAAAGGTATTGAGGAGGATACAGAGTCGTGTGTAGATTATCTCGATAGAAATTATAAAAACACAATTGATCAAATTTTTCATTTTTTTTTTTATGCAAATGAGCTTCACCAAGCTAACTCAGATACAGATGTACTTAAAGCTACTGAATACATCTATAACAAAATGAGTTCAAGTAAAAAATTCAAACATCTATTTAACATCACAAGTTTTTTTAAAGCCGACGTTGAAGATATGATATACTTTCAAACAAGAGCATCCAAAAACGACAATATGAAGAAGGGGAATAGGAAGGAAAAAAGTTACACGAATAATTATGTACACAGGAAGGAATCATTGCATCATACACACAACCACGTTGGATCCGATAGCACGACGGGAGAAACCTCCCCACCCCATGACGACCCCATGGATGACCTCGAGTCTGGGGAAGTGGACGATATGGAGGACGATGGGGATCTATTCGATGATGACGATTATGACCATGAGGAGTATCTGCATGGGATAGCAAATCACAAAATTAATGGAAGTGATCGGGCAGATATTACCCCAGGTAAAAAGCGCGATTCAACGGATGCAATCGAATTAGGTGACACCGATATGGATGACGATTTGGACATAACAACGGATGGATGGGATGGTAACAATTCTGATCTCCCCACAGATGGAAGTGACAGCAACAATTCTGATCTTCCCACAGATGGAAGTGACAGCAACAATTCTGACCTCCCCACAGATGGAAGTGACAGCAACAATTCTGACCTCCCCACAGACGAAAGTGAATTGTAAAAAAAAAAAAAAAAAAAATAAAAAAATGCTAGAAACAGCATTCTTATTCTTGTCTTAGTTATTCCATTCATAGGAGAGAACATCTCTAGAGTGTTCACTGTTCTGACAATGTTCGATATATGTTTTTTTTTTTTTTACTATTGACTTTTGAAACCTTTCGAATGAAGTTTTTTTTTTTTTTTTTAAAAAATATTATGCGACACCTAGGATCACAAGAATGTGCCTGTGTGTCTGTGTTATAACTTGAAAAGGAAAAAAAAAAAAAAATCATCATGAAGTTAGAATGGTATATACAAACCACACACCCCCAGATCCTCTTTCAATGAATGAATCAATCCAATCATGCGGTATATTTTTCGTCTCCATTTTTTTTTTTTTTTTTTTTTTTTGCCACCTGTTCATCCAATTATAAGGGATATTCATCCAGAGGCCTCATTTTGTGCATATAATCTCGATTTCATCCAATTTCCTACGAATATAATCTCGATTTCATCCAATTTCCTACGAATATAATCTCGATTTCATCCAATTTCCTACGAATATAATCTCGATTTCATCCAATTTCCTACGAATATAATCTCGCTTTCGTCCAATTTCCTACGAATATAATCTCGCTTACGTCCAATTTCCGACGAATATAATCTCGCTCACGTCCAATTTCCGACGAATATAATCTCGCTCACGTCCAATATCCTACGAATGGTGATCTATATATTGTCGTGATTCCCAGGAAAGCATTCATCATAGTACATGGATCTAAGATGATAATTCAAGTCTTCAATGGGGTTCAAGTTGATTGGCTTGAAAAAGAGAAAATCTTCAGATTTGCTATTCCCATAGGCATTAATCGATTGACAAATTTGTACGGAAAAATTATTATTTAAATAACATTTTTTCACTGCAGAGATGCTTGTTAGGGACTTCTCCTTGATCGGTTTAATAACAAATGATACTTTATTTGGATTGATTAAATAATTATACAAGTGATCATATGTCTTTAATATATGAGTGCCTTTGTAATCATTCCATGTTTCATTTAAATTTATTAAATCTTCATTTGCATGTAGAATATTTAGATTAAAATCATTTCCTCCTTTGTTTTCTTTTCCGTTATACATTGTCTCCTTATCATCCATGGTATAAATATCATAATTTATTCTATCGTTATTATTTTCGTTTATTAAATTTTGAATAACTTTACTAATATATAAATTTTCCTTTAATAAATGATTTTCTTCCACATCACTCATTGCGTCATCTTCACTAAAGTATTCATTTCCTTGCTCTGCTGGGTATGTACTTTTTTGTCTTTCATTATCATTGGTTTTATAATTTATTCCTTTTTCAATATTTTCTTCCTCTTCTTTAACTACTACTTCTTTGCTCTCTTCCCTACTCACTTTGGTTACTATTATATGATTCGTGATATCTCCATCTCTTCCACTTAGAGAAGCGTCCTTGGTTTGATTCAAATATGATTCCTTTACAAATGCTAATGATTCCAATGTTGGTCCTGACACTTGTGATGGTGTATTATCACCTTGAAATAATGACAATCGTTCTTTTGATGAATCTCTTATTTTCTTTATTATGGGTGTAGTAGTACAAGAATTCTTATCATTCATCGAATTCTTATCATTCATCGAATTCTTATCATCCATCGAATTCTTATCATCCATCGAATTCTTATCATCCATCGAATTCTCATTGAACTCTACCTCCCGTGCTTGTTCGTCCTTGTGGTTATAGGCCATGGTTAATAAAAATAAATATTTCGACAAACAATAGCGCACATAATTGATTCTTAACAAATCGTACACGTTGACAGATAATGGTGGGTGATTCTCGTCCTGGCAAGATTCTCCTTCTACTTCTACTCTTTTGGGTACATTTTGAGATAACTGATCATGATTCCTTAAAAGTTGCATGTGGCTTTGTATATGTAGCGGATTGTCAATAGGAAAACCATCAACAGGAGGAGCACCACCAACCGATGTAGAAGAAGTAGAGGCACCTACCATCCCCTTCAACTTTTTCCTCTTTACATCCTGAATAACTATTTCTTTCGAATCAAATATCTTTACAGACAATATGTCTACTCCCTTTAAATTTGATCTCGTGTTCAAAATGACGTTGTCATGGTCAGGCAGGGAGGCTAAAAAAAAACTTAGGAAATATTCATTCGGGATAACAGTGCAATAGTTTACCCATGTGTATGTGTCATTAGTGCAACTATAATCAATGCTTGAGCATACAGCAAAAATGTCTTGCGTTTGTTTTCTGTAAATCCTTTTTTCTATATCATAATAAAATGGACAAAGAGAAAGGAATCCAAGGACTGACTTGAAGCTCAAGTTACATTTCATTTTTTTTTGTTTTTCTTTGTTATTAAAAACAGTGCAATCAGAGCTGGAATTGTGGATATCTATGTCTTCTGTTCTTCTCTGACTCACTTCTTCTTCCTTTTTCCAATCGGCATCCATTTCACCACCAGCCTCTCTGCCAACCTCTCTGCCAACCTCTTGAGCTCTTTTTTCCCTCTCCTTTTTGCTGATTTTATAATTGTCCGTGTTAAGCAAAGTCCACTTAACTAGGAATAGATTCTTTGGCTTCTTCATCTCGTACTGATGATTGAAATAGTTACTTACACGACCGGCATTTGGTCGATTCTGATTGTAGTGATGGTGGTTGTGGTGATTCGAATTTCCCGGGTATGACGATTTCCACAGAGGAATGTTAAAGGACATTCTTCCGCTAGAAAACATATTTATAATGTTGGTACATAGGGAAGCATTGTTAATTTCATCCTTTTGATTTACCTGCACAGGTACTATTGCTTGTACTGGGTGTATGAGATTAAAAATATTTTCCTGAAAATTAAAAAAAATGTTTTTTTCTGCATCATTGTTATACATGCATAGTAATTCTTTTTTTATTTGTTCAATTAGCTCATGATAGAATTTTATATTAGATGGGTTGAAAAAAACTTTGCTTAATTCTGTTCCTATGAATAAGTTGTTGCTGAGGCTGAACCTGCTGCCGTTATCTCTAGTGGGGAAGTACCCCACACCTCTTATATTGCAGAAAATTTCATTTGAATGTTTTCCTCCGTATATTGAATATTGTCTATTTGGAATATTATCTCTCTGATTTAATTCTGCTAAATTTTCTGAGCTATGGAATGCGGTTAGTTGGCTTGCATGGTGGCCATGTTGGCCTGTATAGTGATCATTGAAATATTTGTTTATTCCTTTCTTATCATCAAAATGGACAATGTAAAAATTTTTCATGTAGAATAAATCAAACGATAAGTATGGGCACATAATAAAAAGAGATTTCCTCAAAATGTTCATATCGTGCATGTAAGATCCTCCCCCTCCTCCTCTGAGGTATATGCAATTTTTTAAATTTAATTTTTGCGACGTCATAAAATTTAATAAGCCTAACAATTTTTTCCCTTTGTTTTTTTTTTCATTCGAATTTTGAATAGGTAAATTTGGAGAACCATGGATGAACAATGGGGTAAAAGCAAGAGAAAATAAAAACTTTAAATATAGATTTTCATTTGATGAGTCATAATATGAATATTTTGTAACTATACGAAAAACATTTTCGGCATTCAATGATTCAAACGAACTATCATCATAATGACAATTTAATCGATTGTCTACTACAGTAACTGGTGGTACCTGTCCAATTAATAAATTTAATAAGTAAACAACTGATCTATAAGCATTACTGTTTTTGTCTAAAATTTTTAATAAACGTCTACACAAATTTTGTACACTGCTTATAACACATAATAACTTCTTTGCATTGATATGATTCCTTTTGTTCATAATTGTACATGTATTAATGTAATAACTTTTTATATTTGATCTATCAAATCTATTTTCATTCTTTAAATCTTGAATGTACAAGGAGAAAACACACAACCATTCGATAAAAACATTCCTTAGCATTATAGGTTCTGAATATGTTTTTCCATCGAAATAATTTTTTTGTTTTAAGGATACTTCCAAACCCACTCCATAAGCGTATATATTCTTGGACGTGTACATATTAAATGTTGGAAATATATCATTTGTATCCAAAATGGCAATTATAATTATAGTGTCAAATGTTAAATTCATTGCCACTCCGTATAGTAGCAATCTGCATAAATTAATGCTCATATTGAATCGAATCATTATCTGCCCAATTATTGAGATAACAAGTTTGTCTTTTACTTTTATTATGGCTTTCATTTTTTCTAGCTCGTACCTTGTATTTTTTATTTTCTCCTTCGATGGTTCTTCGATTATCATGCTTAGCACGTCGTACATGTTCAGACTTCTCTGCCTGCCGTTCATATCGCTTGGCTTGCTGTTCATATCGATTTGCTTGCTGTTCATATCGATTTGCTTGCTGTTCATATCGATTTGCTTACTGTTCATATCGATTTGCTTACTGTTCATATCGCTTGGCTTGCTGTTCATATCGATTTGCTTACTGCTCGGATTCTTCGTCCCATCCATTATCTCCCCAGTGCCAGCACACTTGTGCCCATTTATGAGCTGATTCAACACGGACATACTCTTCAGTATGTACAAATATAAGTGGTGCAAACTATGCGTATATATTTCGCTAACCTTGTGATCCCTCAAAAAGGAAAGAAAATTCTTACTTATCATCCGTATGCAGATTCCATGACATGTCCTACCACATCTACCCTTTCTCTGTTCCATGGAAGATTTATTAATCCATTTTTTTGTTAAAATATGTGCTCTCTTTTTAGAATTATATTCAATGTTTTTTTGTATACAAAAATCAATAACTAGTCGTACATTTGGTATGGTAATAGAACTCTCAGCAATGTTTGAAGATAAAAAAATATGAATGCTATCTGTGTCATTTCCTTGTAATTTATGTATTGTATTATCATATAAACAACTGTGCAATATGTGAATATGGAATTTTATGTTATACTTAAACGAATTGTTATTTATTATTATACATAGCTGATGATACATGTCTGTAATATCTTGCATTCCTGATAGGAATATTAAGACACTATCACCTCGTAGACATAAATTATACACTAACTCAAGGCACAACTCGGATACGTTAGAAAATACATTCGCTGGGATGACATGTTCCACATTTATATTTCTCTTTTCCTGGTTATTTCCATTTTTATGGTTAAACATATTTATATTTTTGTCATATTCATTTTTAATTTTGTGCAGTAAATTTTCTGCATTTTGAGAAAGGTTCAACCTCCTGCAATTTTTTTTGCGTAAAATGAATTCGATTACTTTTTCATTTCTGCTGGTTCTCTCTATTTGGCTTGCGTCACCTAGTGGCTTTATATCTCCTTTCTCTTGCACATGACATAAGTTTTGTGGGACATCTACTTCTTCCCTCTCTGAATCAGAATTCATCATACAACTGTCTGAATCGCTAACGGGTTCGCGTGCATACCTTATTATATCTTCAATGTAAAAGGTGTCGATGCTGTAGATTTTTGTACCTATAAATATGGAACTCATGTTGATATACTGGTGCTGAAAATAAGAATAAAATAAATTGCTTTGCATAGTTGCTGACATGATAATCAACTTAAACATTTTTTCATCCTTCCTTTTGTTGTGCAAGTAAACCTTAATAAAAAGTAATACAATATCAAGCAGTATGCTCCGGTCATGTATTTCGTCTATAATGATATGAGTAAATTTTCTGTACATATTTTTATGATGTAAAAACAGTTTAAACAGAAATCCGATAGTTGTATAAGTAACTAACGTTTTCTCATTGTCATAAACAGATTCTCCAGATATTCTATACCCAACTGTATTTCCTAATTTTTCATTTATCAATTCGGATAAAATTTTTGATAATGATATACATGCAATTCTTCTTGGTTCAGTAACAATGATATTTATTTTATTTTTTTTTTCTTTTAAATTTTCTTCTAGAAGAAATTTGGGTACGCACGTCGATTTACCAGAACCCGTTTCACCATGTATAAACGTCACATCATTCTCATTTATCATTTTTAAAATTTCATTTCTTGAATTATAAATAGATAATTTTTGAATGTTGCTTTGTGCACTCTTTAGACAATCTTCTGTCAGCAAAATTTTAGTCCTCTTTTCTCTTCCTTTTCTTTTTATTCCCATTATTTCAGCATATTTCCTTTCTCCCTTGCACCCCAGGGGAGGGTTGTCTTCCTCTCCCTGTCCCTTCCTCTTCGCGTAGTTACTTTCTTGCTCGCGATTGCTGCTTCTGTTATTACTACCTCTGCTATTGTTGTTTCTGCTATTGTTGTTTCTGCTATTGTTGTTTTTGCTATTGTTGTTTCTGCTATTGTTGTTTCTGCTATTGTTGTTTCTGCTATTGTTGTTTCTGCTATTGTTGTTTCTGCCATTATTGCTTCTGCCATTATTGCTTCTGTAATTATTACTTCTACTAGTGTTTGTTCTACCATTATTTCCGCGCCGGTTACTGCTGATCGAGGCATCATCCATTCGATTACTCTCCCTCCGTAGGAATCTCCTTTCTGAGTCCTTCATCAATGGATGGTTTCCATTTTCAGTAACAGGAAATACATTCTGAGTCTTGTAAACAGAGCCATGGTAATATCTTTGGCTTTGCTCATTCTCCTTCTTGAATTCATCTTCCTCTACTTGATTATTTTCAAACTTATGATTATACTCATCATAGATATTCATCGTGTATGATCGATCATTCCTATCAATACAAGGTGCATATTTGAATCCTCCATTTCTATTAAATGTATTATTTCGATTGGATTGAAATGTTTGCTTATTTACTTCTTCCTTCATCTGATATTGGTGCGTGACACTACTTCCATACTTGGCATAACTATTTTTGTGCGAATCGTTATAATTTTCTAAATCCTTTCCATATGTGTAGTTTACCCGAAATGCGCAGTTTGTTTCAGGGTCTATGTTCTGATGGTCACTACTAAGAGGAATGTGTTGATGGGGCGCGTTATATTCGTGCGTGGTTCTATACTCGTTATGGGTTCTATACTCGTGAGGGGTTCTATACTCGTTATGGGTTCTATACTCGTGAGGGGTTCTATACTCGTTATGGGTTCTATACTCGTTATGGGTTCTATACTCGTTAGGGTTTCTATACTCGTTATGGGTTCTATACTCGTGATACGTGGTATAATCATGGGAAGTGCTATACCCCTGCGGATTGTCAAACCTGTTTGGGTTGGCATACACATGCAGATAGTTCACAGAATGTGGAGGGTTACTATTCAAATTACTATTCAAGTTACAATTCATAGAAACAGGGTGTACATTGTTTCCAAGTCTGGTATCATACCCTGTGGGGAAGGCATCTGGTGGTATGGCAGCAGATGGAGGGTGCCCAGATGCAGACATAATTCCACACGGGTTGCCATTCGTCCTATCCCAAAGCTGATTCGGTTGATTCCGTTGATTCGGTTGGTTGTGCTCGATCTGGTAATAATTACAACATATCAGGTTAGCGGCTGCATCACCTGTATCCATTTTGTTCATTACAGCTCCTTCTCCCCGGGTACGAACTTTGGTGCACTTGTGAGAAATAGTTCCACTTGGGTGATTCCTATAGGGTTCATAATGTGCATCATTAATGCTGGTTAGATGTTCTTTCTCTATAAATGGTGATGCCATTCCCAACTGTTCTCCATCTATGATATCTTCTTTTTGTGATTCATTATTTCTATTCAATTCATACATACGTTTATCTTTACAAGAACCCTGATAATGATTACCAAATTTAACATGAAAATTTTCCTGCATTTTATACATCTCTTCGTGTTCTTTGTTGTAATATGGAAAATTTTCTATATTTAATGATACCTTATTCCCCTGTCCCTTCATAGATGTGTTAAAATGGATTTTATTATGTCTTCTCGTGTCTGATTTATTCGACTCCAATTTCTTTAGATCTAATATATTTGCATTGATATTTCTCTCATAGTAGATCTCTTAAAATATTTGATTTCCCTCCTCGTAGATCATTTATTTGTCATACACACACACGAAAAAAAAAAAAAATAAATAAAATAAAATAAAAAAAAAAAATAAATTCTGATCATCACATTCGAACTAAAAAGAGAGAAAAAAAAAAAAAAAATACTAACCTTTCTCTCTGATCTAATTTAAACCCTTAATTAACAGACCCACCTTTTTCAGCACAATACATTGGATTAGTTATAAGCGTTATATATTATTTCTGTATTATTATTTATCGGGATATTTCTTAGCAAATGTGTCTGTTGATGGATGTAAAAAAATGTACGCGAGAATAGAGGGGTGAACAATGGTTCTACATAAGTTTTTTTTTTTTTTTTTTTTTTTGTGTACGTAAACATGTACGTATGTATATGTGTATGCACATATGTATGCATGTAATTTATGTTACATGCTTAGTTTTAGAAGTTACTACTGGTGAGGCAAAAAAAGAAAAAAAAAAAGAAAAAAAAAACAATAAGGGGAGAAATGAAATAAAGTCAACTGATTATTCAAGTTTCAATCTGATGAAAATAAAAAAATATAGTCCAAGAACACAAGCAAAGAAAGCTCCTTATCATTCCAAAATAAGTGTTATGCAAATGGGTAAGAATGTAAAAACGTATGTTAACGTGTAAGTGGATAGGTGTACGAACAAAGGGCACTAGATCTGATTAACAAAAGCAAAGGAGCAAGACAAGGCCACACTTCGCTCAAGCGATGGGTAGAGGAAAAGCGGACGTGTGAAATGGGGCTAAAGGAAATAAAGTTAAACGATACAAATGTAGAAAAAACATATCGTAACTTGTTGTAAAAAAAAAAAAAAAAAAAAAATAGTAATAAAATAATGCAAATAAATAAAATAAATAAATAAAATAAATAAATAAATAAGTAACATGAAATAAAATAAATAAAAAGCCGTAAAGAAACAAAGTAACGAAGAAATGTGGGGACGTAAGTATAAACTTGTTGAAAAAAGTTAAGGAAAAAAAAAAAAAATGTACTTTCTGAGAAAAAAAAAAAACAAAAAAAAAAGTGCATACGTAGGTAAAGCATATACAAGAAATGAAAAATCATTATCTCAAACAATGGGTAAAAAAGAAAAAAAAAAAAAAAAAAGCAATGTTCTTTAAAATTTTTTTTTTTTTTGCAAATACCGACACCATGGAGAGAGTGTGACCAGAGGTTCGCACATAAAAAAAGTAGAGCATGAGGGGAGCACACATAGTGCGAGGCTACATAAGGTAGAAGCAAGCTAAGCAATCTATCATATATGTATATACATATATATGTACATAAATGGTAGATATATATATGTACACATATGGTAGATATATATGTACATATATAGTAGATATATATACATATATATATATGCTTGCGCGCCTGTGTGGGTACATACATACATACATACATTTATATACAATGTTGCGAATGATGCTTCAGCACCGTGTTGTTTCGATATTATTTATGAGCCACGTGATTTTTGCTATCCCAATAAAAATTTAGTTGTGGAGAAAGGCGAAATGACTACATAGGCATATCTCACCATAACATAGAACATTTAACACACAAAAAAAAAAGAGAAGAAAGAGATGGAGAAAATATAATGTGTATACTTCTTAATCCGACACCGCCTGCTTTACATATATGCATATCTCCTAAAAGCATGTTTTTTTTTTCTTTTTTTTTTTTACTTGCTTTCATTCCATCCCTTGTGTAAGCACGATGAGAAGAAAAAAAAATGTTCAAAAAAACTTATAGGAAACCGGGAACCTACAGGTAATTTGCAACAGCAAATGCTCGAACATGTATAAAATATTTTTTGAAATCACAGACGACGCATACACATATGTATATATATATGCATGTGTAGAATTATGGATTATTTGCGGATGCGGAAAGTGTTGCAGGGAAAAAAAAAAAAAAAAAGGTAAAAAATCGACTTACAATTTTGTTAAAAAATAAGAAAACAAAATTCAAACACACTCTTTTTCCATACACCTTTAGGAGCCACAAATCCAACATTATTTTTCTGCTCCTTATCTCACCTCCTCCCCTGAATGAGTTGTTCCTTTCTTTTTCACGCTTTGCCATAGTATTTGCTAATAAAGAATAAAGAGGCGCAAAGATCAAATTGGAGCCTCTTCATAGAGCTATTGTACAAATGGAATAGAAAATGCATGGAACATCTTTCTTTCATGTGATGAACGGAATATGAGCTGATAGAGAGAGTAGGTTGAAAAGACGAAGGAGAAGAATATCGCGTGTGGGTAACATGGGTCAGCATGGCTGTTCTCTTGAAATGACCACGCTTTTTCTTCCCACTTCGATTTATACATGTGTGTGTCTTTATTATTTTTCATTTTATTTTGTTTTATTTTGCGATACCACTTTTCTTCCACCCCCTTTGCTGCAAGTGCACATCACAATTTCTTAAAAAAAAAAAAGGTGTTTATTAAAAATAAAAGCTTTACGTTTAAAAACTAAGGGTGTTGGATGTTAGAAATTGGAAGTTGATGAAATCTGTAGCGCAGCATGAAAAAAAGGAGAAAAAAAATAAAATAAAAAAAAAAAAAAAAATAAATAAATAACAAATTGAATGTAGACAAAAGGGCAAGTGGGAAAATTTGCACATATGGCTAGTCAAACATAAACGCACACACACATACTGGCATGCACAACTGCAAAAATTGCAACCGTTGAGAAGGTAATGAATCCCTCCTTTCTCTCCTCCCCTCCATTAATGGTTTAGCTTGTTGATATATGAAGATATATTGTCCTCATTGAAATATGTGTTAATCGTTTTCTTCTGCTGAATGATGTCAATATTTCCATTGTAACATACCTGTACCTCTTGATCCTTATGCATAATTTTCTTAATCGTCCAATTGTTTTCATTTAGAAAAGTTTCAAGTTCTGAAATGTTTTCAACATTTAAATAATTTTCCATATTTTTTAAAGATATAGTTTCAAAACTTAGGGTTATACAATTTAATATATATTTTCGAATGTTGTATATAAAAGTATTGTAATTTTTTAAAAACGAAAAATCATAATTATCATCATTTATCCCTTTATTATTATTAATACAATTCCATAATTTAATAAATTGACATTCTTTAATTAAATCGTGTAGGTACACAATATTTTTTATATTTTCATCATATAAATTCGGATTTATTAAACTCAGGTAAATGTTCATATCTATTTCGTTTATATTGTATAGCACGCACACCAGCATTTTTTTAATTACCATTTTATCAAAACAGTGAGGATATAAACAAAACAGTCTCAGCAATGTTAGCATCACTTCATTGTCAAAGTATTCATTGTTTACAAAGGCGATGTCCACATAGTCACTTAGAATTTCTGCAAATCGAAAAGAGGGATATAAGGGTGTGTACATGTTCGTGTGTGTATGTGTGTGTAGGGGGAAAGTACACATATATACATATAAATATATGAACATATATTTTTTGGCCTATTGACAAAGATGCTCATGTGATTATTTGCTATGAAGCCTCTTCTTGAATCACAGCTTTTCATTTTCATAAACTTTTATACACGTAAAGCTGACAATGTTTCATGACAACTTTTTTGTAATACATAACATGCTTCCCTTTTCTACATTGGATATTATTACTTCCACCATCTTCACTATTGTCACAACGGTGATTTGGAGTGATAGACGTGTTTATGAACTGTTCATATAAGAGTTCTCCTCTCCTATTTTTCCTTTAAATTTCAAAATCACATGAGATGAGAGAAAACCGGAGAAGGCGTTTCCAATGCAAAAGCTTTTTTTTTTTTTTTTTTTTACATTATTTATTCTACTCAATTTTACTATATTTTACTCAATTTTACTATATTTTACTCAATTTTACTATATTTTACTCAATTTTACTATATTTTACTCAATTTTACTATATTTTACTCAATTTTACTGTATTTTACTCCATTTAATTATATTTTATTATATATTACTCCATTTTTTTCACTTACTCAATTTGGAAGCGTTAAACATCATGTGCGGGTAAACCTTTATGGCCTGCACCTCTTCTATAATATTTCTAATGTCCATATTTAATTTTCACAAAAATAAAAAAATATAACTCTTATTTGTCAGATTAGGATAGCACAAATATTATATTTTTTATGACCCAACTTTGGGACAGAACTTTACGAAAAATTATGTGTGTTCTGAAAAATATATTATACACACATATATGTGAGTGGTGAATGTATGTTATTTCCTAATGCAATTTATGCTTTATGATACTCACAGTACTGTTTCCCCATAACAAGTAGTTTTTTGTTTCTACAAATTCATCACTAGTGTAGGGTTTTTCTCCTTCTATGACTAGATTAATGCATATGCAAAGGTATGTATATCCAAATGCATATATTTGCAAATATGTAACTATCCTCCTTGTTAATGTTCTCACGTTGCAGTTTATTGCATTATGAATTGGAATATTCGAATAGAAAAAAGAAAATGAGAGGGTAATGGCAAAAATATGTAAAAAAAAAGAAAAAAAAAGTGGGAAAAAAAGGATAGGAAAAAGAAAACAAACAGAACATAAAAAAAAAAAAAAAAAAAAGCCATAAAAAATATTTATGAATATGCACTGAATTTTAATCACATTACACAGTTAACCTGAAAATGAACGACCATAGCAGGCTTGTTAGGTTGGGTTGTTATAATATTTATACTCAAAAAAAAAAAAAAAAAAAAAAAAAATGTTACGCAAAAACACGTTCTGCACTATGGAAAGGGAAAAAAATGAACATGTTACATATAGTAAGAGCACCCAACATGCCGAACACATTAAGAGGTAAGGTGAATGCACGTGACATACGTGTATGTGCTATAGGTATATATATGTACATGTAACATACATATATACTATATATACATATAGATGTAATAACATGGTGGGAAATACTTTTTCCCTCGGGTGTAAAAAAAAAAAAAAAAGAAAAGAAAAGAAAAAGGAAAAGAAGGAGAAGAAATTGCCTACTTACCCCATCGTGAATTCCTCATAACTCATTTAGAAAAATGGGGAAAAACACTCAAGTGCAAAAATAAAATTAAGAAGCAAAACATAAAGTTCGCAATGCGTAATTCTTTTGTGGATATAAATAAAAGTCATGACGCAAGAATGCGTGACATTCTCAAGACTCAGCTAAAAAGGAAAAAGCTGATTTTAGCCGTAAATGCAAAGTGAACGGAGTAAAAAGGTACGCAGCATGATGAAAAAAAAAAAACAAAATCCTCAAATTATACTTCCGAATTGAAAGGGTAAATGCAAATGCGCATGTATATATATAACATGCGCGCGATGCATATATTTCTTACCCTCGGGGGCAATTGCTTTTAGGAAAAAAAGAAGAAGAGAGAGAAAAAAAGCTAATATTTTCAGGGCTGCTTCAGAACGTAAAATATTTTTTTAAATTCCCCCTTTTTTTTTTTTTCTTCTTTGCAATAACACATTTCTTGTAGTAGCAGCCTTCTGCAGCACGTGTAATGATTTTTTTTTTTTTTTTTTTTTTTTTCCCATATACGGAAAACACTGTGTTTTATATTTTATACCTACATTTGTGCTAAAACAAAATGAGGTTTTATGCAATTTCCTGAAAATTTTTTTTTTTTTTTTTTTTTTTTTTTTTGTGAAAAAGAAAAGTTCATACACCCCAAATCCATCATGCCACAATATATATCACTTCACTTTTGATTCTCTGTTTTTTATATGTAGCACTGATTTTATTTTATTCCGTTATATTTTATTCCGTTTTATTTTATTCTGTTTTATTTTACTCCTTTTTATTTCATTCTGTTTTATTTCATTCTATTTTATTTTACTCCGTTTTATCTCATTCGATTTCGGTATATTATCCCATTTCATTACACCCCGCTCCGTCATATTCCATTTCATTACACCCCGCTCCGTCATATTCCATTTCATTTTACCCCGCTTCAATTCTTCTACTTCATTTTATTTTACTCTGTTGTATTTTATTCCATTCTGTTTTATTTTATTTATTATTTTTTTTTTTTTTTTACCAAAAGTGACACTCGATTTGGTAGATAAATCGCCAATTAGAAAAAATATATATATATATATATATATTCAACTCCCAGAAGTGTTGAGTGATTTAATTGGTGCACATATCGCGTATATACTCATACAAAACCCCCTTGAAATTGCAAGTTCGTTTATGCAATTTCTCTTGTGAAGAAGAAAAAGGAAGACACAATATAGACACAAAGGTGATAATAGAAATCAAAATAATCAATCCAAGTACAAAGAGTGTAAGAAATCTAAGTGGCAAAAAAAAAAGAAAAAAAAAGGAAAAGGAAAAAAATAGGGAACGCAGGTTATTATGATTTTCAAAATAATAAAGTATCAAATTAACACAAGTTGAACTGTAACAGTAAAATGTATTCTCTTTATGTTAACAACCAACATGGTACGTTAGTTTATCAAAAGGTACGTCCACAGATAAAGCAGTTACATTTTTGTTGAACATGTGTATTACTAACACGTGCACATGTTTTTTTTTCCTAGAAGTTCTATCCCCATCCCAATATGTATAACATGAATTAAATAAAATATACATAGCCAAAATATGTCAACGAAAAATTCGAAATAATGGACTACTTGCTCTCCCACTGTGACAGAAAAAAACATTTTTTTGCATGTAGCTTCCCTTCCCTTTTCTCCTTTTAATTAGTGAAAAGGTGAAGCAAACGGTTGAGAGATTATTTTACTACGTCTATACCCATGTCAGGGTGTTGTCAAACAGAATTATGGTCATGTAGAAAAAGTGCATTTTCATGCGCAACGTTCCAGTGGGATAAAAATATATCTCCAGTATATCTCCAATTTTTCTCCCATTTTGCCCATCTCTCCCATTTCGTATTTATTTTTCCCCGTTCAGCACTTCAGCGACGAAATAAAACTAAACAGTAATGAAGAAATAAGACTTGCTTCCATGCTGCATGGCATTTCCACAATTTCTGAAAAGATTAATGTACATTCATCTCCATTAAATGAAACGAAGAAGAACATATTTAAATCGTTAGAAAAAAAGGGTATAGAAACGATTGAAGGAGATGGCTTTAAAATAAAATGCTACGACACATTGACAGGAATAAAAATATTTATCGTGCATAAAGATGACATAAATATAGAAGTGAACACATATTTAAAAAGGGTATATGAATTGTATAGCGATATCATCCTGAAAAATCCGTTTTATGACATTGATATGCCCATACGTTCTGCAGTATTTAACGAGCACATCGAAAAACTCTTTTCCACCATAAACTGAGGAAAGTTTATGGAGTATATTGTTGAGAACTTTGACAATAAAATTGACAAGAAGTCTCCGTTTTTCGTTAGTGACGAATGTGCGAATCTGCATGCACGCACATATATACATGCATACGACACATATACTTGTGAAAAAAAAAAAAAAAAATTCTTATTCCACAAATTGTACAAATTTTCGTGAAACATATTTTCTGCACATATTATCATTACCCCTAAAGAGAATTGATCAATTTGAATTCACAGCATTGTAGAAGGAAAAAAAAAAAAAAAAATAACGAGCCTATATAAATCAGCACCCATTTCGCAAGTTATAGATTTTTGTGTTTCTTTCTCGAAAACCTATACTCCTCCCCCTCCCCACACTCCCTAATTCCAACGTACCAAACAAAAGAGGTTAAAATGAGCTTGTTCCTTAATTTACTTATTTTGATTGATGCAGCAAGTGTTGCTTTTCTCTCAGTAACATTTATTATGATCAATTTAAATGAAGAAATTTTGTTAAACCAAACGCACCGAGAAAATGGGAAAAAAGCATTGATTGTAGCAATATTGTTTTATGCAGGTTTTTTAATTTTACTATTTACATACAAAGCCTACAAAAGCAAGCGTAAGTTGTATAACAACTTTTTCATGAAGAAGAGAAATGCTCCAAGGTATGTTCAGCTCTCCAGCACTTATTTTTCGTCAACAGATGAGTACGAGCAGTATGAACTAAGTAAAATATAGAGATTGGTTGGTATGTGCAAAGTGCACATGTCCATGTATGCATATGTGTGGATGCACGTGTTTTTTATGCACAGCAATACATAAACTCTTTGTCATTCCGGTGGTTTAACAAATTTATGTGCACACTTGTTTAAGAAAAAGAAAAGAGCAAGGGAAAATTAAAATTAAAATAGTTATCTTATCGTCAGATAGTTATTATATAATCACTAGACAATCACTAGATAATCATTAGATGTTCTTAATTTTCATATATATATATTTTTTTTTGATTTATATATACGCACACACATGCATCTCTACTCTTTTTTGTTATAATTTTAGCTTAAGTTTTTTTTTTTTTTCTCTCCCAGTTTTACAGCTATTTTCTTATTGTATGTTCATACTTTTTTTTTTTTTTTTTTTTATTCCTTTTATATATACTTAATAGGGTAAAACACAACCCATTATTTATTATTTATTTTTTCTTTTCGCTCAAAAGTTATAAAATGCATGAATTCTAAATTAACCCTTTTTATTGTAACGAAAACATTTTAAAGGAAAACCATTTTGACATGTTCTATTCTGGCCTGATTTTTCAATTACAAGCCTTAGTAAAGTGATTGTTAGCGCAGTGTGTACATTTGGCAACATTGTTATTTCAGGCAAGTAAATGTGCAAATTTGTATATATATATATATATATATATATATATATATATCCGATGCGCATACGCACATATCTGTGCATAACTTCCCCATTTGCGCCATTTCACTGTTTAAAATTTTAAAAAAAATGCGTGCGCTTTTTTGCACTACACACATAATGAGGAAATATAGCGAAAGTGTGTAGTAGAGCCCCTTCGGTTGAAGTGTTGAAGAGAATAAAAAGCATGTTTCGTTACCTCCACATGATATACATATATATACCGCGTGCATACATTTATACATAAGCAATATATACAATGTACTTTTCCCACAGATGGAAAAAGGAGTTTATGTAAACGCGGATTGTGAGAATATGAAATATGGAAAAGAAAAGAATTGTCATATGATACACACAAGTGTGCGTACACATGCATTCTTAAAAAGTACTTTTTTTTTTTCTCTTTTTTTTTTTTTTTTTTTTTTTTTTTTTTTCCTGTTCCATCTATCTGTTCCCACTAGCATTAAAATGTGTTGTTATGCATGGAACCATACTTCCAATGGGTGCGCTTTAACCCCCTATAATTTTTTACATGTCTGATAGCACGTTTAAACAGTTACTCACGTATATACAACATTCCATAACATGGAATTCGATCCAGGCTTGCAAAGCTTACAAAATTGGCTAAGTTTATATAGTTTATAAGTTTACAAAGTTTAAAAAATTTGCAAAGCTGACACTTTTACAAAGCTTACAATTTTACAAAGCCTAAAATTTTTTTTTTTTCATACGTCCCCTACGTCCAAGGGGGGAAATCACCATTTTGATTTCCATTGTACAAACGTTGTCATCTCACCGCAAATAATAAGTTTCCCCCTTCTGTGAACTCGAGTGTTTGACTAAATATATGCATACTTGTGTTCATGTATACATTTATATATACATATACAAACGTGTGCAAGCTTGCTGCTTATGCATGCTGGCCAAAGAGAGCACTGAAAAAGAGAGAGTGATTGAGGAGTGACACTACAAGAAGGGGGTGGGGAAAAAAAAAAATAGGAATAAAAAATGAAAATGCTGCAGCTGAATTACTACCATGGAGAGATATACGAAAAGTACAAAATTAACAACGTGCTGTCGGTACTTGTGGACAAACATAAGTTTCAAAATCAAAGCATCGATTTTAATGAACTGAGCAACAGAAAGAACAACTATAGCATAATGGCACTTTTAGGAAGCCAGATAAAAAATATGAACGATGAATTATATAAAGACATTGATACCAATGACATAATTTTAGCATTGTCCAAGTTAAAACAAATCGATGAACAAATTACAATAAACGAAAGTCAAAATAAAGACTATGTCTTAGAACTGGCAGAACAACTGTATTATGAATATTTGCAAAAGGGAATAATTACTAATGATAATTCTTTTCATTTAAATAATAAAAAAAACTTCATCACAATAAATTTACAGTTAATGAATGAAATAAATTCTGTAATTAGGAATAATGAAAACAGAATTCAATACTTACGTTCTTACCATCCAGGTGAAGGAGTTCAAAAGGATACATTTTCCATAATCTCAGTGCATCCTGAGGACACAGATAAGTACAGTTTTACCATGTTGAATGAAAGGGAAGATTATTATAACATGAATCATCATGAGCATAGTGATAGAAGCAAAGCTCGTTTAGATGAAAATAGATACACAAGTAGGATTAGTCAATTATATCCAAATACAAATGAGCTAGATCCAGTGGATGAAATGAATGCAAACCTTTTGAAGGATGTCAATGATTATAACAGTCATAGGGAAACCGTCCTTAACGATTGCGAAAATGGTCAAAATTACGTAAGTTTGAAAAATGAAAAGAGGAATACCATTACTCAAGTAGGAAATCCTTACAACCATTACGGAAAGTTAAACAAGGAGAATGCAAGATCCAATACCAATGACAAGAAGGGTGATGCTCTTAGCTCGAACGACAGGCACAGTGGGAATGATATAGAAAATGACTCAAACCATAATATTGGTAACAGGAAGATCGATCTCTATCATTATCGAAAGGATGCAACCAACAGCACCTATTGTAACAGCGTCGAAAATGAGAACGTAGATTTGAACACAGATTGCAATGAGGGAACAAGCAGAAGAAATAATCAGAACTTTAAGATCGACGTGCTGAATGGAGAAGCAGTCGATGGAGAGAATAACAATCAAGGCAGTGACAATGGAATTAATGACAATAATGGAAATAATAGAGATAATGGAAATTATAGAGAACTTAGACAGCACAGACAAAACAGTCATCACCGAGAGGATCGAAACGACAGACTCTCGATACATGAACGTAGGAGAAGCAGCTTTAGTAGCGCGACGCGCAACCATCAAGGGGAGAAAACATTATTTGATGATCCATTGAAAGGGGAATATTTGAAGAGAAGGACAGTGCATAACGAAAAAGTAGAAGAGGATAATAGCTTAGCAGATAATAATCGTAGAATTAGTGTTCTTAGAAATGCACACGGTTTAAACACAAGAATAGACAAGGAAAATATACATAGGAGGAATAAATTTTACGAAGCTGATAATGTTAGTAGAATGAGTATGAACTTTTATGGCCATCGACATCCTAGGGCTCATGCAAGCGGAATTTCAAAAAATAAATCTGACAAAAATAATGATTTTTTATACAAAGACGAATTAAACAACTATGTTAATAACAGAAATGAATTGAAGAGAACCATGAGTAATATAACTAATATGGATGCATGCAATTCTAGGGCAAATATATTTAGAAAAAAAGTTTTCCATAATGACACATTCACCAAAAAGGGCATTAACAACATAAACAACAACTATGTAAATAATGTTTTAGAAAATATTGACAAAGCAGAACAAGAAATTGTTAACAATCATTTGAAAAATTCTCTTACACAGAATGAATATGTTGCACGAAGAATGAGTTCCATACTTTTGAATCCTGCCATGCCTCAGAAGGAAATCTTTAACAATAGAATTTCTTATGAAAATCAAAGTATAGTCAAATTTGGAAACAGAAATACACATAATAATAATTACAGCAGGGATGTCTCATTGAGCAAATACAGTATTTCTGGCCAAAGAAAGAATTACACTACCGACACAAATAATAACAGTAGTTTTATCATAAGTAGCAGCATAAACAAACATAATACATCGGATGAAGATTCGATTACTCACGTAATGACAGGAGGAGGAGGTGAACATGAAAATAAAAATTTCCATATGAGGCCAAGAAATAACTATTTGATGGAAAATAATATGAAAGAAAAAAACATCAATTATAACATCTTAGAGAGAAATAACACCTCAAACACACCTTTAATAAATATGGATAATATGAGTAACTTCTCTCGCAACATTCCAAAATCTATAGAATCCAATTTAAATATGTATACAAACAAATACTCCAGAGCTCTAGACATAAATGACCTTAATAGTAATACTAGTAGAAATCATGTTAATAGTTCTAACAGCTTTAAAAGCGATTTCACTACGGTACGAGACAATTATGGCAAAATGTTGGATAGGTCAAAATCATTAACGTCTCATATTTACAGAGTTCCCATTATGCAAAGGTATATTTAGTGACAAACGTGTGTGTATATGTGATGGAAACTTGTTTTTTTTTTTTTTTTTTTTTTTTTACCATTCGACGGTGTTAACTTTTGGCGAGTTCTTGTGTATGTGTGGCTATTACTCAAGAGGGCAAGTAAAATTCAATATTTTTGTGTGTATATTTGAAAAGAAAAAAAGAAAAATTGAAGGATATCAACTGATATAGTAGGTTGTATTCTGTAGTCCAAGTTAACCCTCAATATGTCAATACAGAAGCGTCCAAAGAATACTACGGAAATGACAGTAAGAAATTATCCCCAGAAATTCACATCATACATTTTAGATAGCATTTTTTATTCGTTAGGCCTTCTTAAGGAACAATGCAAAGAGGAAAACATTTTTGCGCTTCCATTTTTTACAGTTTTTTACACAATGAGCTAGGTTGTGCTGTGTTATTTTTTTGTAACGCTTTCCGCCTATCTTTGCGTGCATATTTGTGCTTATTTAAAAATATATAAGCTCATTTGTGTTTATGTAAATGTTTGTGTTATTTTATTTTATTTTATTTTATTTTATTTATTTTTTTTCGAATATGCTAGCTCCAATGTGAATGTTCAAAGATTAACTATTTTTTTTTTTTTTTTTTTTTTTTTCCCTTAAAAAGTTGGCATAGAATATAGAGCAGACAAATAAGACAAAATTAAAAAAAAAAAAAAAAAGCAGGTGCGAAAAAATGTTCTGAAAGTATTATTGCTCATACGACATTTGGAAAAATGAATAATTCTGCACAATTACTGATCTACATTTTTTTTTTTTTTTTCCTTTTTTCTTTTTCCTGGTGATTTATTTAGCAGAAGGTTGCAGCTAAGTGAAGGTAGATAGCCAAAAGGACTACTTTCATTTTTTTTTTTTTTTTTTTAATTATCCTTAAAAAAAATATGAACGTTCATAAAAACAACAACAAAATTATTGTTGGATTAGATTATTTAGCAGAAAATTTACAGCTACTCGGGCATGTGTCTTTGTTTGTACATGTATTTACATATATATATACATGCTGCACAAAAAAAAAAAAAAAAAAAAAACCAGGGTGGCAACGATAAATTGCGTGCACATAAAACAAAAGAGTGAAGAAATCTTATGCGCATTCATGAATATCAGAAGAGACAAATTCTTCATAAGTCTTAGAAATATTTTAATTTTCTCAGTTGTTTTAAGCCTTTTTTTTTCCTTTTTGTGAAGAGCAAAAAAGTGTCAAATGACACATTATCGCTTGGAGTGAAGAAGAGGTACATATTTGTCTGCCATGTGGAAAGGCAAAAAGTCATACATGAATACATAGCTACATGCACGTAACGTAACTTTTCTTGGGAAGTAAAAATGCTGAACTCCGATTTGGAAATGCCCGAAGTAGACATGGTTGTTTATGAATACACAGATATTCCAATGAAGTTGTCGTTATCCACATATGCATACAAATTTAAACCTTGGAATAATGATTCCAGATATTTATATTCACACGATAACATGCAGAAAGAAATAGATGACTTAAACATGTTAATGAAGTCCATGGTTCCACGGTTATACACTTCTTTCATAAACTGTTTCTTGTTCATTATGTGGGTTTTACATCTTTCCAGTGCTCTTCTACTAGTATGTATAGAAGGGAGAATAACAATCTGTAACACTCATAGGTTTCTCCTTCATCGAGTTATGCACACGAGAAACCTTTGCATCTTATATAAGCCTACTTTTCTTGACACTGATAAAACTTGCACTTGGCAAATCCTGCCCAGAATCAACTGCATGTGGATTTATTTTGCATGTTTTCTTTGATCACTATCACGGTGCGCTTATGTGTAAAGACGCAGTGCTGCATTTATGTGTGCTTATACATATGTATATACATACTTTTCCTTTCCCCTCCCCCACACCCCTTGTAGGATTTCTGTATTATTCATCTCAGCGATTTCCTATTCCCTTATGGTTATTAGCTGCTACATGTTATACTTCTTCCACTACATTAAGAAAGATCTAGACAATGCTTTCATATTTGGATGCATATTTTTAGGTTCCTTTATTCATTACATGATGTGCATGGTGTGCAGATACATAATAACGAAGAATGTGATTATATCAGTAGAGTCAAGAATAATGGATTTAAATGTAAAATACAAAGATGAGCAAATATATTTTAAGCTAATTAATTTAAGTGCATTAGGGTTTAAGTATTTGAAATTCCATTTTGCATACTCAGAAAAAGTGCATTATGCAATCCGAGTTATCTACAAGTATTGCAGAATAACATGATCAGATGATAGGGGGGAAAAAAAAAAAAAAAAAAAATCATCAAGTTTATCTCGCTCCAAATGCACTTTCACATTTAATCGGGGCACGTGGTAAGCCATACACAAACGCAGAAAGCTGGAACTTTGCTTGCAGCATGCGCTCATTTTATCACATTTTGAAAAAAAAATAAAAACATGTGTATACGCATGTATACATATACATATATATATATATATATATATATATATATATATATATATATATGCACATTTTACACTACTGGAAAAAATACGTAACATTCCTTTTCCACCGCTTGGTCAATTTTTTCTTTTTTTCCATTTTCCTTTTTTTCTTAAATATAACTATCATACGAAAAAAAAAATACTTACAGAGACTTCTTTATAAATGCTTCGCACAATTTATAGGACACAGGTGGTGACATGTTCCAGCTGAACAAAACTTTTTGTTCAGAATCTTATTAAAAACCAAGTTGGGAATACATAGAAGAGTAATATTTGTGCTACACCTATCCTATAAGTCCTAATTCCACCATAAATTATTGAAGAACACTAATTATTTTTTTTTGATAAAGTATTTTTCTTTTTTTTGCAGTGCAACGTTAAAATATGACCATTATAATATTCGATAAAATACGTCTTATTGCTACGTCCGCACGTCAACCCCGTTTTCACTTTCTGATGAAGACCAAGCTCGTAACTTTTTTTTCAGACTTTTATAACTTTTCTTTTTCATTATGTTATCTATTTCTTTTATATTGGAATCTTTGGATGACTTTCGGGTGCTAACAGGGAAGTGGAAAAATAGAAAAATGTGGTGCATGCAAAATGTTCGTTGCGATAAAGGGCAGAACGAAAAAAAAAAATAAATAATAATAATAATAATAAATAATAACAATAATGATAACAATAATGACAACAATAATGATAACAATAATGATAACAATAATGATAACAATAATGATAACAATAATGATAACAATAATGATAACAATAATAATAACAATAATAATAATAATACAAATAAATAACAGGGATGAGAAAACACTCTCGGCTATTAAACGTTGGGGGAGAAGAAAAAAAAGTAATGATATTCCTAGCTTGGATAACAAGAATTCATTTTCTTATCGATTCTTAAAAATTTTGTTATGTTAATTTTTTATTTAAAAAGGTAGTAATGGATAGGAAAAAACAGGGTGACAAGAGCAATCAGTGTAACAGTTGAGATTAATTAACATGTCAACAAACATAATGACAAAAAAAAAAAAAAAAAAAAAAAAAAAAAGAAATCTTAATTTCTACCTGTCACTGTCTTTTTTTTTCATGAAACCTCTGCTAGTTCTATTATTCTCAGTATCCATTTCTCTTCTATGTTTACACTTTGCAATTCCTGAAGCGGATGATGAAATGGACGGTGAACTACTTTTTCCTTCCGAGTTTGTTATACTGGCATCCATTTGATGCCCTTCTTTCTTACCTCTCTTCCCCTTTGTTGTATAATCCATCTCGATGCTACTGCTGAATGAATTGCTCGAAGTTACATCGGAGGTGATATCACTGGATTGCCTTCTACGTATCTTTCTGTGTCTATCGATGTCTTCATTAGACTTCCTATGCGCATATCTCTCCCTATATGAACTTTTCCCTTTGTTTCTGCTTCTGTGCCTTTCTCTACTTTTCTCTCTGTTTCTACTTCTGTGCCTTTCTCTACTTTTCTCTCTGTTTCTGCTTCTGTACCTGTCTCTACTTTTCTCTCTGTTTCTGCTTCTGTACCTGTCTCTACTTTTCTCTCTGTTTCTGCTTCTGTACCTGTCTCTACTTTTTTCTCTGTTTCTGCTTCTGTACCTGTCTCTACTTTTCTCCCTATTTCTACTTCTGTGTCTGTCTCTACGCAAGTCCCCTTTTCCATAATATCTATCTATGCTTTTCCTTTCCGAGCTATCATTGTCTACGCTTATATTTGAATTATTTTTATAATTTCTTTTTTTTTTATTATTATATTCTGAAGTGTTCGCATCCGACGAGGTATACTCATCAGAAGTTGCATGGCTGGATATGTGTTTTCTACGGTGTTTTACCCTTTTGGTGTACTTTTTATTTTTACGAGTTTTATAATTTGTACATCTATCAGACTTGGATCCTGTAGAGGATGAATAATCAGATGCAGAACTAGAATGTTTAGCTTTTTTTTTTTTTCTCTTGTTATAATCATTGTCACTACGATTTATTGAATCACTATCAACCTGCTTTCTTCGATCCTCGTGTTTTTCCTCTGTGTCTTTGATAGGTGTGTGACTTTTCTGATCTTCAGTTTCTACAAAAATGACAATTATGAAGAGTGTGAGATGCAATGAAGTAATGTGATGTCCTGACGGAGAGATGTGTTGATATGATAAGACAAAGCAGAATTAGGTAGTCTATACAATTTGAATATAATTATGTAACTCGGAAAATAAGGGTACCAACCCAGACACCCTTATACGCATTTCTCAAAACATGTCTCTATATTAGTTCTTCTACCAAAAAGGAAGTATATATTGAGAAAGCAAATGTGAATTTTGTACACCTTTGAATATGCTATGCGTTTAGTGCAGAGGGAGGGTGGTGGTGATGGTGGGGTGTAGAGGTGTGTTCTTAGTGACAGTGCACGACTTACCGTTGTATATACTTCTTATATTTTGAATATTTATTTTCAAAAGTTCATTTTCATTTTTGATTTGTTCCATTTCGATTTTTTTATTTTCAATTTCGGAATTCAAAATTCCATGCTCATTCTGTTCGTTCGATATAAGCAGTTCCAGCAGCTCTTGGACAAAAATTTCGCTTTTCTTGTTTCCTGCGGGGAGTTCAAAATAAAAAGAAGGGTAATGAATATATAGTACGAGTTTCCAAATTTAATCGCTCAGTTTTCAAAATTGTTTCGTTTTCCAAATTAATCGTTCGATGAATGTCTTTTCTCAACAGAAGCACTTAATTTATGCTAAATTTAACTCCTGTGGAATTATCCTACTGGCCTTACCAATGAAGCCCGTGAGATTTATTTTCAGTCTTTTTGAGTTTAGAAAGTTATCATTATCATCGTCTGTTTGGAGAAGTGCGTAAGTAATTTGAGTTGTGAAGAATTGCCAAATCGGGAAAAATATGTTTGCACATGTACGGACGCACAAATACAGGTGCACAAATACAGATGCACATGTACAGGTGCACATAATATGATAACATCGGTTCAAGTAGCTTACCGATATTTTCTTTTTCATGGCGAAGTTGGGACATACAGTACTCGTAGAGTATATCGTCCTCAAATCCTAAGATTTCAATAAGTCTTCTGTGAATCCATTTTTCTACAACATCTAAATTTATTTTTGTTAAGTCTATCTTCTTATTGTATATTTCAGGCCATACCATTTTTTCGATTAATTTTTTTTCCTTGTCACCAAAGTATGGTGTTTGTTCTGTGTTAGTGCCTTTGTAAAATCCTCCGCCGACTCTCATTTTGTTTCGATCTCTGTTAGCGATGGATTATGAGCGCGCATGCATTGGTATGGATATATAAAGAGAGTGGGATGTGTAGATATGTCGTGATGTGTGAAGACATATGTATGTGGTTCGTTAATTCCTTGTCTCTCTCCCTTTTTTTTTTTTTTTTTTGTCCTTATTTTATACAATGTGATTTTTTTATTATGGTTAATCAATCATATATCACATTATCCGTGGCGAGAAAATGTGGGCAGAAAAATTTACATGATCCTTTTCGCCTGAACGGGGGAGAATAGGAGTTCAGATAGATGTGCTGATATATACACCGATAGATGTAGCTACTTGCACGTATTCCCTCTCAGGAGCGTTGAAATGTCCCTTTCGTTCTAAGGCACATGTATGATCGTAAACTCTTACGCTCACACTTTATTGTATTTTCCACGTGTTCTTCTTTTCTCCTTATTGTATAAGCATTTATATTGGTAAGCTTGCTTAAATATAGAGTCACATACAACCGTTTGTATGTGTGTATTTTTGTGTGTATGTGTGTGGAAACTTCATGATAAATGTCGATGACTTCCACTACCTTACCTCTAAAATGTTACTAAACAAAAACAATTCTGGAAAATATTATCTTGTAGGTGGGATAAAAAAAAAAAAAAAAAAAAAAGGAAATTAGATGGGGGGTCATTATAATTTCAGTTATGTATTTTTTCGCCCCATATAACAGATATATATGTATATCTGTATGGTCATCTCTTTAATGTCCTTTTTTCTGCTTCTTTCTACTGATTTTTTTTTTTTTTTTTTTTTTTCATCTAATCTCATAAGTACTCTCCCCTTCCCTTTGATAACAAAAGGAGTTTGCAAACAAAAAAAAAAAAAAAAAAGAAAAAGTTATGCTTATTCAACGTGTATTTCTTAGCCCTAGTATATAAGTTCAACAATATTGGGATATACCCACATTCATATGTATATATATATATATATATATATATATATATATATATAATACAACGAGTAGTGACATTACTTTTACTTTTTATTAAATCAAGAGGTATGTAGTAAATCTAATTTTTTTTTTTTTTCTGCTCTTAAGGGGAGTGGGCAAAAAAAAAAAAAAAAAAAAAAAGTGCATTAATATACCATCTATGCTATGCTCCTTCAACTTCAAGATAACAAGTACGTAAGTTTGAACATGTAAGCCATGTTATGTTTTCTACACCCAAGAGAATATTTGTATACCTTTTATATGTAAGTGCAACGCGTACGTACTTACATTCATACATGTATATATATATATATATATAATGTATGTGTTTTCATATGCACCACTGTTTTAGCATAACCAGAGAAAGAGGTGTGGGGGATTCTCATTCGAGGAAATAATATAATAATAGATTTGTAAATATCCATTTGTTTTTTTAAAAGAGGCCGGAGGGACCCCTGTAGCTAAAAAAAAAAAAAAAAAAAAAAAAATGAAATTCTGCTAAAATATATTTAAATCTCCAAATTTTTTTCCATTATTAACCATTTTGCCACCACATCTTGGACCCAAGTGTGATTGATAGAGAAAACGTCCAAAAGGGGGGAGGAGGAGGGGAAGAGGAGAGGAAGAGAAGAGGAAGAGAAGAGGAAGAGAAGAGGAAGAGAAGAGGAAGAGAAGAGGAAGAGAAGAGGAAGAGAAGAGGAAGAGAAGAGGAAGAGAAGAGGAAGAGAAGAAGAATTGGAGAAAAGGAAAGAAGAACTATCACTACACTTCTTACTCAAAGAATAAACATAAAATATGTATAACCTTGTTCATATATCGTTATAAGAGCAAAAAAAAATGTCTGATTATCCAACAAATGAGACAGAATATATAAGTAAAAATAAACATGTTGCCAAGTTAAAATACTGTATCCTCGAAATTGAAACTGAAAATTATACGAACAAATCAGATAAACAGATGTAAAAAAGAGAAGTGGAGGAGGGGGGAAAAAAAAAAAAAAAAAAAAAACATACACTTATAGAAACCTATGTATAAACATTCATGTGTGTAAACTATATTATACTACTTTCTCTTCCAGGTTAGACCTTTCCCCTCCTATGTGAATTTTTTTTTTTTTTTTTTTTTTTATATTCTGCTGTTGACTCTACAGAATTTTGTTTCATCATTTGATAGACAAAACATCTTCATGTTAATGTAAGACTTGATTATCCATGTGTTTTCACTCTTATTCAATCCACTTCCACAATTTCCAATATATGAGAAAAATACAAAAAAAAAGATAATACAGTAATATAAATTTGTATGTAAATTATGGGCATGGGGGGAAAAAAAAAAAAAATGTATTTTGCTTAGTATTAAAACCGTTTTTCCAAGTGGTATACTATACATTTTTAAATGTGAAAAGGATAAAAGCTGAGTATTATTTTATTTTATTTATTTATTTATTTATTTATTTATTATTTATTTTTTTTTTTTTTTTGTTATCTCCCTGGGTATCTACTTTTCAGTGATGTATCTTACTTTATTTATGAAAGCATTACTGATCTATCTCTTCATTGTGCATGCATCCATGAATTGCATTTCAACATTAAAGAATATCAAAGGGAGAGTGTCAAATGGAGGAAAGCGAAATATATTGAATTTCTCACCGCTAAGAATTCAGACAAACAACCATATCAATTGTAATCCTAGATACAGAATTAAAAGACGAATTAATGCCAATTTTTCTAAGGAGTCATGTGTATATCTACTCCAGAACATATATGATAAATTGCATTCAAAAGAAGGAAAAAAAAGAAAAAGGAAAAATTACCCTCTTAGGTATTTACTCCATTTTTTAGAAAGAACTCCACATAGAGAGTTTGTTTTTTTTAAACCAAACAAAGTAACATGTGTTCTAAGAAAAGAAAAAGACAAGAAGAAAATGATTTCCAAGTCGTACCACCAAGGGAAAAAGAAACACTCCAACGTAGGTTTAATGTCCGAATTCGTGAAAGATGATATCATGAAGAGGGGACAGGGGGAGAAAGAGAGTGAAAATAAACGAGTATTCATGACATATGCAAATAAGGGATGTACAAAAAATGGAAGGGATATACTTGAAGCCCTGTGTAAAAAAGAGAGGAAATCAAACAATTTGTTTTTAAACTATGATTTTTTTGAAAAGGAAAAAGACAATCTGTTAAATCTAGAAGAGATTAATGACATAGATAAAAGAAGAAGATCATGTATTATTATTCCCTTTAATTTGTCCTACTTAAATAATATTTTCTTTCACATATTCCAGATTGAGCAATTTGAAATGATATACAACCCAGAAGTAACATCTCGTATATATGCCTATAAAAAATCGAAAGAACGTGAATACTTAGATAACTTTAATTCATCACATTATGCAAATTCGTTCATACTGTTGTATCCTCCACCAAATTTATCGGGGCAGTTACATGCGGGTCATTATTTCAACTTCATTCAGCAGAATATTATTTTTCTTTTTAATAAGCATGTCTTGTCTAGGTATTCCATTCCTCTCTTAGGTAAGTTTTAATTCACAGATTCTTACATGTACTGAGTTAATAACAAGCTGGAATCGTCACGTTCTTTCGAGGCAGAAATGGTTTCCATTTGTGTTGTACCACATTGGGGTGGGGTTTAGGGGCAGATCAGATATGTCTACTCTGAATTTTTTTTTGTACCGTTCACATTGTGTATTTCCTGTATTTTTTTTTTTTTTTTTTTTTTTTTTTTTTTTCACATATTTTTTCCTTTTATCTCTTTCCCACTTCTACAGGAGCAGATCACGGAGGATTGAGTTCCCATGAGGCATTCTCGAAAATTTGTGAATCAAATTGGAGTAAGGAAAAATACATTAGTGAAATAAAATCATGGCAAGAAATGTTAAAAGAAAATATTTTAACCAATATGCAAAAAATGAACATTGTTGTAGACAAAAATCACTTCTATAGCACAATGGATGAAGACATGAAAACACTTGTTACTAATTCATTTTACATATTATACAAGAATAACATGATTGTGAATAAATTTTATCCCTTATATTATTGTCCTAATTTAAATACCATCGTTTCAAAACTGGATTTAGAATTCTCGAAACCGGAATACAATATATGGAAGGTCAAGATGCGCATGATTGATGCACCTGATAAATACAAACTTCATTCAGACAGCAAGAGAGATTCCTTTTTTGAAGAGAAAAACAAAACATGTCTCGATGATTTCCCTACCCATAGTTACACAGAGAGACCGAAAGAAACGAATGAAGTAAAATTTTTTGAAAAAAAATCGTACAATTTTGTATTTTTAAATTGTGCATGTGATGCTTCAGGGCAACTACCGTGTGATGCTTCAGGGCCACTACCGTGTGATGCTTCAGGGCCACTACCGTGTGATGCTTCTCAACCATTACCATGTGATGCTTTTCAACCACTACCAGATGATGCTTCACAGTATATCCACATCGAAATAGAAAAATTAGAAGACTTAAAAAAAATCGTTGCCATTTTACATTATTCACCAAAGAAGGAAAAGAATAATAGAAATAAGTATGTATTATTACCCCTCATAAGGAAAGCAGTTCCATTGATATACAGTAACGAGAGAAATGCTCATCCTTTATTGTGCAATAATACAGTACCTGTGGAAGATTTATTCATACCTGTATTTTCTTCAAATCAGAAATATGACAATTACGCTGATTTCTTTAACTTAGAGAAGGATATTACTATAACAAATGCAACAGTGGGAAGAAATCAAAATGGAAGACAAGGAAGAAAAAATTCATTTGTAAAACAGATTTTAGAAAATGGACATGCTCAATTAGTAGAAGCAGAGAAGGCTGCATTTAAGTCTGCATATTATAAAAATAACAAATGTATACTTACGTTGCAGAAACAGTGGTGTTTAAAGTATGACAAATTAAAAAAATTATTTTTCGATTGTCCTTGTGCTAAGAAGAAGGGTTATAATAATGTACTTCCTGAAAAATATAGGAAATACTTTTTAGATGAATCTCCAGCAATGAATAATGATTGGATTTTAAATCGTCAAGTTCCGTATGGACATCCAATACCTTTATTTAAATATGAGAGTTGTGAAAAAAAGGAGGAAAAAAATAAAAAATTTGAAAATTTCATTTGTTGTGTGTATGGAAATACTATTGATCACGCTTATAACAATTTAGTTAAATCCAACATTTTCGAAAAAAAGGAAATTAAAAAGGAATTTTTAAAAAGGGATGATGATGTTTTGGACAATTGGTTTTCCTCATCTCTATATTTTTTGCATTGCCTTAATCAAATGAAACTTGATCTATGTCACTTATCACATGTTAAACACCACTTGATCGATTTTATTTTCACAGGAAAGGATATTTTACACCCATGGATATTGCGGAGTGTTGTACTTTTGCACTACCTTATGGGACATTTCAACGGCATTCAATCGTCTGATGTATTTAAGAATGTTCAATCAGATGTGCTATCTGAGTCGGTGTCTAAAGTTCCATCGTCCTTAGGGTCTGCCTCCTCCTCCTCCTCTTCGAGCTGTAGCCACGTCACCCTCTTAAACATGGTAAGATTCCACGGAATTTTGAAAGACGAGAAAGGTAAAAAAATCAGCAAAAGTGATGAAAATGCAACATACTATGAAAGTCTTGTGGAAGGAACAAACTTAGATCAAGTGAGATTAACCTTTAGTTTGATCGATAGAGATACAGAAGATATCGTTTTGGATAAAAATAAGATACGGAAGAGTAACAAATTTTTAAGAAAAATATGGAATATAGGAAATTTTATTAAAAAGAAATGTTCATTTGAGATGTATAAAGAAATGAAAAATTGGATGACTAACTCATCAGAAGTTAATTTTAACATTTTAAAAAATTTAAAAAATAGCTCCTTCCCGAGGATATCAAACATAGGAATATTCTGCACATACATTCAAATAATAAATTCCGTTTTGCATGAAATGAAAAATAACTACAATGTTGGGAGAAGCATACATATAATTCACAATTTTGTTATGAATACATTTTCCAAATTTTATTTGAGGTATCACCATTATTTACTACCTTGGTGTTTAAATGAGAAAAATGATGAAAGGATTATTACTAACTTTTTAACTATTTATATGTTTAGGGGAATACTGAAAATTCTTTACCCTTTCATCCCACACATAACAGAAGTATTGTTTATTCAGCTCTTCCTTAAAAATGAAATTGATAAAAATGAAAAATATACACCGTCATATTTTTCTCTTCCTCTATCTAGCAATTATGACCTCTTTAAGAATGAAGAATTTTACCCATCTGAAGAAATTCAACTCCAAGTCCAACTTTTTAGCACATTTGTAGATATATATAACATCCTCCTTAATTATAAAAAAAAAAATACCACTACTGAATGTGTTTTCAATATTTTCCTCAACAATCTGGACACAAATAAATTCCCAATTGAATATTTTAAAAATGAGGAATATATTTTTAGAAAATTCCACAACATGAATATTTTCTTTTCATCATATGATCAATCCATTCTAGGTCAGCAACATCCAAAGGAGCAACAACACCCTTGCTATCACTTATTCAGTAAAAACCACATACTGTACGATAGTACATCCTTCACCATAACAGTTCACTCAGCTTAGATTCCATTCTCATCGAGTGGGTGGGGAGTTTAAGTGCGTTCGAAAAATGGCATCCTTTTCATTTCATGTATATATAATTCTCATGGATCATCTCATGCAGCATCCATAACTACACATTCGCACGAGCGTACTGACGATGTCCCCTCTATTTGTGCATTCATTCTGTGCGTTCGTCTACATCCCTTTGCTTATTTGGGTGCATATTATCTATGCATCCATCTATCTATCTGTCTATCTATCTGTCTATCTATCTGTCTATCTATCTATCTATCTATCTATCTGTCTATCTTTTTTTTTTATGTGTATGTGTTATCATTTCATTTCACTTTTTACTTTTATAATTATTTTTTTTGTGCCATTTCCGCCACCACCCCCCACTGCCCTCGTTCCAATTACGGTCATGCATACAACGGGAGAGAAAAAAAAAAAAAAAAAAAAAAAAAATATCCTTCGAATAATGATATAGACACAACAAGATCTATTGATTATCTTACTCCTACAATTTGCTCCGTATGAAGTCCGTTGCATTAGTAGAGGGGGTACCATAAAAAGTATTTGTTTTTTAAATTTAAATTTTTTTTTTTTTTTAACAAGTCTAATATACTACTTTTTTTCAACAAGTGTAGTGGACTATTTTTTTTTTTTTTTTTTCTGTTCATATCCCTTAAAAATGTCATGTTCTGGTAACAAAAGAAAAAAAAAAAAAAAAAAAAAAAAAACTTAAAAAAAAAAAAAAATAAAAAAAAAAAAAAAAAAAAAAAAATACGCAAAAAAGAAAATGCACAAATAATATATGAATAAATGCGGGGATAACATCAACGAGATATATATATTATCACCAATAGGAATGACCGAAGTGATATGTGAGAAAGCAATGGAGGAGTGATTATGAAAAAAAAAAAAAAAAGAGGGGGGCGGAGGGAGCCAGAATGTACGTGCAAAAAGTAGATCATCGCTTATTTTGTCACTAGTCTGTTCCTATTCTGTCATTCATTATTTTGTCACTAGTCTGTTCCTATTCTGTCATTCATTATTTTGTCACTAGTCTGTCCCTATTTTGTTGTCCTTTATTTATTATTTTCTCCTTCTAGACATGTCATTTTTACAAGAAAGTGTTTATAAGCGAACTGATAAAAATGAGGGGTGGGTGTTGGGCGTAAGTGTTTACTTAAAAAAAAAAAAAAAAAAAAAAAAAAAAGAGAAAGAGAAAGAGAGAAGCAGAGAGAGAGAGAGATAGAACGAGGGAGATAGAACGAGAGAGATAGAACGAGAGAGATAGAACGAGAGAGAAAGAGGATAACATATTCTGCATATGCTTTAAGCGTTTATGGATTGTCACCAAATTGAGATAACTGCTAAGGTCAAACAAATGTTCCTCAACAATGATGCGGCAAATTCATACAGCATTAATGTGTTTCACACAAACGTGCTAATACATCACCATTAGCACTACCATTAGCACTACCATTAGCACCTCCATTAGTACAACCATTAGTACAACCATTATAACTCACTTTATGCTGTTTAGGTATGCATGTTTGATACAAGTAATTTGTGAACCGTTGTATGGGTACTGCTTCCACCCGGGATGGTAATCGTTAATGTACTTTTTAACATAATTTTCAAAAATCTCAAAAAAGAGTTTCTCGAATGTTTTGCTCTCCCATTTGACGTTTATAATTTTATTATTCTTGTCTCTTATCATCCATATGGAATTTATTTTATTCATTTCAATGTTTCGATATGTCGTTCCGCTACTTTCACTTATCCGTTTCATAGTTCCTGATGCTTTTTTAAAAGGCACATCATCGTCATTCTCATCGTCGTCCTCATCGTCGTCCTCATCGTCGTCTTCATCGTCATCGTCATTCTCGTCCCCCCCATCATTGTATGTCCGGTCTTGGACATCACTCTTTGGAAAATCATTTTTTGCTTCATTTTGTTTTTCATCTGATTCACCAATCGATTTGAAACTTTGCATTTCATTCCTTTCTACGTGCTCACTTTTTTCGACATGTGATTTATTTTCATCCTCATTATAATCTTTTTTTTTTTTTTTTTTTTTTTTTTTACATTTTCTTTTTTTAATTCGTGTATCCTTATCGTTTGAATCATGTGATGATTCTATTTGTCCTTTATACTTTTCACCCGCTTTATCATTTAGGGCTTTTCCATTTGATCTAGTTCCACCATTACTAACTTCTCCACTTTGCTTTGAAGATTCACTATTAAATGAGTTATTACAACCCTTCTCATCATTATAGGAGCTCGAACTTGCAGTAACGAGAGTGTAATCACTTCTATTACCAAAAGAATTTATAGATGATCTGTTCTGTTCATTATTTTCATTTTCCTCAATTGCAGAAAAGTTATATCTTTTATATATTAATCCATCATATGCATTCGTTGTTTCTTTTCTTATGAATTCTTCGAAAATATTGCTTATGTTTTTTTTAGAATCATCATGATTTTTCTTTGAATCTTCATCATCACTTGACCTTCTACATGTGTATCTCAACACCCCTTCGCAAGCATTTTCTACTTTTTTATTTATTTCTTCGTTTTCATCTTCTTCTACCAATTGGCCTTTCTTATATTTTGTCCTTGGATTAGACATCACCCCTTGGTTAGTCTTTACCTCATCTTCCTTATGATGCATTTCCATTAAGACCTGTCTCTCCGTAGGAAAATCGAAAGAATTCAAAAATAACTCTCCATCTGTGATCTGACTTTGCGAAGATTTTTTCACTATATTACAACTTCCACTCAGATATGAATTTCCTTCATTAAAATTATTAACACGTCCCTCATTGTTGCTACTCATTATCAGTTTATCTTTTCCTGAAATTACTTCTTTTACATTTAAAGTATTCTCTATGGGTTGAGAATTTCCCATAATGTCATCCAAGGACTGCTGATTATTTGAAGATGTGATCTGAAAATCACATGACATATTATCATTTTTATTTTTCACGTTCGTGTGGTCGACATGCTTCATTGCTTCATCAACATTCTCTAAGGTCTTTGTCTTGTTCATTTTTTTCTTTTTGCTAATTTTAATTTCTGCAAGGTCAAGTATGTGTCCCAATCTATTTGTGCTCATGAGGGAGGTGTAATCCATCATCTGATATGCCTGTCACGTGTGCATGTGAAAAAAAAAGGGGCGCGTGAATCGATAATACTTCCCTATCACTCTGCAGCTAGCACTCTACAGTTATCACTTTGGCACTATCACTCAGCAGTTATCACTTTGGCACTATCACTCAGCAGTTATCACTTTGGCACTATCACTCAGCAGTTATCACTTTGGCACTATCACTCTGCAGTTATCACTCTACAGTTATCACTCTACAGTTATCACTCTTGCACGTTTGAACATCCAGGTAGGGGAATTGTGAAGAGAAAAGACGAGATATAAAGAAACACTTTGTATGTGCGTACAAAATGTATTGTGCATGCGCAAGGGAGGGAATAAAATTCCTATCATTATGGAATATCTCTTTCAACACCTCTAGATGGGTTTGTACCTGCACAATGGAATCCTTAACAAGGTTCTCAAGAATGGATTGCTCATCGATGTTCTTCCTTGTACTGATTTTTGCAATTTCGTGCAAATTCAAATGCATTCTGGCTCCTATCTGCAACAGACGTGTACACACACGCATAGTTCTTATACAATCTTCTCTGATTAGCAATTTGTTCCTGATTTTTTCTGCATCCTTGTCTGGATCGAACATGAAAATAACCTTCAACTCTTCGTCATCGAAGGGGACCTGCGGTGTAATAAGATAAGAAGTGTGATATGATAAGACGTGTGATATGATAAGAAGTGTAATAAGATAAGCAGTGTGAAAAACACTGCTAAGATGGAATGGGGAGAGGGAAGGCATAGCAAATTCGGAAAAACAAACAGAAAAAAGAGTAGTAACATGGTTGATAATTTTTGTGCCCTTTTCCTTCCATACAAATGACACGTTCATATAAAAGTAACACGTATTTAATGTGTACACAAAAGAAATAAAATAAAAGGATAAAATGAGAAGATAAAATAAATCGATAAAATAAGAAGACAAAAGAAATCGATAAAATGAAAAGACAAAATAAAAGGATTAAATAAGAAGACAAAAGAAATCGATAAAATAAGAAGACAAAATAAAAGGATTAAATGAGAAGACAAAATAAAAGGATTAAATGAGAAGACAAAATAAAAGGATTAAATGAGAAGACAAAATTGGATTGTATCCCCATTCTAACTCTTGCCTACCTTTGTTTGAGGCCATTCAAACCAAACCAAATCAATCTCAGCAACGTCCATTATGTGTGGCATGATCAACCCGTGGTCTATGGGAATTAAGCTGTACCTATAGGAGGTGTGTAACGGAAAAAAGACGTGTGGAGAATCAGGAAGAATGGAAAAATAAGCACACTTCCCCTATCATCATCATCATCATCACCATCACCACCACCCTAAATAGACGACAGTATATGTATATGCCACTTCTCCATATTCAATGAAAGAAAAACGACACATACACAGAAACGAAGCAAAGATAAAAGTTATGTACAGGTCGAGATTTTCAAATGCCATACCTAGAAGGCTTTTTATCAATGGTAACTATTCGCTTGAGAATATCCTCGTCACTTGTACCCAAGCTTCTATTGTTCCTATATAAAAATTGATTACAAGAATCTTTTAAACTTTTCAAAGGAGAAACCAAAATGTTACCATCGTTGCGATCTAGATTCATAACTCGTATATCAAGTATAGCAATTTTGTGTATATCCCTTATACTAAACTGTTTGTAATCATAATTTCCAACACTTTCTCTAGAATCTATAAATTCTTGTAATGATCCACTTTTCCATTTCAAATTATTTTCGTGATCAATATATTTCAATTTACTCTTATTATTAAAATGAGGATTACAAGCTTCAACCATAATAGTACAAGGTACATTACTAAAATTGTTATAATTGTTATCCAATATATATGCAGCAATTTCTCTGCTTGCTCCTTCACCTGATAATACTCCAGATCTAAAACCTTCTTGATACATTTTTCCTTCATACCCTCTTGGGTTAAATGGGGCGAATGCTTCTTCATCTAAAGGTTTAAAAACAGAACATACCTTTTTCTTACTATTAAAAAGTAGATAGGTACCCCCTGTACCATCCATAGTCAATTTTGGAGAAATATTTTTTTTAAAAGCTAATTTTATGTCATTTAATATGTTTTCAAAAAATGGAGGATAACTTTTATGGTCTATTACTCTTATAGAGGCATTTGGATTCGTATCTTTTATAGCCCAATATAATTTATTTAATTTTTTTTTTTTTTTTTTTTTTTTTTCACTTCGACCTGTATTATCCAAATATGTACTTATAATTCTATAATTTGGTAATTTTATTCCTTTGTAAAATATGATAATATCATTTACTTTTACTCCTGGTAAATTTAATTTTTTTATTAACAATCTTTTTAACATCTGAACATCGTAAAATGGAAATATCAACAAACTAATATGTCTGTTTCCATTTATTTCATAAAACAGAGTACTAATTACATCATTTTCATCGTTTATCCTTAGGGCGTTGTGTGTGCTGAAGTACATCTGTTGAGACATCGGTAAGCTGTCACTCCCCATGTTGTAATATGGATGTGGGATCACCAGTAGCTAAGGAGCGAACCTGTGTCGGGTCCGTACTTTGGTGCGCGCCAAGATGAAAAAAAAAAAAAATATAACACACAAAGTACCACACAAAAGTAGAACACACACACACGCAGCGGATGGATGAAGAGAAAATAAACGGAGAGATGCGCTTGTTTTCCAAAACTGAAGCGCAAAAAACCGAAACGTATCAAATGAATCTCAAACGTGTGTAAGCCCAAATAGGCCAAAAATGTATCATAAAAAAAAAAAAAAAAAAAAAAAAAAAAAAAAAAACATTACATACTGTGTGACACAGTACACCAAACATATTGCGTTACCAAACGCTGTCAAAAGTTAAAAACACAAAAATAGGGATACATAGGGGAAAATGTAACGTCAAAATGGACACACATACATGGATCTTCATGGATACAGTAGTGCACGATGACATTCTGGGGGAGGGGGAACTGACAAAGTGAAAAGTGTGTGCATATGCGTACATATATGTATATATACGAGTATATATGCGTCTGCGTGTGTAGATGACCACACATAAAACCCACACATGTGCTGACGAATGTCCACGCGCACAGGTATGCACCTACATGTTTGCGGGGAATGGGTGAGAGGAATGAGATCTCAAAAATTAAGAATATGAAAAATTAACATTAAATAAATGTTAACATTGCATTCGATTAGGAATACATAACATGGTAAACTGGTGAATGTACTTTCGGTTCAACTATGTTGTTGTTTTTTTGATATTTTTTTTTTTTTTTTTTTTTTTTTTGTTTTTTTTCTTTTTTCTATTTTATCAGTTGCCTGCTTTGTAACATTAACACCTATTGAATATTCAAAAGAGGTTATAAATGTAAAGGGCGGTGGAGGTAGTGTAAGCGGTAACAAAAGTATCATAATTTTTCAAGTGTACTACCTCTTTCAGCACCATCTATAACGCTGCTTTTTTTTTTTTTTTTTTTTTTTTTTCGCTATACACAAACGGACATCTATAGATGAATGCACATACACATAATACATGTGTAGGGTTCATAAGAATAATTGCATAAGAAAACAAAAAAAAAACAAATATGCTCACATGTGTGTATACTTACATACGTGTATACTTGCATATGTGTATACCTACATACGTGTATACTTGCATATGTGTATACCTACATACGTGTATACTTGCATATGTGTATACCTACATACGTGTATACTTGCATATGTGTATACCTACATACGTGTATACTTGCATATGTGTATACCTACATACGTGTATACTTACATAAGTGTATACTTGCACATGTGTATACTCACATATATACCTGCACACTTGCATACATTCATATATGCATGGTAAAAATTCATAAACAAAGAACTCTATACCTTTTTTCCTTCCCCCCTTGGGCATTACCATCCTTAGAGCGCTCACGAAAATATGAGAAAGTTATGAATGTGTAACTTTATCGTGAGAATCTAAGCATGTAATTATCTATGAAAACACAAAACGTGATGCTGACAATACGTACATTTTGTAAACAAAAATTACCTTCATGTAGTAAAATGAATGTGCTGAGGCAAAAGAAAAAAAAAAAAAAAAAAAAAAAAAAAAAAAAAGAGGGGGAAAAGAAAAAAAAAAAAAAAAAAATAAAATAAAAATAACAAAGTACCTGTGTAAAATTAGCAAATAAGTGAAATATAAATGAGTGTAATTAATAGTATGAATCAAATACATAAGATGATGAATTAGGAAATATGGGTGTGGTAAAACTGGAGTTATATAGGAACAAAGAGTGAAATCTAAGATACGTAAAGGTCAATTCCAGTGGGAAATATGTGGGCGGATTTTGTGCATGAGGTTAAAGCAGAAGAGAAGAGGTTGGTGTATATAAAGAGTTAACGTCTCACATTTTCGCCCCGCATTTGCATGGAACGTTAATTTGACTCCTTTGCCCTGTCATGTTTTGTGCATGTATGTATATATATGCATATACATATATATATGCATATACATATATATATGCATATACATATATATATACATATACATTTTTACATGGGTGAGAATATACATATTTGTATGCGCACATATACATAATTGTACGCATTAATATACATATAGCATGTGAGCCATGCCAGCGCGAATATGCCCTGTTTACTTGCACAAGCAACATATGCATACATGCATGTGAGTAAACACACGCATGAATAATGAAATGAACTGAACAAAAGAAAAAAAATGAATTAAAAATTCACGGGTGATGTGGGGGGGAAGAGAAGAAATTAATGCACATTCTTGTACAGAATTGACCTTTATATATATAAACTTATTTATTATTTTATTTTTAATTCCTCTCTTCGTTATATACATGCAGCTCATCCATATGTACATGTGCTTGCACTCACATTATGCACAAGTGCATATATACACAGTATTGCCACATATTACTCACATGTCCTTTCGTGTGATGACCGTATGTGCTCCGTAACATCGCGGGTAAACATAAAGTAGCATGTAGGTAATAACCTCCCCCACCGAGACACACATACGTGTCTATTTTTAATGATAAATTTTCTTTTTTCCTTTTCTCCTCTTTATTTTGTACATACCAAAAAAAAAAAAAAAAAAAAAAAGGGTTACCATGAGAAGTATTTAGCAGTTAGTAACAAACATTTCTATTCCACATATACACAAGCGCATACACACGTGCATGCATAGTTACATACGAATCATTTCTTGCCCCACATTCTCTATACCCCAAGAAAGAAAATATACTTACTGTCACACATCCCTTCCCACATTAATAAGAAAGAGCTAGAAAATAATGAAAAACAATTAATCTACCAAATGTAAGCACTCGCACCAACACAAGATTAACACCATTTAAAAAACTAAAACTGAATTTTATATGTTTCACAAAGTGACAGAAATAAAAATAATGCTTCATGACATCTTTCATTTTTGTTAGAAATTATATACAGCTTATTTCTATTATATATTTTATCTTTTTTTTTTTTCTCAAAATGATTCAAATTTCCTACACTACAAAACATTAGACCGTTAAGCAAAAATTATGACACACCCAAAACATCACATCACCAGCTACCAACGCACATACTACATGGAGGATAAATTGGCGCAAAATGTGTACAGAAAAGGAACACACAAATTTGTACATATACGTGAATAATTTTATGACACATATCCCGTGGTAACATTTTATGTTTCGGTACATTTTTTAAGTTTTTATCTATACAATATGGTATGTGTATGACCATAGGGTGTGGATTTTTTTTTTTTTTTCCCCATTTACTGTTCTACATTATTTCGTTTTTTTACATCGAGCTAGCTGTTTTTTTTTTTTTTTTTTTTTTTTATGCCTGACTATTTTTTCATTTTCTATTTGTCTAGCTATTCTCGTCCATTTTTTTCTGAATAATTTTTGACAGATTGTTGAACATTTGGTATGTTAATTCATGCAACAGGGTGTTCAATGAGTCAATGTTCACAAAATTTAATTGGGTATATTTAAAAGAGTTTATTTTTTCACACATAACAATATAATAATATAGTGTATCCCTCATATTTGATAAATCAAATTGTTACACTTTTACGCACACACTAGAATGTGTATATGTGTTTTTGTTTAGTGAAGAGGATGTGAACTTTTGGGGGGGTTCCTTCGGTTATATATGTCATTTTTTTTCTTTTTTTTTTCAAACAAGGGCTTTTAAATAAAATATCTTTTCTCTCTGTGCACGAACGAAAAAAAAAAAAAAATACATATAAGTGTACTTTTATATATGTGTACATACGTTTGTTCGCGTCCTAAAAAAAACTGTTTACGTAGTGACTTCTCTTTAAATATCTTGTCCTCACAAACAAATGAAAAAGAAGAAACCCATAAAATTGTAAAATTATTACTAATCCATGAAAGAACGGTATTAAACGGAGGTGAAAAAAAAAAAAAAAAAAGAAAAAGAAAGGGAAAATTCTTATCACCTGTACATTTTGATAAAAACAAGACTTGAATAAAACGATGTATTGCTTATTCTATAAACACTTCACTTAATTGAAGAAAAAAAAAAAAAAGTTGACTTACATTTTCTGTAGAAATATACTTAGTAGACACAGTTTGCTTAGTTCTGATTTGTTGCATTGCTCTATAAAGGTGGAAAAACTTCTAAACCATTGCTAATTGTACTCATGCATGAGCATGTAAATAAGAAAAGTGCAACAGTTCTCTTTTTTCTTTTTTTTTTTTTTTCGTACCATAATTTTATCCACCCAAGGGAGGTGGCAGATACATGTATATGCACAAGTGTGTGTCTGTGGTGGTGTTACTTTTTTGAGGCTTTCTATTTTTTCTTCAATTTTTAGCCTCTTTTGAATGAAGACGTGTAACTCTAATCCCTGATTCTTCTAAATTTCGTTCTACTTAACATGAACAGAAATAAGAAAACTGAAAATCCAAATAAAATTTCTACCTTCATGTATACTTACTCGTACGAGTGTATTTGCATGTCATGCGGGCTGTTCATACGTTCGAGCACTAGCGAATCCATTTTTGCAGAAAACGTGTGTAGCATTATTAAGAAATCAAAAAAAAAAAAAAAAAATTAACCAGGAAAACACGAAAAAATGAGAAATAAAATTTAGGAATATCAATAAAGTAATATCTCGCTTTTGTATGAAATTCGCAATATGCAAAAAAAAAAAAAAAAAAAAATATAAGTAGAAAAATTAAAAGTAGAAAAATAATCTTTGTGGCAATGTGAAGGATGCATCCTTATAAGGTCGACTTTTATTCCACCACGATTCCCTCCCCCAAGCTAGCTTCTAACACCGGCTGTGTTTTTTCTAGAAATAAATTCTCTTTTTAAAAACAGTTTCCCTTCAACTCAAATAATCATAAGACGAGTGCACACACTCACACGAGGACATATAATTCCTAGCCGTGTGTATACATGCGTATGTATATATATACACATATACACATAACGCGGGTATTATTGTGCAGAAGCACGTAATTGTGTACGTTATGGAACATGTCATTTGAGCACTTATAAAATGCAAGCATTTTGTTACATTCTACACAAGAAGAATATATACAATCATCACGGGCTCGTTAATTTAACATTGCATGCGAGTGTATGTATAAGGAAAAAAAGAATAGAAATTAAAATTTTTTTTGCTTAACATGTAGGACTTACATGTCTGTGCATGAACGTGTGCACATATGTACCTTCTTTCCCAGTACCACATTATCGCACACCTTCATGAGCCTACATATGTGTGTACAGGTATATATGCTAATGTTAGGGTGTGATATTAAAGCTTCTTTTGCCGCGAGTACTAATCGAGGTGAAACTAAGGGTTAAACTAGCAGCGAAAGTAACGACAAAAGTGGCCATTAAGCTGACCATAAAACTTAACATAAAAGGAAAAGAAATTAAAAGATTCGTTCTACATAATGCACAAAATTTATATTTTGTTGAGCTCTTTTCTTCTTTTTTTTTTTTTTTTTTTTTTTTTTTCACATTTCTTAAAAAAAAATATTTCTAAAAATGTTGTAAAATGTTTTACCCCAAAAAAAAAAAAAAAAAAAAAAAATAGAAACATTTAGAAGAAGAAAAAAAAAAGGGAGGAAATAAAAAAAAAATTATGTCATATTATATCATATCATATAATATCATATTAAATGAATTATATCAATTATATCACATTATATTACATTGTATATAGTTATTTATTATTTTTTTTTTTTTTTATTAATTGTGCAAAAAAATGAAAGAAAAAATATGTACAACCATTTAGTAATTTAAAAAAAAAAAAAAAAAAAAAAAAATGGAAATAATATTAATATCAATATTAATGTCATGAAAGCTATTAACATCAAAACAGCATCGGTCGAGACCTAATAAAGACATAACATTTTAAAGCATAAAAAACAAAAAAAACAAAATTGTTGATATTTAAAATTTTTCATTCGATTTTCTTGTAATCCATACACTCTTTAACAAATAAGAGTTGACAAATTTTGTCCGTCCACGCAAACCTATGTTTTTAAAAACACACACGTAAAGTGAAATGTGTGCTTATACACATACACATGTTTGTGAAGGAGCATATGATAATACTTGTAGAACATTCATACGTACACACACTGATACACATTCTCCTATCTACATACAAACATACACTCATTCGTGTGGGTACAAAAAAAAAAAAAAAAGTATAAAAAAAAAATAAAGTCACAGATTTTGTGAAAACTCAAACCACTAATTGTGTAATTGTACGTGAGAATACCCACACAACCTAATACACCATCACCCTCAATTGATGTTGATTTTTGTTTTCTCATTTGTGTATAACTTCGATTTTTTTTTTTTTTTTTTTTTCTCCTTTTTATTTCTCATTTTATTTCATGCTTTATTTCTTGTTTTTCTTCTCATTTTATTTCATGTTTTATTTCTTGTTTTGCTTCTCATTTTATTTCATGCTTTATTTCTTGTTTTTCTTCTCATTTTATTTCATGCTTTATTTCTTGTTTTGCTTCTCCTTTTGCTTCTTCTTTTACTTTTTTTTTTTTTTTTTTAAATTACGCAAAAAGGAGCCTACTTTGTGAAGAAGACTGTGATAATACCCGTGCACATGTACACATGTATAGGAATATACATACATTAAGGAGAGATTACAACTAGTTTGTAAAAAAAAAAAATAAATAAATAAAAATAAATCATCTGAATGCGCAAGGTATCCCACGAATTTATGTCAAGTTTTTGTAGAGTGTCCCCTACAATTTTGCATGTGCATACAAAACAATCCAAAGATTGTCTTCCCCCCCCCCCCCCCCCCCCTATACTACATATTCACCGAAAGATATACACCTTGGAATGTATATTTTCTACACGTTACTCGGACATGAATTAATTTACACATACAAAATCGCATAAATAATTTAAGAATGTGAACAGAGAAAAATTCATTATAACAGTGCTATTAAGATACAAAAATGCAGCTGAAGACTAAATTTCACAATTTCCTAGACCAAGACCCAGATAACAAATTTCATAACTGTATAAACATCGAAAATGAATTAATACATAATATGCACCAACTTTATAAACAAAAGTATGAGAAGGAAAGTAACAGATATATTTTTAACCAGACGTCTTACTTGATCGAATCTAACAATAATTCAGAATTTCTCCCGTTGAGTAAAACATTAGACACAAATAACATATGTGTTTCCTTGAAATTAAAGTTGGAAATAATAAACAGAAATGAAGAAGAAGAAGAAATAGAAGACCCTCCCGATTCATGCATATATTTTGATATTAACCCCGAAGGAACCATGTCCAGAAATCAGAAGAAATTCATTTACCAGTATAGGAACACCAACAAAATGAGCGATGATAGCTTAGACCATTTGACTAGGGAGGAGAAGATGAAATATGTAAGGATCATTTCGCGTGATTGATGTGAATTTGTCCCTCAATATTTATGCATGTATGTGTGTGCATGTACTATATAGGAAAATTTTCATTCTCTTCGAATCTAGAAAAATTGGTTCACCTACCCCCCTTTTTCATCTATCAGTTTACCGCTCTGTCGAATCAACTTGCTGGAAAAGTAGTGGTCTATCATGATTCCAAGTATAAACTAATAAGTGTGCTCCAGACGGCCATCTATGGGAGTGTGTATGTATCCCAAGTTATTGAAGATTCAGACATAAGTTTAGTGAACAGTCAGAAAGCTATCAAAATATTATCAAAGCACCTTATAGAAATGGCAAAGGATAAAGTACAGGAAGATCCTCTATCAGAATATCACTATCGAAATTGCATGAGTGGACATAGTAATATCCTAAGTTGCGACAAAATTTTTGATGATGATTTGTATGTATATATGGTAATGCCTTTTGCTATACATGGAGATTTATTCGAAGTTATGAAAAATAGAAACAGAGAATTTTCAGAAGAAGAAGCAAGATATTTATTTTATCAAATATTATTGTCTATTAAATTTTTACATTCCCGAAAGTTAGCCTTAAGAGATATTTCCTTAGAAAATGTACTTTTGTTTGAAAATGAAAAGAATGGATTAATTTACCCAGTTTTAAATGATCCTGGTCAAGCTACTTACTTTAATGTTAACAAAAGAAATGAAGTTATATTAGAAGATTATGAAAAAATATTTGGAAAAATTTTCCGTCCACCTGAAATATATGAGAAATGTAAATACGACCCAACAAAAATTGATATATTTTGTGTTGGATATATTTTATATTTTTGCTTAACGAAACATGAACTGTTCAGGTGCACTTTAAACAAAGATACACATTGGAACATGTTGAAAAACCGGAATTATCAAGACTTACTGAGAGAAAAAAAGGGGATGCATTTATCTGGTCAGGCACTAGATTTTATATTTCGTTGCTTAGAACCCAATTTCAAAGATAGATATAATATCAATGAAGCTTTAAATCATCCTTGGTTTAAAGGGGATTTTTTTCCTGTACACAGTCAAAATTTGTTTATGAACCAAGGCGGCAATGATATGCATGGGACATATCCTTCATCGAAGACCACTTTACAGGCTTTCAACCTTTCACAAGAAATTGAAAAATGTGCAAAAAAGAAAAATTTGAAAATAGATCAACATTCGATAATGCAATTTAGTATCCATGAGCACGTTTTTGTGCCTCCTATTGCCAACCTGCAGGTGCAGAACGGGTGTAGAGGTGCCTTATCCTGTTTCTACGACAATTATAGGAAGGAAAATGACAACATGATGAGTGATAACTGGGTGGATAGTAAACGGGTGAGTGATAACTGGGTGGATGGTAAACAGGTGAATGGTTATTGGCCAGTTGGTGATTTGGCGAATGATGTTGAGCGCACTCTCAGACTAAACGCCCTGAGCAGATGCACCCCCATGGAACATTTCAGCTGTAGGAATTACAATGCAATTCACCATTTTGATGATTTCAAAAACAAAAGTCGAGTAGCGGTTGCATCTGACACGGCACCGAATTGGGGTAGACCTAATGGAGTTCCATATGAAGGGGTTTCACATAAATCGGTTTCACATAAATCGGTTTCACACAAATCGGTTTCACACAAATCGGTTTCACATAAATCGGTTTCACACAAATCGGTTTCACACAAATCGGTTTCACACAAATCGGTTTCACACAAATCGGTTTCACCTAACGAATCTGCAACTATCCCCAAAGCAGAAACTTACACAGGAAGAAACGGCACCTGTAAGGAAAGTCACCATGGAAGATCTCCCTACATGAACGGTCAGGTAAATAAGGTGTTCAACATTAGCACAAGTGATTATCAAAAGTATAGTATGGAAAGTCGGAATTGGAAAGAGAAGACTAAGAGCATTGTCTACAATTACACACAAGGTGATTGTGCAAAGCAATCGAACTGTTTGAATAAATATGGAAACATGATGCATATTCCTAGTTGCAACAAAAATTGTGTAGAGTGGGATAACAAGCACGTGAACCCCAAAAATGTACTCAAAAGTTGTAGTGACTTTAGAGAAATGTCGAAAATAAGAATTTTAAATAACCATAAGAAAGATAGAAACAGAATAATTGAACTGAAAAAAAAGAGAAAGAAAAAATTATTTTCTCAAGGAAGAAATGATTTCCAATTTTTGGAAAGTCAAAGCAGAGGCAGTAATCACCCAATGGCTAGCCGGATTTTTCAAAGGGAAAAACTAGTAGAAAAAGGGGGAGAAGTAGAAGTAGAAGAAGTAGGCGTAGTAGATGCGGACGTAGAAAAAGAAGAAGAAAGAAATTTAGACAAGAAGAGGTTCAATATGCTAATAGCCCCAATGGCCAATAAGGCAAATGGCCTTTTGACTATCATCGCCTCGAGAAAGCAATTCAAAAATGAAGTAGATCTCGCAAAAAATAGAAAAGGATTAAAAAATATCATTTCACCCGTTGGAATTTTGGGAAGAAATTCTTATTTTCAAGTGAGCAGAAACAAGAACTGGGAAAACGAAATAGCATTAAATAATACTCAAGGGAAGATTAAGCAAATGGGTGATAAAGATGCAAGAAATGTAGACAGTCATCAATTACAAGTGGCACGTACAGGTAACCATAAAAAAGGAATATCTAAGAGTCAACAGGAGGGTAAGGAAAAAATAAAATTTGTTGAAAAAAAAACGGAGAATGTCGTTTCCTATCTTGATGGGTTGGTGAAGAGCAAATATTTTAGCAAAAATGACATGCCATGTGTTCCACAGAGGGAAGATGTAAATGTCAGAACCACAAGCAAGGGAAGCTTGTCCGTCGATGCAAAGGACACAAACGAAGCTGAACCAAGTGGAGATGAACCAGAAGAAGCTGAGACAAACGATAGATTCACTCCTAATAAAATGCCACTTCACAAGGATACACATTCACCCGGGGGTGGCACACTAAAACGAGATACGTTTGATACAAACATTTCAAATGAAAAAGAAGAAGGAATGAAAAATTGTTTCACTTGTAAAGAAAAAATAGATATTTCGAATATTATTTGCAATTTGGATAAACAGAAGCTTGTAAAAATTAATGCACGGGCTGACGTTGATAATGGTGATCTATGCTTCAAAAATGCAATGGATACACTTCTAAATAGTATGGAGAAGAACAATATGGAAAGATCCACTGTGAGGCAGAACTATTGGAATGATAATTATAATGAGACAAAAAGGTACTGTAACTTGGAAGAAAACAAAGTGATATGGAATGGCATTTTAGAAGAGGATATTATTACTTCATGCAATCCTGAGTTGTGCAATATGAAGAAGGCATACCAAGGAATGGGAAGCAGCGAAAACACACCACATAAAAGTGCTGACATGGAAAATACTCCACATAAAAGTGCTGACATGGAAAACACTCCACATAAAAGTGCTGACATGGAAAACACTCCACATAAAAGTGCTGACATGGAAAACACTTCACGTAGAAATTCTAGCAGACACACAGATGAGCATCCTGAGCTCAGAGAGAGGAATGAAAATATGGAAGATGTTACATTGGATAAGGACATATTTACTGATCAGTTTTCACCTCCCACATGCTTATTGGAAATTGTTAGGAGCAAGAAAAACGAAACAGAGTCATCAAAATTGAGCAGCTTGTCAAGTGTTCATTCCTATTCTCCAGGGTCATATGACGACAAAAGTTCTAATATAACAAACGGAGAAGTTAAATCACATGAAGAGTGCATAATTTCGAAGAAGCACGAACAGTACAATCGGCAGGGACAGAAAAAAATTGATTTATTTGATAGACACAGTAACGGGGAGTCAAGCCAGATATGCAGCGTTACAAGTGGAAGTGCGTCAAATTCTCTAGTACAAGAAAAAGAAGATAAATTGGAAACTTTAATAAGAAGTACGTCTTCATGTTTAACGGAGGGTTGTTTAGAAATTGGAATATCCAAAATGGAAAAGGAGGCTGAAATTTCAGGAGGTTCAAAGGAAAGGAAACACACACTGATGATAGGGAAAGACATGCAGATAGATGGCATGTTGATGAATCGTGACGAGTTATTGGATGATGAGGAAGAGTTCAAAGATGCAATGGAATATGAATTGGAAAACGAGTTAGAGATGGAAATAAAGGAGGAAGAGAAACAGCTGGAAAGAGAATTAGAAAAGGAGTTAGAAATGGAGCTAGAAAAGGAGCCAGAAAAGGAGACAGAAAAATCATTTGGAGTGGAAAAAGAATCGGAGATGAGCATGGAATTAGGAGTAGAAATAGACAAAAAATCAGAAATGCAGCGGGGGATGGAATTTGAGAAAGAATTCCACGAACAAATGGAGGAACAATTTTGCGAGGGGACTCCGTCACTAGATGGAACCAACTGGGAAAAGGTCAATCAGGAAATAGTTTCTAAATCTGCCAAAGAGAGAGTTCTAAACAATTCTATTGAAACATTGGAAGACCATTATGTATCCTTATCAGAAGGGGGTCAACAAGAACCTGAATGGGTAGTTGAATCCAAAGACATGCCAGTTAAAACACATTCGAGGAAAATATATAACCATTTGAAAAGCACACAAAAGGAGAACAATGAAATACAAAAATGCAAGAAATCAATGAAAAAAAAGAAATTACAAGAGATAATAGAACCTATTTTGGATGAAGACGGAATAGGAAAGAATGAACCAGATTCTGGGAATACCTGTAGGAGAAGACATATACCATGCAAAATACAAATAAAAAAAAAAACATCCATTAACAAAGTAAAGAAAGTAAATTTTTATTCCTCTTCAGAAAAGAACAAAAAAAAAATGGTGAGACTTAAAAAGTACATGTTTGAAAATGAAAAATGTTTACATAGTGACAAGTTAAGGAGTTCTCGAAACGGATCCAATTTAGGGAGGAGCATTCCTAAGAGGGAACATGCGACATCCAAAAATGGAAATTCACACTCTTTAAAAAAACAAAAAGATGTGAATTATAGAAAAAGTGTAAATAGTCCTAATAACATATGTTCCACTGTCGATTGCACAAATAAGAAAATATCCGTAAAGAATAAAATGAATATTAATTTTAATATGAACAAGAAGTGCATATCGAAACGTCACACTATATCGGAGATTCGTCTCGATTGTGCCAGCAAGAAGGGGAACACCAATTCCAAAAACAGCATCATTTCAACCGCTAAATCCAATGCCAAGTTCAGCATCAAACCTAACACCAAACCTGACACCAAACCTAACACCAAACCTGACACCAAACCTAACACCAAGCCTAACACCAATGCGAACCTTTTTTCAGAACAAATGGATAATAAAGCAAGATATAAATTAATAAATGAAAAACCAAAGGAGGGAAAAAAAATTCTACATTTATCTAATTTTAGAACCACTGTTGATGTCTCCTATGACCTAAATAAAAGACACAGTTGTACAGCAATGTATGATAGAAAGAGTTATGAAAATTTGCACCTTCGCACAATCAAACAAAGATGGGAAGGGGATCATTTCCCCAAATGGAAGGAAAAAAATATGCAAATACAATCTCTCACGAGGGGCATAGTCAGAGGAGGTGCTAACTGTAGGATTGGCAGAAGCGCTAGCAAAAATGTAATCAACAAGACAAATGTCAGAGAAAGAATACACCCTAACCGGCCAAGTGGGTGGAAATGCAAAGATAATGAAATGAAGCTTAAAAGGATCCTGAATCAGAAGAAGGGCTTGAACCAGAGCCCGAACCAGATTCATAGATCTTTTCCAGAAGAACGGAATAAAAACGCGCTATTTGAGAACAATCTGAGTAAAGGGAATCTGAAAAGAAAAAAACACAAAAAAAACAAATTAATCGAACTCCACCAAGATGATAAACCACTCAATAAGGAACTAACATCTGAAGACAAGAACAATTCCTTACCTAGGTTCTATCAAGCGAATCCGTTTACAAAAGGCAGCTCGAAATGTGTAATCCCAGGATTTGGTAGTGAACATTTAGAGGACAGAATGTATGGAAGAGAAAAAAACAGTATTCTGGTAGATAATTTTTCTCAAATGAGACAAAATTCAAATTTGGATGAGGTATTTCTTGGAAGTTTTAACCTAGCACAGAAAGAGACATATCGAATTAATGGATTTAGTGAGTTCATGAATGGGAATACATCATTCGAAGGGATTCAAAGAGGAAATTCAGAGGAGAAAAGTGATAAATATTATAAAAATGGACGAATAGGAAGAATCAAAAAGAGTAAAGAGGTTCTTGCAGATGAGAATATCTTTACAGCCAAACACTGCACGCTGAAGGGTGAACATATAAATAGCGCAAAAGAAAAGAATTCAAACAATTCGAGGTCTCTTTCCCAATGTTTAATAATAAATGAATTTTCTCCATGTAATAAAAGAAACGATGAAAATGACACAACACTCGATTCATTGCATGGAAGTAGTAGTACTCTCGTTTTGACATCTTTGAACAAAGAACATGGGGGAGATAAAGAATTTAAGAAAGGAGAACATAATAGTAGTAGTAGTAGTAGTAGTATAGAAACATCAACTTGCTTAAATATGAATCGGACTAGGAACTATAGAGAAGAACCAACATATATGAGTACATTGGGTAGAAGAACGGCTAGAATTTCTAGTGATGAGTCAATCATGAATAACTTTTTGATCGAAATGAAGGGGGAATTAGATTGCAAATTTGGAAAGAGTATAAGAAGGAAAGTAAATAATACTTTGGATTATTCCATGAATAAAAGAGTTCTTCAAGCATTCATTCAGAATAATGGAAAATCCAAGGCACAACAAACGCCCCGATTGGAAACGAATGATGAAAAAAGAACCCCTTTCAAAAAAGAATATGGTTCTTTGAGTAGAAGCATAGCTGACAGTCCAAGGGGGAATGTTAACAAAAAATTGAATAATCCAAATAGGAACAAAGTACTTCTGGAACAGAAAGAATACAAAAGAGGGAACGGTGGATTAGCCAAAGATGGACTAGCCAAAGATGGATTAACCAAAGATGGATTAACCAAAGATGGACTAGTAAAAAGGGAGACTGTTCGATTGGGAGGAGAAAAGAAGAAGTGTGTGAATACATTGAAAGGTAGTGCAACTAGATTGAAAGATATAAAAATTGAAAGGGGTGCGAATCACAGTAATGTTTACTCAAGTATGGGGGGTAAAGATTACAGTTATTTGGAAAAACGGAAAACTTACATGCTTTATTTTAAAAAAGGTCTAAAGGGAAAAATAGAGGAAATGAACCTTGGGGTGAGAAGAGAAAGTGGTAAGAAGTTGAATAAAATGAGGCTAGAAAATGGAAGTGTGCTGACCAAACGATGCTCAGAAAATGACAAAATGAAGAATAAGCATTGCTTTAAGCAAGAACGGTTCGCTAACTACACTACCAACATGGACATACCTCATGAAGAAACCAAGTACATAGACAATATGAGCACTGTTAATAAAAGGGAAAAAAAAAAAAAGATATATGAACAAGGTACTACATCAAGAACGGAAGAAGGAAGTAGATTTTCGAAAAGTGTTTCTCATAAGGTAGACTACACTTCGTCAGACAATATTAAAGATGGAAGAAAAGCATTTTATTTACTCGAAAAGAAGAGTGCCCCTTCTAAGTGTAGAGTGCATTACAACTCGATTAATGACTTATGTTTTGCTAATAAGGGTGAGTTGATAATGCGTCCTGGAGTGAAGATTGATCCCATAGATGCTAAGAAGTTACAGTTTGAAGATAGATGTAAAAAAAGACAACAATTGAATTATTTCGATTTGGAAAATTGTAAGAATATATATCCATTGGTGAGACAAGACATGATGATAAAGAATCACAAAGACACAATTACAATTCAGAAGAGTGGTAGAAAAGATGAAACGTGGAAATTTCTCAGAAAATCATTACCATCAAATATTCAACAGGAGAAGGAAAAACTAATCAAAGGTGCTTCATTAACAAATAGGAAAAATGAAAACATTATGAAAGGAAAGATAATAAATAATTTTGTCAAAAAGGATTTTATAAAAATTGCAAAACAACAGGATTTACCATCTCTTCTGATGAATGTCCAAATTGAAGATTCCCATTGTGCAGATGAACAATGGATTACTACTAATAACAAATATGGGATAAAAAATTCTCAAAAAAAGGAAATGAATAACAATAATGAATTAAATGAACATGAAAATATGTCAAAAAATAGAACTTTATATGTATCATCAAATTGTGCTTATCACAATGAAGGGAAACACAGAAGAGAGATAACCAAGGTGTATAATGCAACGAATGGGACAGCCAAAGAGATAGCCAACGAGACAACCAAAGAGATAGCCAACGAGACAACCAACGAGACAACCAACGAGACAACCAACGAGACAACCAACGAGACAACCAACGAGACAACCAACGAAAGGTTGTTACATGAACAGATGGTGAATACGCACAAAGGAGGATCCACAGACTCAATTGGTATGAACCATCCTGCATTGGAGATGAACACAAATAGTTTGTTATGTAGAAGCGTACCTTATGCAAACGATGCACATGCAAATATCAAAGGGGGATCTAATAATACAACGGGATCAAGAAATAAAATGAAAGTTCAAACAAGGTATTCTAATCCAGGACTAGATGACAACGCAGAATATACAAATCCAATGCAAATGTGTAATAATAACGAACGCATGAAATATATTTGGTCGATAATGGGTAATGATAGACATAATAATTTTAGGGAAAATTATGTAAAAGGAAAGACAAAGCAGATTCACCAATCTGCAAAGAAAAGAATGCATGATCATCTTAATTTCTTCAATAGGAAAACACAAATTAATGATAAGAAGAATTCTCTCCTGTGTGACAAAAAAAAAACAGTTTTCTTCCCATGCTTGCAATATCAAAAAGGGGATGCTAATATGTGTCAACTGCAACAAAGAGAAGGAAGAAAAATCAGAAATGATGATTTATGTTTGAATCTAAATGTTGGCAAAAAACATATATCTAGTTCGTTAAACCAGTTGATGTATTTGTGCCCCAACAAGTTATCACTTGATATGCAGAATAAGTCTGTCTTAAGTGGGAGAAACATTGACACTGGTGATGTCAGTATCATGCCTATTAAATTTGTCAATCTGCATGAACATGTTAATGTAAAAAACACCATGGAGACAGAGTCCCCAAATAAAAAGGGGATCCAAACGATCCCACCCGATTTGAAGAAAGTATCAAATGTGCACTATGATAATGTCAATCGGAATGAGGTGTACAAGGCAAGTAAAAAGACATACATGGTAGTAAGGGAGCTTAATGGTCATGCGATGAATGATACGAATGGTCATGCGATGAATGATACGAATGGTCATGCGATGAATGATACGAATGGTCATGCGATGAATGATACGAATGGTTATGCGATGAATGATACGAATGGTCATCCGATAAATTATATGAATCGTCATGCGGATTATTACTCAACGGTTGGTGGTAACATCCAGAAAAGGAACCCCCCAAATGATCCCATTATCATATCTGATAGGGTTTTACCCAATATGCATTATTGGGTTCAAAATACATCTATCAGATGTGACAAATCAAAGATGACTAATCGGGTGGTAGATGATGCAGATGGAAAAAGAAATGAAATCATGAAAAAGAAAAGATACTTTAGAGCAGAGGGTAAAAGAGAGAAAAATATTCAAAATATAAGAAATAGCCATGAATGTGACAATGAAAATATGAAAGATGTAAAAAAGAAAACATATAAAAAAATGCCATTACAAAAAAAAACAGATGACCAAGAGGATCCTCATCAAATGAAAAACGACTCAACTAAAGGAAGAAAAAAAAATAATTCAAATTTGAGCATATTTTGGTGGAAACTTAGAGGAGAATGAACCGTCCCAAAACATTTTATCAAATGCATATATCTTCAATCCAAAGAGAGATGCATGTGTGTATAGAGGGAGAAAACGCGGATCGTGGCATCCATCTGCATTATATTGTCGATAAAAGAAAAGTGAGTGTTGAAGAGAAAGATTCTCAATGTAGGCATATACATATGGATTTTTTTTCCCCTCCCCAATATTGTAATTTTGTTTAATAAGAAAAGAAGGCGAAGAAGAACGAAGAAGAACAATGAAGTGAAAAAAAAGGAGAATCTTAATAGTGCATATGTTGCAACGCTCATTGTTGTAGAAAAAACAGTGTAATAGTTCTTCAATAGAATATGAAATTCCCCAAGAACTTATGACAAAGAATGGGACAAATTCGAAAGAACAAAAAAAAAGGAAGACATTTAAAATATGAAGGGTTTTTTTCTGCTTATGCAAAAAAAAAAAAAAAAAAAAAAAAAATATATAAGTTTTCTTATCGCTGCACTCGTACAGAAGAATTTGTGTAAAAGAGGAAAAGGGGGAGTACCAAATGCCGTGCACACACATACACAAAAAAAAAAAAAAAATAAAAATTCTTGAGGATGTGCATATATATACATATGCACTTTGGTTATTTATCATATTTTATGTGGAACTCAAACATTGACTATTATTGTTTGATCGATTGATCGAATGACCGATTGGTTTTTTTTTTTTTTTTTTTTTTACGCTGTTACGTGGTTAGTTTAACATAAATGGAATTGTATATCGACGTATATTCCCCCCTTTTGGGATTTTTTTTCCTAACCAATTACATAATTTTTACTTTCATCTTTGTTATTCATTTTTAATTTTGTTAAAATTTTTTAAATGTATGCACACTCGCTTAGTATTCCCATTAGTGTGAAAAAAGCGTGTTTTTTTTTTTTTTTTTTTTTTTTTTTTTTTTCTTTGTTCAATTTTGTGATCTCTCTTCTTTTTTTTTTTTTTTTTTTGCTTCCCATTTTCCCTTGTTTTTAAAACCGAAAAAAGCTGTCCTTTTCACATTTCTTAGTTTCCTCAAATGAATGTGCGTGAGAACAGCAAAATAGATTTTGCAAATACAAACGTATTTACACGTTGGGTGATATTGCACATGTGTAACTTCAATATAGGTCAGTGTGGTCATAAAGGCCCAGAGAGAAGCGTGGGGGGGGGGGGGGGGAGATAAAAAAAAAAAAAATGCACCATGCAGGGAAACTTTTGGCAGAGAACTCCCCAACCAACCATCTAATTCATCCATAGAATTATTTCTGTTTTAACTTAAATTTTAATATCATTTCTTATTTCAGTGCCCCAGAACTCAGGTTTATATGCTTTGTTTTTGCTTTTTTTCTGAACTTGATAATAATCTTTGGAGGTAGAGAAATCACCATATGTTTTGTCTAGATGCTGATTCTTTCCTCTCACTTTTTGGTTGTTTGCTAAAAGATGATAAGTTGGTGGTGCATTCCTTCTTGAACTTCCACCCATTGATATGCTTTTAATTTTGCACAGTTCAAAAATTAGTAGCATCACATGTTTGTTGCAGAATTGTAAATGAGGTAGCAGAAGAAAAAAAAAAGGGCATTCATTCGAATGCATAAAAAACGGGTCATTAAAAAAGGGGGTATAAAAAAGGGGTGCGTAAAGGGACGTAACAAAAATGATGGAAAATCAGTGAAGTAATAATGTACATATAAAAAGGGGAAGAAAAAGGGGGAAGAAAAAGGGGGAAGAAAAAGGGGGAAGAAAAAAAGGTGAACAAACGAATAAGCATAATAATGTAAAAACTCGGAATGTGGTCAGATAAAAATGCGAAATCCTTTTTTGCATACATAAATGTATACATAAATGAATACATAAATGAGTACATAAATGAGTACATACATACATACATACACACATACGCACAACGCGGGCTAGGAACCAAAATGGGGAGTGAAAAATCTTTTCATTCGAAAAATATCAAAAATGTTTTCTTAAAAAAAAAAGAAAAGATTTATCTTTATGCTGTTGCATACACAACAAATCCGTTTTAACAAGTGGCAGAAGCAGCTTCCATAATGTTCTTCCACTATCTTCCTTGCTCATTTTTTTTTTTTTTTTTTTCCCCTATACTGAGAGATGCTTCTGAATGGTCATGTTGCACGCTGAGGTTAGTTCTACATGGTAAAGACGTCATATCCAAACTAAAAAATACTAACATTATAAATGGGGCAATAACAACATCAGCATTTTCTATACTATATCTATTCAGTATGGCAAAAAAAGAATATAAAAAAAAAAAAATAAAATAAAATAAGAAGCTAAAGGTCTTTCACTTAGAATTCTTTATGACTATTAAAATTCCCCAAAATACTGCCCATATCCACCCAATCAAAGGAACGAGGAGTTGTAATATACCTATAATAAGGTCATCCATATCTTTGTTTAATATACCCAATATGATCATGCCGATTCCAAAGAAGAAAATATTTACAACCCCGAAAATAATATTAAGTGAAGCATTTCCATTTTCTGGTACTTCTAAGTTCATAATCTTATCTATGATGTTGGATGTCATTGTGTATTCTTGATGTTTAATAAGGGTGTTATGTATTTATATACGTTCTATGTGATTTATGTAACCCACAATAATAAGTGCTGATTTAAATATAAAAAAAATTCCTAAAAACTGCTTATTTTTTTTTGGATTAAAAAAGAAATCGGAACAAAAAAATTATTATATATGTTTTTCATATTACAGCTTTGTGTTATTTTTCAAGGCCAAAAATGCTCCCTGAATTTTTTTAAAATTTTCTCAATATTTCTTGTTTCTACAAAGTTTAAAAGAAATTATGCTTATATTTTCTTTTCCCCCACAATAACCTTAACTTTTCGAAAAACTTGGCTCAAAATGGTTATAGAAAAAAATAACTTGTACTAAAAAAAAATGGCTAAAATGGGCAATCACGACAAAATTGCCAATTTGCAATTATGACACTTTTTCCTAGGCAAATACAATTTGGATTTCCTCTGATGACATTTGTTCGGTTGGCGTTTTTCATTGAGAGCTCTGCTTATAAATAAATTTGCAATTTTTTAAAAAATTTTTTTTCATCAATTGATCGCTATGAATTGGCCGCTATGAATAATTAGCAGTTGTGGCATTTGATAGTTTGATCAGGTGATATGTCAATTTCTTCGCTTCTACGAGATTGGGCAAAACGCATATTTTTGCTAAAAATTATATATTCTGCGCATGTATACCATCATATATATTTTCATATAAATTTATATGCATATTTGTAAGAGAAATGTTATAGTAGTATATGAGGAGAGGAAAAAGGTCGGGATTTTTTTTTTTTTTTTTTTTTTTCGTTCACTTAAATTAACATATCCCAAATTTTGATGAAACATAAAAGGGGATTAAAAAAAAAAAAAAAAAAAAAAATTACAAGTGTGGGAGAAAATGTTTTATGAAGAATAATAAACCCAATTGCATATATGTTAAGAGATTTATAAAAAATGGGGGGAAGAGCTAATAATTATAAATATATATATATATATATATATATATATATATTTATTCGTATGCACTACCATTTTGCTTACTTTCAAAATAATTTTCCAATTTTTTTTTTTTTTATCTCTCCCATTTAAGAAATAGCAGAAAAAAAAGGAGGCGCGGTGGAGGGAAGGCGCTCCGCAGGTATTATAAAAATAGAACAAAGTTACTATGAAAAAAAAAAAAAAAAAGGTTGTAACATTTCTAGTTTTTGAAAATACTTTTTTTTTTTTTTTTTTTTTCTCTTTTTTGTAAAGCGCCTCAAACTGTGCAGCATGCTCATTTCAAATAAAAAGTCTAAGATATCAGTTTTATTTGCACACAAAAAGGGAGAAATAAAATTTTGCTTCTTTTTCAAACTGCTAGTGGTGTAATGTTCATTAATAAGGGTATCTAAAAGAAAGTTTCTGTTAATGTAAATCCCATACCTGGTGTTATGAAACAGGTGTGGATAGGGGACCTCAATTGGGGTGAGGGAGGAGAAGGTACTATGTTCTTAGTTCTATATAGTAACCATCATATTACTGCCTAAACATGTGCATAATTAATGTGGGTAATTGCACATATATTTATATACATTATACATGTACATATTGACATACCAAAAATGTGTTATTTTACAACATTTGAAAACATGTTCCTATCGTGCGTCCAAGTTAACAAATAGACTTGACTAGTTATAAGAATAAAATGCAACCCAATAATCTTGCAAATAATTCTTCCATAATAAATTTGTTATTTTTGTTTTTTTCTTTTGTAAAAACTTTCTACAGGCTTGAGGGAGAAACAAATTGGATATTATTGGGACATGTTTATTTCTCACCATGAGCTAAGGCTTTTTCTTTTTTTTTTTTTTTTTTTCAGCTCACAGCCCTATTCACTTTATATTTATACTAATCTCATTGCATATGATAACTAAAAATATAGAAAAAAAAATAAAATAAAATAACAAATATGTGTTTAAATATCATATATTATACAAAGTAGGGCACAATCCGAATGATTCTCCTTTTTTTTTTTTTTTTTGCACATGTGGTTCAAACATATGTTAAGCATTTTTCCCTAAAAAAATAGGAAATTTTTTTTTTTTTTTTATTATATTTTACACATGTTTTCATCACAATAGAAGGTATTATAATTTACACACTCTACGGATTTACATGTAATGTGGGTTCAACTTCACGCAAGCGGACACCACCATTGTTGGAACTTGTCCTTGCCTCAATTGTTCATCTCATATTTAAGGGGAGAGAATTAAAAGATTTTTTTCTTTGCTAGAACCTTGGGAAATACGACAAACAGCACATATAAAAAAAAGAAGAAAAAAAAAAAAAAAAAAAAAACAATAAAAAAAAAAAAAAAAAAAAAAAAAAAAAAAAAAAAAAAAAAAAAAAAAAAAAAAAAAAAAAAAAAAAAAAAAAAAAAAAAAAAAAAAAAAAAAAAAAAAAAAAAAAAAAAAAAAAAAAAAAAAAAAAAAAAAAAAAAAAAAAAAAAAAAAAAAAAAAAAAAAAAAAAAAAAAAAAAAAAAAAAAAATAAAAAAAAAAAAAAAAAAAAAAAAAAAAAAATACACTATTAAAGAAGTAGAAAAAAAAACACATTCATAAAGAAAAAAAAAAAAAAAAAAAAAATACAAAAAAAAAAAAAAAAAATATAATAAAAAAATTAAAGCAGTAGAGGGGGAGTGAAACCCCAAAATAGTACAAACATACTTGTCAGGGAAAAAAAAAAAAAAAAAAAAAAAAAAAAATACACTAATAAAGAAGTAGAAAAAAAACACGTTTTCTACATGGGTACATGCTAAAAAGGCTTCTTCTATGCAGTGATCTGCTATATACCTCCCCTTCGTGTTCGAATTGGCATACGTACCAAATTTTGTGATCTTCTACACTAGCAACTTCCATCCCTATTTCGATTCCCTACATCATGTATCACCACTTGAACCCTGTGTCGAAATGCAGTTTCAGATAAATGTGCTTATATCTGACATGTCTTTTTAAAGGAACTCAAACAAGTGGCACTTAACACACACACACACATTGACATATGCTTACACGAAATTAGACCCCTACTCACCCAGCCACCCCCAGGCGAAGGTACAAATCATAGTAGGAGAAATACTGAAAAATACAACACAAAATGAAATTCATGAAACTATTGCTTATAAACGTGTTGCTGATATTCTTCGCCAGAGGGAAGTTAAATCTGAAGCAGTACACAAATTTGGTAGAGCTAGATATACAATTTTTAAATACATATAAAAATGAATTAAAAGAAAAATATGTAGGAAATGACAACTGCATAACGTATGTACATATTACGAAATATTTTCATTTAAAAAAAAATCATGTTGAAATTATCATAAGGGGTGATTTAAAAAATAAGAGTGATAAAACTGTTGACAATTTTATCTTTTTCCTTCCATACCATGAGGCTTTTCAAGTAAAGCACATAAATAAGTAACAATTAAAATTTCATTCCTTTGGTGTTATATGTATATTTCTATAGTGGAACACTGTGTGTGGGAGTCTGCTATCTTTTTGCTATAATTATGCATCCGGTTTATTATATATATATATATATATATATATATATATCTTTTTCTTCACAAATTCACAGGCCACCACTCTTCATGTGAAAGACAAGAACGAAAACCATCTGAGATATCAAATATTGAAAGAAGTTCAAGACAATGGGAAGGGCATCAAAGTAGACCCTTTCAATGAAGACTATGACTTGGAACAGTTCCAAGTTAAAGTATACAAAGTGATGTTAAACAAAAAGTTACATAAAAATGAAAAAATATCTGTAGAATATGCATACAGTATTGGACAAGCTTATTACCCATTCCCAGTTGATATATCCCTGATGGAAAATCAAAATCTTTTATTTTATTTTTCTTCCAAAATTTTATTACCATACAATGTAGAAGAAAAAGAAGAAATAAAAATATTTTTGTGCAGAAATTGCACAATTGTGCAAATGGAGGATCACAACTTTTTAAAAAATTTCGAAAAAATGAACGATGATACATATTTTTATGAAAAAAAAAAAAAAAACGAATTGAATGCATTTTCCTTGGGATATAAGGTTTTATTTTATTTCCAATCAAATAACAATTTGGGATATTTTGAAAAGGTAGTAAAGGACATTAAAATATCACAGCTTGGATATATATACGAAAAGGAAGAATATATTTTACATAACAATGCAGCACGGGTAAATAAATTTGATAGATATATTCTTAGCGATCTTGAAAATAAGCACACATCAGGTGAAAAGGAACCAAAGAACGAACAAACCACCATTATTTACTCCATGAAATCGAAAATAAATTATGATATATATGAATATGAATACTTTGATGATATAGGAAAAATATACCTGATTCGAGCTGAAGAAATTTATGATAAGAAAAAGGAAAAAAGTCTTATTCAATTTGATATCAGGCCAAGATATCCCCTTTTGGGTGGTTGGAGAGCACATTTTTTTAACGCTTTTTATCATCATTCTAATTTGTACCAAGTTAAGAACAAGAAAAATTATTATGCTTATAAAATTGATATTTCTCCGTCGATTAAGTCGTTTTTTATAAAACAACTTAACGTGAGAATTTTCCTTCCTCCGTTCTCTGAAGACGTTTCAATAATTTCAAGGGATGACAACATAAATATCTTGACAAGTAGTAAGAAAGAATGGTTAGATTGGTTTACCTTCAGAAATGTAATTGAAATTCAAATCGAGAAATTCTTTCCTCAAATAGACGAAAACTATTACCAGAACATGTTAGTTATGTACAAGTTTAGGTTTTTTAATATTTTTCGGAAACCCATCTTGATCATATTTATTTTGTTCCTTGTCATACTCTTATTTTTCTTTCTAAGGGGACTGACGTTCGAGTAGCTAGCTAAAATGGAAAAAAAAAAAAGAAAAAAAAAGACAAAATAGCCAGAATAAGAAAAAAAAAAAAAAAAAAAATATGAACATGTCAGAACAAATTACAATTCAAACCTTTTCCATAAGTTTACATATCGGTTTTCCTTTTTTCCCCACTCCCCCAACCTGTTATAGATTTAACACGGAAAATGAAAATTTAGCTCGTAAGGAGCATGCAGAGCATAAGGTTTTTCTCGAAAAATGCAAAGAGTTATATGAAAATTTGTCTTACATATCAGGTGAGTGCGAATAGAGTGCGAGTAATATGCGAGTAATATGCGAATAATGTGCAAGTAAAGTAACCTTGCAAGTCTGCACACAGAAGAGGGTGTACCGATTTGTACGTCGATAAAACTCTTTTGTGTGTCAATGAATTAATTTACACACGAATTGGTTAAGTTACACATAAATGGATCAATTGCCCTCAACTCTCAGACAAGTTGATTCAGTCCCTGAGTAACCTAACCCCACAAGAGAAGATGCACTTAAAAAAGGAACTGTTGGAAGGAGAGGAAAAGTGGACGTATGATTTTATCTATTTCACAAATGAATTTTACAGGAATTTTGAAAACACCACTAAGAAACAAACAATGCAAAATTATTTGGACAGATGCTTTAATTATCATGTTATTGTGAAAAAGTATTTCGAAGCACAGTTGTTGAATGATTTGGTAAAAACTCAGGAGTGAAATATTAATCCTTTTATGTTATTTTTTTTAAAAGGACGTGAATATTTGAAGGGTGCTAAATAAAAAGGGAATATATATATCGTAGGAACATAGATATATAGGCATATTAAATCCTCATAGTGTGCATAAAAATAACGAATTGAAATTATGTCACTTTTTTTTCAAATGTCCAGTTTTATTTTTTCCTGTTTCTTCCAATTTCTTACTATATATATATTTTTCTTTTTTTTTTTTTTTTTTTTTCCTTAGAACATCAATTTGAAGGAAATTGCTCAGGCAGAAAAAGAGCTCATGCTTTTATTAAAGTACATTTAACAAATTGAGATTCATAATTTTGAGCGTCCCTCCTTTGCTCTCTCTGCCTTGTTATTATGGTTATAACACATGGCCTCCGTCTTAATATATATATAACTATACACATATATGTAGATATATTTTTTTTTACAAAGGTAAGTCGAGAGAATATACACTTTTTTCGTGCGTGGGATTGTAAGAGGCATATTTTTTTCTATACCTGCAAAAGACATTGACACATTTGTGTATGTACATTTATACATCACATTTTTCGCTATTTAAATAGTGCGTTGTTAGCATTATTCGTAGTTTGCTATTTTCTCTCCCATTTTCTTCTTATTGTTTCGCATTTTTACTCATAAAACATGCTGGATAAGCAAAATTATGAATGCTTACTTTAACTTTGCTGTTGTGAGTATTGATACTGTATTGTTTGTTCACACCCTTTTTACATTTGTGTGCTTTATGAATTTTAGCTTTATTTTATTTATTTATTTTTTTTTTTTTTTTTGCTGCTTCTTTGTTATTTTTTTACTATCTTGTTATTATTTTATTTTTTCTTTTTTTGTTGTCGTTTAACGCAATTCCCCTCTCAAAAGAGTCATACGAATAAACGTTTCAAAAAAAAAGAAAAAAAAAAAAATCCACACACATTACTACTTTGTCTGTCGGAATATAACGAAAAAACGAAAGAAGCAAAAAATGAGGAACCCATATTTATTTTTTCATATTTTAACATTCCTTGCAATTGTTGTAATCCCAACAACTTTGTCTATAACCCCATTTAATGTCATTAAAAATGATGGAAAAAAAAAAAACTTAAATAGCACTCCTTTTATGGATGCCACAAAAGAGCACTCGTTTTTCAGCGAAATAAAATTAGAAAATAGATTTAAAAATGACATCAAAGGGTTTATGGAAAATATAAAAGCTTTTCACAACATAATAGAAAATAAAATTCCAAACTCGTTATTATATGTACAGGAAGATTTGCTAAATTTTCACAACAGCCAATTTATTGGCGACATAGAAATTGGGACCCCACCACAAAAGTTCAAAGTCGTTTTCGACACTGGTTCGAGTAATTTTGCCCTTCCCTCGATCAAATGTATCAAGTGCGTTTCGACACCTGTGGTTCCACCCATGACAGGGACACGTGTGCAGACAGAAATAAACATACGTACACAGTTATGTGTATGTATATATATATATATATATATATGTATGCATGTATGCATGTTTTGTGTACACACCTTGTTCTTCACTTCAGTACTCATTAATTCTTCCCTTCCAAGATGCAAACAATTTTCCTCAATTCTTGCGACTTTTCAGAGGGGGATGTGCTTCTCACAAGAAATTCAACCCTGACAAATCTAGGACTTACACAAAGCAGTTTAAGGGTAACCACACATATACTTGGGCATGTACACATAAATATACAACCTCCGAGTGTACAAATGTTGCGCCAAAAAAAGAAAAAAGTATCTACTGATAATAGTGTATGAACTATGAATGCATATAGCTTGGTCCCCTCTCCTCCATTATCATCCGCACAATGATCATCAATCTTTTCACCGATAGGCAATAAGGAGTCAATTTACACATACATTCAGGTTATACACATATATATATATATATATATATATATATATTAACTTTTAGTTTAAATATAATTTCCTAAAAATTAAATTTTTAAAAGAAAAAAAAAATGAATTATTCATCTGCATTCCTTCAAAATGTAAACGATTTCTCAATATTCCATAATTTATGCATCCATCATGTGTTTTTTTCTTTTTTTTTTTTTTTTTTTTTCTCCTTTTTCGATCTACCAGTATGGGACAGGAAAGAGCAGTAAAAAAAAAAAAAAAAAAAAAAAAAAAAAAAAAAAAAGTGAACAAAAT